CTCTGGTAGTTTGATATAGCTATGAAAAGTGTTCTGTTTATAGATGATTCCCATGATTTACCTATAAACAATTGGGATTGTTTGAAGCTATGTTAAATTGATATTACCAAGAGGGTACTGATTTATCATGAGTTACCCATTGAACTTTTTTCAAAGTGGGATTTACCATGATGTTCCATATAAATTTAAATTTACCATGCATTACCAGAGGCTACTGATTGACCGTCACATTTGTGGGCAATCTGAAGCCCTTCGCTTCAGCCGATGGCTCGAGATGTCATGAAAATTGACCTTTTCCAAAACGCTTGGGGGCCGGAGTCCTTTCCGAAGTAGACCCCCCTACAATTTCAGAAACAGTTTTGATATGTTTTGATTCTATTCACGCAACCATTCGTGGCTGTTCTTTTTGAAGAAAAGCACCATGAACCAGAAAGCAGATGTTTTTTGGCGTTTTACCCTAAGTACCTAATTTGTTCATGTTCAAAGTCTTTAAACTTTAGGCAGAGATACCAACGAATGGCAAACGCAACAAGCGCAGAACAAGCCCATGAAGACCACTTAGACTTTTCAGGCTGTTATAGAACAGTCAGTATATATGTGTGTGACATACTGATATAGAACAGTCAGTATCTGTTTCCACATTATATTGTATCAAATTTTCAGAGAACTCAAAAGTACACATGTGCATATGTATATATACATATACATATACATATACGTATAGCATGTTACTATATTTTTTGACATATTTTTTATTTGCCAATGCTCCACATATATCATTTCTATATGTAGTGCATCTGGTTCTCCTCGTCATGGCATGGCTGCTGCCATCATCGCAGCCTTCGGCGCCGGCGGTGCGAACGTCATCCTGTCGCGCTGGGACTTCGAGCGATGCCTTTGCAGCTCGGCCCGGTGATGTCCCACAGCAGTGGTGATGTCGATGGTCATGTTCCCATTTAAAAACAGAATGGATAGATCGGATGGAATGACATTTAGTTCTATTTTCCAATGATAGATATGTTACCCCATTTTGTAATGATATCTAAATGTGACGGGATATACAGTGTATATACGTATATATATATATATATCACATTGATATTGCATTAACAGTTTTTACCATATCAATGGATGTTTATATTAAAAATCTAATATTTAAGATATCCCATTAATGTTATGTATATATATAGTGCAGTATATATCCCTTGGATTGCCCCATTGGTATACCATAATTCCCCACCTGCCAGGGGAGGGTCTCTAGATCGTTTTTCTTCCTTCTCCTCCTCCTCTAGCCACTGCGAGTTGTGGATCTCAGTGGGCACTGCCGGACCTCAGCGGGCATTGCTGAACCTCAACCGCGAGCTCCAGATCGTAGTGGTGACCGGACCTCAACCGCGAGTAATACATGTATATATATATAATAGTATTTATTTATTATTTTTCTATTTATCGAATATACACTTCCAAATGTTATGTCAGAAACTATGTCAGAATAATGTCTCAGGGTGGGGATCGCTTGAAGACAATAGTGTTGATACATATATATATATATATGTATGTATATATATATATACACAGCCCTTTTTCAAGAAATGGGTTGTAATAATGATTGATAGTTATGTTCATTTATACATATATAAATATACATGTTTCTTGGTTTTGAATATGATTTAATATTAAGTTATAAGTGGGCATATACAAGTGATTTAAGTACACACATAATATATATTATATATATATGTTTGTGTATTAGATATGTTGTCGTTTTTTTTTCTGTGGGTAATAAGGGATTAACATTGTTTTCATTAATGAATTATGTGTATAAATAATATGGGTTTTTAGAACTTGCATTGCCGTAATGACACAGTACATGCATTATCCCATGTTATGTATCGTCAATTGGTATACATCTCATTAATTGTAACCCATTTTGTCCCATTAGTTGATATATGTTTCCCATTATACCACTAGTAAACTCATAGCACTAATGATTTTGTTCATGGGATAGAATGGGATATTTACGTGATATGATATGGATATCACAGGGGTTTACTCGAGATACAATAGGGATAACGGGATACACTGGGACAAAACCAACAACTGCCACGTTTGATTACCGCAGGGTGAGTTTCCAACATTGGGCTGAACATGACTGGTGGGTGGTAGAGTCAGTCATCGTCCAAAATGGGAAGTCAAATGGCACCAGATTCATGTTGACCTCTAGTCGATATGAGGAAGTTCGACTAGCAACGCATCACTTTCCCCTTGCAACCAGGTTACCAATCCAGGTCGGGTATGAACTAATTGTCTTTATCATGGAGCACGGAAAATAATCTGTGGGTTGTTCAATTTGTTTGTTCGTACCAAAAACTTTGCGATATGATGCCAATGTTTGACCAAATACCCTCTGGTGAACTAACATTTTGCTATGGAAAGATCCACCATTTTTCATGGGAAAATCCACTATTTCTAATGGGCCATTTTCCATAGCTTTTTGTATGTTCACCAGAGGGTAATGCAAAATGCTGGTTGTCTCAATGTATCCCCATCGGCCGACTGATTATCCCAATTGAGGCTCGGTTAGATTTGACCCATTGTCAAAACCCAATGATGTTTGATTAGATATCCACACTTTTAGTATGTTATAGTTAGATGTGAAATATTGTATATGAATATGGCTCATTGAATATATATATATATATATATGTTTGGAATTGTTTGGCATATCTATATAACGGTGGATATCCAATTTCGATATATGTATATATATATAATATATATCTTACTCTTTCGTAAATTAGCATAGCAATCATGAAAAAAACTGTTTCAATACTCAAATCATCCATATATGGGCAATTTTCCGTGGCAAACTGTTAGTCATTGCCAGAATGTAATTCCCATTCAAATCCCTATTTTTGTTGGCTAAATCTCTTTGAATCACGATAAAATCCATTCAATTCCCGTGACACCAGCTTTATTCCCATCAAATTCTCATCAAAATCCAGAAAATGCAAATTACATGCCCATTAAATTCCTATGAAAACCCATTAAAACCTCATTAAAATGATGGAAACCCATGAAAATCCCGTTGCATCTCATCATCAATTTGGGTGTTTAACGGCACCAGCGTCGTTCCGAACAAATTTAGAGGCCGAGTTTGCGATCTGCCCGAGGGGTCTCTGGCGGAGTTGCTCGCGGCACCTTGGCGGAACTGGCCAGGTGTGGAAAGACAATGTGAGAATTAGCCTCTGGTAAATTGGATGGTTAATGGTGGTTAATGGGAACAATACTCGATAAGTTCATGACTTGGGTCTTTCAAGAACCATGTTTTATTATACCATCTGGTAAATTAACAGTTGGACCCTTTTACAATAGCCTAGTCCTATAGAGGAAACTAATCTTCCAACCCCTATTTTGGGATACATAATCAATAATATTGGGTAAATTGGATTGTTAATGGTGGTTAATGGTGGTTAATTAATGGTGGTTAATGGTGGTTAATGGTGGTTAATGGTGGTTAATGGATATTACTCTCCTCTGGTAAATTACCTAGTAAATTACAATGGGATACATAATTAGTATGGGATATCTACATAATCATATTAGATCAATATTGGGATAATCACTATACTAATTTATTGGATAATCACTATACCCTGAAAATAGCCTAGTTTTAATGGAAACTAATCTTCCAACCCCGATGACTGCCAGGGTCTATGTTAATTTACCAGAGGGTATCTTGGGACTTGGGATGTCTACATCATAGAATTATGGAGTTTATACATAATCAATATTAGAATCTTGATTTGTATCTACATTATAGAATTATGGAGTTTTTACATAGAAGATATTAGATCATGGGATATGAATCTGAATGAATATAACAGGACATGTTGGAATATCCAAAATGATCATACAAATAGAGGTAATGGGATGACACATGAGGATGTGATTGGGCTATGGATTTACCGCATGGTGGATGTGCGGGAAATCCATACGAAGGTTTCCAAGTCATTAGACCATTTTAGTTTCTTTTTCAACCTGTGGTTTTGGGGATGGGTTACAACTCTCAGGGATGGGTCAACACTGCTGAAATTACCATATTTGGGGTCATTAAAGATCCATAAATCAACCATTTTGGGTCCCTGGGGTATCAGGGTATTGACGTGTATTGACTCATAGCCATAAAATCCATATGGACCAAGATGTACCCTCTGGTAAACATACAAAAAACTATTGAACATGGCCATTTACAGTGATTTTTCCCATTAAACATGGTGATTTTCCATAGTTATGTTAGTTTACCAGAGGGTAATGAGCAAAAACCTGAGGTTGATGTTGAACATTAGGATTCAACTGATTGAGTATCAATGCTCTAAACTAAAGTAGCTATGGAAACAATGGATGGCCCATTTAGTTTGATGATTTACCGTTTTCGAAAATGGTAATTTCCGTAGCTATATTGGATTATGAGAGGGTAATTAGCAAAATATGAAATGAATGTTGAACATTAGATTTTCTCCGTCAATAATTTATCTAACCAATGAGCAATCCGTATGATTTTGGTAAAAGTGTAAAATTCATAATCTTGATTTCCGTTGGATTTTGTTTGTATAGTTCCATATCAATGGAATCCAAAATTCACACCGAGATAAGTCTGGCTGGATTATAACGATTTCAGTTCGGGACGTCACACATGACTTTATTTCAGGTAGGTGAATTATCTTGACAATTCAGCCACATAAAGGATTAATATCAATGGAATATTATGGAAGATTCCTTTCTTGGGTAAGATATTTTTAAAGATGAATGCGGAAATCATGCAAAAAATCCCCTGAAACTTTGATAAATATCACCAGGTCTGATGGAAAAGCAACATTTTTTACCGGGACAATGTAGGAAGATGGCGCCAATAGATGCCGGATGTTCCAGCAAACTTTAGGTTATAGAGCTAGAGTACCAGATTCGTCAGCTGAATTTCTGAGCTGGCAATGGAACAGATGATCAGTGTGGAGGAGAGTTTGCCATTTTCAAGGACCAACCAGAAAAATAAAAATAGTGATATATCATATATCATATATCATATATCATATATCATATATCAAATAGTGGAATATGGTTGGATGAATTGTAGAATTGTAGACATTTCCGGCATTTGATACACTGATAGGAGCTATTTAGGTGTACAAGCTAAGAGATTCGAGGCTGAAATGAACCCTACACATGCAGATTGTTGCTGTTCAGCGCTGTGAATCAGAGCAATTACCCACAACAGCAAGAAACACTAATACCAAAATTCACATTGTAGACCAACAAAAAAACATGCAACACATATATGATAGTTCGTGATGGTCTTGTTTCATACCAAATATCATGGGATCGTGCAGTAAGTAAGCTGATGAGCTGATGAGCTGACCTGGCCTTGGAATGTTTTTGACTTATATCCATTTCAACATGGTTTCCCTGCTAAAAATGACTCATCATCACCATCATTACCATTACCATTTTCACCATCAGCATCATCACCATCATCCAAATGGTACCCTAACTCACCATATTTCCAATGCTTTTCTCAAGCATCCATTTTTGGCAGACTAAGGCTTACGCCGGCGCCAGTGGCGCCACTTGGAAGTGTCGAACTGCGCGGTAGGAGTCAAAGGCCCAGATAGGTGCCTAAAATGCAGGCATTACCAGCATGGGAATATGGGGATATAATGGAGATACAATGCACATATCATTATATCCCCACACTTATATCCACAATAAATCATATTTTTCCATGTCATATTGTGGAGATAACACTGTACCTTCACATGGCAATCTTAATGTACAAACAGACCGGATTCCTTCAATCCCACGGTTTTTTGTAAGAATCTTGTAATTATATCGCTTCTGTAGGAGACCTTCAGTCGCCAGGTTTGAACAGCTGGAAACGACTGAGCGGCTTATGACTTCAGGTCGAACTGAGTGGTTGCCATTGTGGTTAGGCAACCCACATCCTATTTTTAGCACATTTCTTTGAGTTGTCCCACCTGTGCCCAAATTGTTGCAGTCCTTGCAGCGCACATCCGGTCATTTTTGTGAACACCACCATGGCCATGTTTCCAAGAGTCACCTGAACATGGCCACGATTGCGATGGCGTCGTTCGTACCAGATTTCAATGTTGTGGAGAATCCTAAGTCATGGGGGTACCCCAGTCACCATTGGGTTCAATACTAAGTCATTGTCATTAATGACTTGGATAATGACTGGGGGTACCCCCATGACGAAACGGACACCCCCATGTTACCGTGGATTTCCAATCCAGTTCGAAAAGTGGAGTCATCATTGCAGTTACTTTTGGCGTTCATTTTTTGGGATTCCAGTTTGGCGCGTTACCCTTGCAAAAACATGGTGTACCATGTGAGGTGCCGTGTTCCATTTTCCCGGTATCTGCAAATGTTATGTCAATTTCGTTATAGAACACTATGTAAACCATTTTCAACAATCATGTTTTGCCCAATCTCAATATCATTTCAGATCGTTTAACGAACATCTTGAATCTTTCAGGAATGTACAATTCATATACCATGCAACCCAGCATGTAAGATGGCTAAGGAAATCAACTGCGAATCCTTTGTCCAGTGGCTCTTCGATGAACAGGACATGTTTCGTCGCCATTTTGGGCAGATTCATTTTACCAGAAAAAAATGGAATCCAACCAGCAGGGATAAGGATTTCATCCGCAAATGATGGGTATTTCGAGTAGCGAGGATGTGGATTTCGACGAATTTTCTGGGTCCCAATCATCCGAGGTCAGGATCAAGGTACTCTCCAGTAAACGAAGAGTTTGCTATGGAACATCAGCATTTTCAATGGGCAAATCATCTAGAACTTGGCAATTTTCCATAGCTAAGTTTACTGGAGGGTATGACTTTGGATCAACAGATTGTCTTTTTGAGGACCTTGAACCATTTCAGTTCTTGTGTTGAGCCAGATCCATTTGACGGTCTTCTGTATCTGCAGGCAATATTCGTGCAAAATATGGCTCGGGATGATCCACTAATCTGTGGATCATGTCCTTGTTGGGTAAAAGTTGACCAACCATTCTCATCTCCAAAGATTGGTAATTATATATATCACTATATTAGACTATATTCCCTTTTTAGTCCACTGATCTTTGAAATTTGAACTCCCACAAGGGACCATCCCACTTCAATGCGCATTGCACTTCGTGACTGGATAGTGAGCGATTCATGATTTATATTAATATATAATTATATATATAATATTAATACATCACCAATTGTTATATGTCTATGAACAATTGGCAATATTCAATCATGTGCAAGCGTGCTAGGATTTGTTTATTTCATGTTATTTCCCACTTACTACGAGATGTGCCCCAGTTCCTTAGTCAGTTTGCTAGTCTAGAAGTAGTACTTTACCCAGACACCTCGTTTCTTCCAATATCACTCTAGCTTTGGGGTTTAAGAATTAGGGCTTTGGGGCTCAGGTGTTTGGAGTTTAGTTTTTGTTCCTTGTCATTTCATGTTTTTAAGGTCTTAGGGAGTAGGGTTTCGGATTTAGGGTTTTACGGGTTTATCACGATAGTGTTCAGGATGACTTGTGCAATGACGGTCCCCTACCAGAGTCTTTCAAGAATGCCATATAATGACTCATAATCTGGTTGGTGGTTTGGAACATGAATTTTATTTTTCCATATATTCGGAAATTCATCATCCCAACTGACTTTCACTCCATCATTTTTCAGAGGGGTAGGTCAACCACCAACTAGTAATTATTATTAACCATTAATCATAACCATTAATATTAACCATGAAAATATGAATAGTATATTACCAACCAAGGGTAGGGAAAAACCGCCAACCAGTCATGCACAGTGTTTTGAGAGTGCCTCGGGCAATTAATTTCGGAGCCGCAATTGGCCGCAAGATTTCACCAGATATATATCCATACTTGGAGGGGATCATCAAATCTTATAAACCACATACCATACGGTAAACAAACATGGCAGTGGATTTTTTTTTCCATTGATCGATAATTTTCTCATTTGAATACTCATTTAGTTCGTGAATTTCCCAGCTAGCTCATGTTCTTTTTGAATGATATGGGTTGCTCTGAAAATGGAATACCGTTAATTTCTTGGATTATCATCTTTTTTGATTCAATATGTTTTGCCATTAAATGTTAGTAGTAATAAAGCTACCCGTATATTTCGATGGTTGCAATACCACCCATCAAAATGAACATATTTGAAAATGGTGGATCCTATTCCCCTTGCATTATCATCAATGATAATTGCATGATTGCATGATGTTTCCACATTTTTCCATTAAACAAATGCATAAAATATCATAAATTGGGGGTACCCTCTGGTAAACTAAGATAGCTATGGAAAATCACAATCTTTAATAGGTAAATCAACGAACTAAATGGGCCATAATCAATAGCTATGTAACAAATTACCAGAGGGTACCCCACACCGGGCAGCAGCAGGAGACTTCCGCAGATGCGGCGGCCACAGCGCTGTCGCTCTTCCGTCGAGGCTTCTCAGTACGGCAGCTGGTGCACTTCGTCAAGAGGTGCGTGGCAGGGGCGTGGGCCCAAAAGGGAGTTGGCTACAGGAATCCATGGGATTTGAATGATTTATTCATATTTAATCATGAAACATGCAAAGCTCTTTGAAATCCTTAGGATTTTAAGAACATGTCAAAATGTTGGTGTGGTCACCGGAAACGAAGTTTGAAATTAGAACACATAGTTTTGAGTTTTGAAACGGCAATTTGAAATCCAAAGACTTTGGGATGTTTTGGAGTGAACATGGACCTAAGTTTGGGTATCAGCTACCCTCTGGTAAACTAACATAACTAGGGAAATTCACCATGTTTAATGGGTAAATCAACTATAAATGGCCATTTTCAATAGCTATGTTATCTTACCAGAGGGTATTTCCAAACGCAGCTTCCGGCTGGCCTCGCCTTCGACTCCCAAGCGCCGTGTTGCAGGTATCGTTCTTATGGAGGGCGAAGCTTGTCGACAATGACCACAGCGGAGGCGTCACGGGAAACCCATTGGGATGTTGGCTTTGATGTTCATGAAACATAATGCATTACATGGGTGTGTTTGAGAATGGGGCACATCAATAAAATAGCATGTTTTTAGGAAAAATATGATTAAGCGGCGGATTTGGGGGTACCATTTTTCCAAACAAACCCATTATCAATCAGATGTTTAACTTACGAATGACACTGTTTTGTCCCACACTTCATATTTGAATTATTTCTGGGCAGTCCATTTGAGCTTTCAAGGGGGTTCTCAGGACAGAATTTCAACGTTGGAATAATGTCATCAACTCAAATATGTTGACAATACCCACAAACCAAGCCAAGTCAGATCATTAAATACCGCGGGTTTGCAGACATCAAAATTATGAGGCTGTGAGGTGGTTTATGGGTTTATGGTGGTGATGTTTTTTTGTGTTTTCTAAAGATGGCCCATGGATGGGCGTAACGCAGTTTCAATAGGCTCCGGGGACATCCTGGGATCAAACATTTTCCCGTGACATATGCTGATCCCCATAGACTAATATATTGCAGGAGGGGTTGAAACATGTTGAAACCACCAGTATCATTGCCGGATCACGAAAAAAGCACTTATGCCAAAGCTCTGCCAGGCACTTTCATCATGTTTCACCATGGTTCATCCATTTTCTGATGAACATACCTCCGTTTTACCTGGCCAGCGGCTCCGCGCAGGTGGTCAGAGACATCATCATCCCCGAAACCCGTGAACGGCGATGTGTGACTCATTCAAGCAGTTGCCAAACAATTTACGTTAGCCAAAACGATCCGCGAATTGGACATGTAAAGTTTCTGTTTGTACTTGGTCAATGTCCATTTCAGGAACCTAAAAGGCCTTAATATAAGGCCTATGTAAGGGAATATCCCCCAAAAATATGGCCTTATATGGCACAGTATCTCCATTTTAGGATCCTGAAATGTTGAAGATAACAAATATGACCGCAATGACTTGGCTCCCAACTTTCGAAATTTTCACACATGTTGACCCACACCAAACATGGTTCATGCTACAATCTGGTAAAGCCAATCACAAAGCCATGATTGGGGATGCTATACACTCTACCCATGTGTGGTAGGTCATCAAGATAGTTTCCGATTACCAGAATAAATCATATAATATAATATATAGATCATTATAGCCTATAGGTACTTATGTATCCTGGAGTATTGGCCTATTGGGTATCCTGATATAGCCTATTACAGTTATATATTTATATATTGTGATAATTTATAGGTCATTACCAACCCATATAAATCTACCGTTGACCAGATTTCCAAACTCCATGAGCCGGTCGGAGCCGGTCGGAATCGGATCCCAAAGCCAAACCGATTGCAGGCGGCTATGAACTGCTGACGGCGATAACTCAGTGACAATGAGATTGAATTACCCTCCGGTAAACTAACATTACTATGGAAAATCATAATTTTTCATGGGGAAATTCACTATCAATGGTGATTTTCCATAATTATTTTGACATAACCAGAGGGTATAAAGTATTCCTTGTCCAAACACCTATCCCCTGGGATCTTGGGACTGTAGTTCTAATCATAATTTTCACTGGTAATGGGAAAATAGTGCCCCCGACTTAGTTGTATTGTTTTTTTTTACAATCTCCACATCTTCACATTTTTTTTTGTGTCTGGTCAAACCCTACCCTTGCAGTTTATGACCTCTTTGGGTTTGTCGGTGGTTGCATCCCATTTGGGAAGGGATTAATAACCTACATATGCCTGGGGTATACTACACACACACATATATATATATATACATCTAACATCATATAACTGTGTTTGTCCTTGGATGAACCACTTTCACTTACATAACAAGCCCTAGGTTTTTGACAGGATTGCCCGTCACGATGCCTGGGTCAACCCATAGGAAGCCTTCCGAGGCCATGGTGGATTTGTTCGAAGGAGGGCCGAGGGAGCCAGTGTGCCTCATGCGCCTTGGATGTCAGTGGGTTGGTCAATGGGGATGTCTTAGGGTTGGATAACCCAACAATAAAGGGGATATAATGATGATAATTGGGGATATTGGAAATTTAGTATTGATTTAATGGGATTTGATGGGAGAGAATCCCTTCCCCCTATATACACACCACCCAAGAAACCATGATTTAGTAGGAGATGTCCATATATTTGAGATCATTTAGGAGGTGTTTAATATTGAGGGGATGGGATTAATATCCCTACAAACGAAAGAGTGTGAACAAGTTGGAAACTATGGAGACAACAGAAAATCGAACTAGCATCCTGGAGACATTTTGTGTTTCTCTTTCGGGTTGGCATGATCATGGGTCTATCATTATAGATATGGAGTAGGGGTTTTGCTTGAAACTATAAACATCATGATGGAATATTCGATTTATATAATGAGGATTTAACTGGCTTGAGAATCATGGAAGTACCGACTCAGATGAAGAGAATGAGAATTGGGTCAACTGGATGATGGATGTATGGCTGGATTGATGGAGATTGGTGTTTCAAAGGGAATATGACGGGGGAAATTATGGCTAGACGATGGTACATAAACTCATCATGTGGGTGATGTAAGAACCGTTTTATTTCGGCTCACCTGCATTCTATCATTCTTGGGTTGTAATTTATGGTTGGGTATTAATGGGATAATCAAAAATCATAATACGGAGGAGAGAACCAACTGTATTACAATCTTTATTTTGACCTTATCAACACGACATTTCAAGGGAATTATTCATGAACAAACCCTTGGGTTAATCCAGCATGGCAATGAACCATGTTGTGTCCCTCCAAAATTCCCCGGATTTGGTGTTGTTCCCAAGATTTTTGGGCAACCCGTCTCTTGACCCGTCATTTTGATCAGCAAAATTGGCAATGTTTTACCCCTACCCTCCGGTATACTAACATAGCTATGGAAAATGGCCCATAGAAATAGATGGTTTACCTATTAAAAATTGCCATGTTCAATAGCTATGTTAAATTACCGGATGGTAAGTGTAGCGACTTATCATGAAATCATGTCTTATCTGCCAACTGGAGAATCATCATCTTGCAAACGGCAAATCATTTCACTCAATGGGAAAAATGGGTTGCAGTTCGCAAACTGTTAGTACCGGAGGGTAGATCCCATTCATATCCTCATTTTTGGTGGTTAGTTCCTTATGAATCACCACAAAATCCCGTTAAATCTCATTGAATGTCATTAAATCCCACTAAATCAAACATGTTCAACATCTCACTTGGACCCAAGAATTGCAACCCCCAGAGGATAACATTCCAAATGCACCGGGTTCCAAACAACGGCACCGACAGCACCGCTTCACTCTTAGGTTCCCCCGGCCGTGCCAGGTCTCATTGGTGGGGGAACTCCTTCATGGCCTTGGTGGCAGCTTGCTGGATGATGGTCAAGTCACATGAGCCATAAAAAATACCCTGAGGTTGACTGGTTACTATAGATACTATAGCTAGTTGGTGGTTTGAAACATTTTTTCCATAATATATGGGATAATCCTTCCCATTGACTAATATTTTTCAAGATGGTTAAAACCACCAACCAGATAGGGACTTATACTACCTAATCTACTGGTTTGATCAATGGGTTATACTACCATTTATGCGAAGCTTTCCGTTCTGGGGGGGTACCCCCAAATCCTGATCATCATTTAGTATTGAACCCATGGTTTTAAATTTTGGGGATCCCCCAGGAAATTGCCCCATGGATATCCCCTGATAATCAAACATAGCAATTGGACATCCCCTACTATAAACGGATATTCAAAATGGGAAAAGCATCTAGAAAAGGTGGAGTTTCCAGCCATGTTTGATCACCAGTAGTCATCCCCACAAAAATACAGAGGTATTTATGCACCCATTAATCATTATCTGTATATAATATATATATATATATATATGCATATGTACTTTATCTCTTTCTATATAAATATATACCAGTAGTACCCGCACGAGGCGGGGCGGAAGTTGCCTTAAAGATATATATACATATATATATGTATGAGACCTTTCTCATCTATAGAACTTGCATGCGCCGTGCGCCAGCCAAGCCCGTGCGTGCGTGCACACTGCGAAAGTTGTGTCCTGCTTCACATGTCACACTTGAAGCCCCACGTCACACTTCACACTTGACAGTCTTCACACTTCACACTGCACCCTTCGCAGTCAACACTTCACACTTCTCAGTTCACACTGCGCTCTCCCCAATCCACACTTCACACTCCACACTTCACACTTCACAGTCCACACTTCACACTTCTCACTTCACACTCCACACTCCACACTCCACACTTCACACTGCACTCTTCACGCCCCACACTTCACACTGCACTCTTCACACTCCACACTTCATCTCATCTGAGCTCTTCTCACCTTATCCCAGCTCATCTCTTCTCATCTCATCTCTTCTCATATGTCATCTAAGCTTTCATGAATCACTTCCCAGTACTTCTACTAAGGAACTGGATCTCGACGCCAAAGCGACAAAAAGACGATTTTGAAGCACTTTTTAAAAGGAATTTTAAAAGGAATGCAGCATGCAGCCGGTGCACCCATCCTGTTCTGATTCGCATTCCCCAGTTTCCTCACAAACTTTGAATTCCTTATGTGTCCTTTTTTTACCATACCTTTTTTTGCTTGGCATCACACAGAAACTGTTTTAGTTTTGCATCAAACACCATTGAAGCTACATGTCTTTACTTCAGAAGTAAGCAGAACTCAGCACCCAGCGCGATGCAGATCATGGCCCTTTTTCATCTCACTCTGAATCACAACCACAATAGACTGAGTTGCAAAGCACAATAGAACTACGTGCAATGGCGTCGGAAATTGCAGCTCCAAAACCGGATCTCGACGCCAAAGCGACAAAAAGACGATTTTGAAGCACTTTTTAAAAGGAATTTTAAAAGGAAAATTATTAGCGCCAAAATTGAAAAAATCTGCTGACAAATCACTTTCGCAGCCTTGATGCAGCCGTTCCAATACGATTTACGATCTTCAGCTGCAAAAGACAATAGTATTACGCATGCAGCCGCTGCACCAAGCAACCTTGACGCAGCCACTACAATGCGATCTGCAGCGACTGAGTTGCAAAACACAATTAGAACTACGTGCAATGGCGTCGGAAATTGCAGCTCCAAAACCGGATCTCGACGCCAAAGCGACAAAAAGACGATTTTGAAGCACTTTTTAAAAGAAATTTTAAAAGGAAAATTATTAGCGCCAAAATTGAGAAAATCTATCTGCTGACAATTCACTTTCGCAGCCTTGATGCAGCCATTCCAATACGATTTACGATCTTCAGCTGCAAAAGACAATAGTATTACGCATGCAGCCGCAGCACCGAGCAACCTTGACGCAGCCACTACAATGCGTTTCGCAGCATCCCGTATAGCAAACCTGCACCTATCTACGGACGTGGCAACATCAAATGACGACAATGAAGCAGCCATTCCAGTGCAATCTGCAACTAGAGATTCAAGAACCGCATGGAACTACGCACGCAGACACAACCACTCGTTGCAAAACACATAGGAGGAACAATTCGCGACAGAAACGACCGCAGCCGCAACCGCCGCACAGACGAGGTACCTTTCATCGCCGGCTGCAACCACTTTACACGGAAAAACGCAAGGTTTCGTGCTCCGGCTTCCTCCCCAAAACATAGCCCATGCAACATTCATGCAGCCATGACAATGCGTTTCGCAGCATCCCGTAGCAAACCTGCACCTATCTACGCACGTGGCAACACCAAATGACAACAATCATGCAGCCATTCCAATGCGATCTGCCACCACAGCTTCAAGAAGCGCATAGAACTACGCACACAGGAACAACCACTCGTTGCAAAACACATGGGAGGAACAATTCGCGACAGAAACGCCCCCAGCCGCAACCGCCGCACAGACGAGGTACCTTTCATCGCCGGCTGCAGCCACTTTACACGGAAAAACACGAGGTTTCGTGCTCCGGCTTCCTCCCCAAAACATAGCCCATGCAACATTCATGCAGCCATTACATTGCGTTTCACAGCATCCCGTAGCAAACCTGCACGTGGCAACATCAAATGACGACAATCAAGCAGCCATTCCAATGCAATCTGCAACCAGAGATTCCGCATAGAACTACGCACACAGACACAACCACCCGTTGCAAAACACATAGGAGGAAAGAATTCGCGCATGAAACGACCGTAGCTGCACCCGCCGCACACACGAGGTACCTTTCATCGCCGGCTGCAGCCACTTTACACGGAAAACACAAGGTCTCGTGCTCCGGCTTCCTCCCCAAAACATAGCCCATGCAACATTCACGCAGCCATTACAATGCGTTTCACAGCATCCCGTAGCAAACCTGCACGTGGCAACATCAGATGACGACAATCAAGCAGCCATTCCAATGCAATCTGCAACCAGAGATTCAAAAACCTCATAGAACTACGCACATAGACACAACCACTCGTTGCAAAACACATAGGAGGAACAATTCGCGCATGAAACGACCGCAGCCGCACCCGCCGCACAGACGATGCAGCCACTTTACACGGAAAAACACAAGGTTTCGTGCTCCGGCTTCCTCCCCAAAACATAGCCCATGCAACATTCACGCAGCCATTACACTGCGTTTCACAGCATCCCGTAGCAAACCTGCACCTATCTACGCACGTGGCAACATCAAATCACGACAATCAAGCAGCCATTCCAATGCAATCTGCAACCAGAGATTCAAAAACCTCATAGAACTACGCACACAGACACAACCACTCGTTGCAAAACACATAGGAGAAACAATTCGCGCATGAAACGACCGCAGCCGCACCCGCCGCACACACGAGGTACCTTTCATCGCCGGCTGCAGCCACTTTACACGGAAAAACACAAGGTTTCGTGCTCCGGCTTCCTCCCCAAAACAAAGCCCATGCAACATTCATGCAGCCATTCCAATGCGATCTGCAACCACAACTTCAAGAAAAGCCACTTTTCACGGAAAAACACAAGGTTTCGTGCTCCGGCTTCCTCCCCAACTCACCACTTCCCTTCCTCACCGCTTCCCATCGTCACCACTTCCCATCGTCACCACCTCCCTTCGTCCACTTCCCTTCGTCACCACTTCCCTTCCTCACCACTTCCCATCGTCCCCACCTCCCTTCCTCACCATTCCCCTTCATCATCACACTTCCCTTCGTCACCACTTCCCATCGTCACCACTTCCTTTCGTCACCACTTCCCTTCGTCACCACTTCCCATCGTCACCACTTCCCTTCGTCACCACTTCCCTTCGTCACCACTTCCCTTCGTCACCACCCGTCATTATCACCACCCTTCATCAAAGTCAATTCCACTGCTCCTTATTCTTTTGTTATGTATTGTTATGTTATGTATTGTTTTGTGATCTACCACCCTGCATCATGTCAAGTCGCAGAATTCTATTTGTCCGTAACACGGAAGTATTGCTTCCCAACTTCCTTTGATTATGTATACACAATATTACACAATATATAAATATTATATATATATGTGTATTATCATTATATATATATACAGTATATTTTATCATATATATATATTATAAGTATATATATAATATCATTATATATAAAAATACTTATATATATAATATATATATGATATAATATAGTATATATATATGTATATACATCCATACAAGGAATCCACATTCTCGGATGGCGGGATGACAAAAACCCCAGGCAACTTGACCATGCTAGTTATGAGATCGAATGGCATGGGGAGATCGTTGCTGGTCCTCTGATGGCCTCAGGTGAAACTTCTTTAAGCCCAGTTGATTGGTATTGAGATGGGAAAATATGGTTTAATGGGATTTCATGGTGATTATAGGGGTATTAAAAGGAGTGTTATTGAGATGTATTGCGCCTGAGTGTTTTGTTTGAGTCCTTCACACAAAAAAAAATCTGTGTAACACACGAATCTATAGACATACAAACGCAAACACAATGATACGCGTATCATATAAATGTGTATATATATATATATGATAGATACACCTAATATACAAATAGTAGCAGCGAGTCACTGCACAAACATCGGTCCATGCTGGCGTTGTGATTTTTTCAGGAAGCCATCATGGGCCATGCTTCCGGTCAGCTGCTGCCTGCGGAAAACGTCCTTTCAGAGGAGGACGGGACTGTGATTTTTATGCATGGCAAGTGGTTGGCAGTTTGGAAAACAACAACAAACAGACTGCTTTTTCATGTCTCCAGCATTTTGAATGACCCAGTTGAATATGAATTTCAGGGTAGTTGTGGATGCAAAGCCCCACACCCATCCCTTGCCGGTGAATTCGATTGATGTAATCATCCATTTTCCAAATGTCTATAGCTGGTCTAGCTCATAATTTCATAACTCTAGCACTGGATATGGTTTCCCAAAAAAGTTGCAGGCCATTTGTAGATTCCCCTTGTGGGGCATTTTGACCCACAGCAAACATCCCACAAATCAGCCCATAGAATCACCACCCTGGGATACTGATGTCTCGTGCTCCGAAAGGAACTTGAGAAGACCTACTGGCTTTGTATCTTCGGTGTGAATCAACATGTCTCCATCTGCGGAACGACACTTGGTCGGATGGATATTAGAGTGGCTTGTGCATCATCCGGACTTCTGAACATTTGCCCAGCTTCAACGTTCCCACTTTGTCAAGTGCTTTTCACATATTCTTCTTGTCCTCGAATTAAGGGACAATCTGCAGGAAACCATAGGAACCCCTATATTTTGGTGTTACAATGCCTTGTTTCTTGTAGATTTTTCCTTGAACCAATCCATTGATTTGGGCGGCATCGGAAATCCATGGATTTGGACGTTGGACATTGGAAAGTGGTCCTCAACTTCGTGATTGCCCAGCTTGATGACTCTGAGTGGACCATTTTTTTTTTAAAATCCTTATCACCCAAGAAGTCTGAGACTTGAGGTAATTTTTTCAGTAACGTCATGTCGTGACTGAAAATGGTGGGCTTGGGGAATCCTTGGGATTTATCCCGAAATGGCAAAAATACTCAGGTGAAATACTGATATTTCCATGAGTCGCTCATGAGTTGGAGGAATACGAAATGAAGCAGCGAGTTTCAGACATTGGGCGTACAAACCACAAACGCTGAACTTGTTTTTTTTGCAGGATATTATGGTAACAAATATATATATATATATATTTAAATTATATATATATATATGTATATATGTTGATCTATAACTACTAACTATATACTCAATGGGGTTATAAAGCAACAAACATACGTGCGAGGCCTCACCTTGCACATCTTTGCTATCCGCGCTGGCCCCTGGCCCTTTACCCTACGGTTGACCGAGGGCTCACAATCCCTGCGACTGTGGTTCGCCGAAGTTCTTGAATGGCCATCCATGTTGCGAAATGGACAAATTTGGGCTGATGATGCAGCACATCCAGGACAGGCGTCACCTATGGATCATGGGAAATTGTTTTGTAGCCATGTTTTTTCGTGGGCTGTGGTCTGTTTTTACAGGGTATTCTCATGGATTATATCCCCGATTTTCATTTACCCGATGTTTGGATTCTCATGAAATGGGATGGAGGACAATAAAGCATATATATATATATATACACCATCTTTTGACCGTAGCACATCTTAGGGGATTTATGGGGATTTAAACCACAAACAATTGGAAAAAATAAGGTATCGTGGAGATTATCTGGATGAAATTGATCACGACCTCGCTTCGCGACATCACGACTGAATGATGGTGAAGATAACCGGATTTAGAGTTATTCAAAGTTCTAGCCATAGCCTGGTTTCAGTTTCGATCACTTAATCAATGGGAATTTCAGGATCCTAAAATGGAGGTACGTTAGTACCATATAAGGCCATATTTTGTGGCCATTGACTTAAGCACAAAACGTCATGGTTTCGTAGCCATTTTGGGAACCTTCGCATCGCAGGAACATGCTCTTGCGATCGATCGGCAAATGGTGACCCTGACGCGTATTTGGGTTCTGATCCTCGGCGGAGTGCTATGGAGTGGTATGGAGTGGTGCCAGATGGTTCAAACATCGTCACTAAAAATGAGATGATGTTGTCAAAATTACCATATTTTATTTACTTCAGGATCATATATATATAATTATATATATACATAATCATAATAGTGTGATAAATCGATTAATTATGATAGTTGATTTGTACGTGTTTTTCTGGATGTTTATGGGATGCTTCTGGCTGTTGATGGCGACTTGGCCAAATCCCCTGATGAATCATCATTTTCACTATTAAACCTGCCATAAAGAGGTATACAGTATACCCCAATTTCAGGCACACCCATATTACTATAGTTTGGTTTATCCCATTCTATATATTCCATAAGAACATATATAGTTCATTCCAATCATATCCCTCCTTGAACATCATAAACTCCATCATAAATTCCACTAAGATCCCATATTTTTTCTTCACTTCACCAGGATCCTTACAGGATCCCGTTTTCTTTTTCAAAAGTTAACCCCGGAATCATCCCCGGCATCCTCCCGGGATAGGAAGGAGCTACAAACGGCCCTGGCCATGTCAATTCCCACGGAATTCAACGGGACGATGTCCTTCAGCGGCGCCTTTGCGGATGAGCAGCACCTGCATCTGGGCGGTAAGGAGAAGCGGAGCACCTGATTTTTTTTTTCGGGGAAACACACATGACACATAGATATGATTATATATGAATATCTGGTTGGTGGTTTGGAACATTTGGATTTTTTCCATATATTGGGAATGTCATCATCCCAGCTGACTGACTATTTTTCTCAGAGGGGTTGACACCACCAACCATATATATATTTTATATACATATATATATTTGTTAGATGATGATGATGATGATGATGACGATGATGATGATGATGGTGATGATGATGACGATGACGATGATGGTGATGGTATGATGATGATGATGACGATGATGATGGTGATGATGATGATGGTATGATGATGATGATGATGATGATGACGATGACGATGATGGTGATGGTGATGATGATGATGATGATGGTGATGTTGATGATGGTGATGATGATGATGATGATGGTGATGGTGATGATGATGATGATGGTGATGATGATGATGGTGATGGTGATGATGATGATGATGGTGATGATGATGATGGTGATGATGATGATGATGGTGATGGTGGTGATGATGATGATGATGGTGATGATGATTACTATTATTACTCTTATTACTATTACTATATATTATTTCTATAATTATTACAAATTATTACTGCATTATTGTGATCAACCGGTGGATTTAGGGGAACGATATGTTTGATCAAACCCAAAATTTGGTGGTCAAAGGGAGTACTGTACCTCAAAGATTTTAATCCCATGGTTGAGGAAAACACATCCCTTCAAGAGTTGGCATTGTCCCGAAAAAAATGAGCGAGGATAGGTGGAGAAATGTCCTGGAAGGAATACTGGTTGGAGGTTTGGAACATGAATCTTATTTTTCATTATTTTTCCATATATTGGGAATGTCATCATCCCAACTGACGAACTCCATCATTTTTCAGAGGGGTCGATCAACCCCCAAGCAGAATAGATAGGGCCATGATTCACACTGCTGAAACCATCCCATTCTGCGGTGAATTTTGAGCCATGAAAGCTGCTCGCAATATGTATATATCATACCCCACTCCTTTGTGAGATGTCTAGCTTCGATTGGCTTACCATGCAATTTTCCGGATGAAGATGAATCACACAAATATATATATATATATGTTTGCTATGATTCCGGTCCAGTTTTTATTGAAACCCATCGTTTTAAGTTTTTTTGTCTGGGGCCGTTGGGCCATGGTGTGATACAACCCTCGCCGGCGCCTTCGGCCCTCGAGGCCCAGTGTCAGAGAAGCAGAAGCTTCACGACAGGAAGACCGACATTTGAAACTTGGTGGGCAAATTCAGGCACTTCCTGTTATGCTTAATGGTTAATGATGGTTAATGATGGTTAAGAATGGTTAATAATGGTAATGATCAAATTTTGGTTAATACTGATTAATGGAACACAAGTGCCCCACAATGGAAGATAATGGTCTGAATTTGAAACCCATCGTTGGTCTTCAATTGAGTTGGATTATCTTGGAACACAACACATGATCGTTTCTTAAGTTAATAATGGTTAGTAATGGTTAACAATAGTTACTGATGGTTGATGATGGTAGATAAAAAGATTAATAGTTAATAATAGTTAGTAATAGTTAATAATGGTTGGTGATGGGAAATTTATGAGAATTTCTGCGAGTCACAGATTGGAAAGCATCATATGTTGGTGTCCTCCTTTAATCCTCATTTAGTGTAATCCTAATTCGAAGCTCACCCAATCCTTATTCATTTCCCCCATACCTCGTACCGAAGGCCACGAGTCAGAAGCCCGGTGGCCTGAGCAAAAAGCACCCAAAATAACAGCTATATCTCAATCTTCCCACATTCACATTGTTGCAAAGGTAGTCTGGTTGGTGGTTTGGAACATTTGGATTATTTTCCATCATATATGGGATAATTCACCAACCATTGGCTTTCATATGTTTCAATGTGGTTAAAACCACCAACCAGTAGTGACCTATTGCTGGTTGATTGGAAAACCCACTTGGATAACCTCCCGTCATGGCTACCCTTCGATGGCACTGTGGAGGCCTTGACCCATCCCCCAGGCCATAACCGCCGTTGTGTATCGTTATGGAGATAGCTATGGACAATTCAAATCTACCATCTCCATCCATCTCCAAATTCACGTGAATCCCCATTGGAGTGGGCTAAATTCTCATTTTTTCCCGAGAGCGCCTGCGAAGGGTTCTTCGTAAAAAAGCAGCCGTTATACTACATCTTCACACCTTCACATCTGCTGATCTACATCTTCACACCTTCACATCTGCAGATCTACATCTTCACACCCTCACACCTGCAGATCTAGATCTTCACACCTTCACACCCGCAGATCTAGATCTTCACACCTTCACACCTGCAGATCTAGACCTTCACACCTTCACACCTGCAGATCTACATCTTCACACCCTGACATCTGCAGATCTACATCTTCACACCCTCACATCTGCTGATCTACATCTTCACACCCCCTGACATCTGCAGATCTACATCTTCACACCTTCACACCTGCAGATCTAGATCTTCACACCTTCACACCTGCAGATCTAGATCTTCACACCTTCACACCTGCAGATCTAGATCTTCACACCCTCACATCTGCAGATCTACATCTTCACACCCTGACATCTGCAGATCTACATCTTCACACCCTCACATCTGCAGATCTACATCTTCACACCTTCACATCTGCAGATCTCCTCTCGCTCTTCTTCTATTCTCTCTTAAGGCGGGGGCGGTGCCGCCGGAGCGCCACGAAACGCAACCTTTTCGCACGAAATGGACGTTGGACGTCAAAAACTGAGAGGAAAAATTGCGACTTTGCGTCCCGTGCAACCCTTACGCACGAAATGGACGTTGGACGTCAAAAACTGAGGAAAAATTGTGACTTTTATCCGTCGCGCGCAACCCTTTCGCACGAAATGGACGTTGGACGTCAAAAACTGAGAGGAAAAATTGCGACTTTACTTAGTCAATCGCAACCCTTTCGCACGAAATGGACGTTGGACGTCAAAAACTAAGGAAAAATTGCGACTTTGAGTTGTTAATCGCAACCCTTACACACGAAATGGACGTTGGACGTCAAAAATTGACGAAAAATTGCGATTTTACTTGGTCAATCGTAACCCTTTCGCACGAAATGGACGTTGGACGTCAAAAATTGACGAAAAATTGCGATTTTACTTGGTCAATCGTAACCCTTTCGCACGAAATGGACGTTGGACGTCAAAAATTGAGGAAAAATTGCGATTTTACTTGGTCAATCGTAACCCTTTCGCACGAAATGGACGTTGGACGTCAAAAACTGAGAAAAAATTGCGATTTTACTTAGTTAATCGTAACCCTTTTGCACGAAATGGACCTTGGACGTCAAAAACTGAGGAAAAATTGCGATGGACGCTTTCGTTTGTGTAAAAGTGTCTGTGTGTAAATATATGTGTGTAAAAGCGTTTGTGTGTGAAAGCGTGTCTGCGTGTGTAAAAAGCATCTGCGTGTAAAAGCGTCTGTGTGTAAAAGCGTCTGTGTGTAAACGCGTCTGTGTGTAAAAGCGTTTGTGTGTGAACGCGTCTGTGTGTAAAAGCGTTTGTGTGTGAAAGCGCGTGTGCGTGTGTAAAACGCATCTGCGCGTAAAAGCGTCTGTGTGTAAAAGCGTTTGTGTGTCAACGCGTCTGTGTGTAAAAGCGTTTGTGTGCGAAAGCGTGTGTGCGTGTGTAAAACGCATCTGCGTGTAAAAGCGTCTGCGTGTAGAAGCGTCTGTGTGTAAAACCGTCTGTGTGTAAAAGCTTTTGTGTGTAAAAGCGTCTGTGTGTAAAAGCGTCTGTGTGTATTTAAAAGCGTCTGTGTGTAAAAGCGTCTGTGTGTAAAAGCGTTTGTGTGTAAAGGCTTTTGTGTGTCAAAGCGTCTGTGTGTAAAAGCGTCTGTGTGTAAAAGCGTCTGTGTGTAAAAGCGTCTGTGTGTAAAAGCGTTGTGTGTGTTAAAAGCGTCTGTGTGTTAAAGTGTTTTCGTGTAAAAGTCTCTGTGTGGAAATGCGTCTGTGTGTGTGCATGAAAAACGTCTCTGTGTGAAAGCGTCTGTGTGTAAAAGTGTTTATGTGTAAAAGATTCTGTGTGTAAAAGCGTCTCTGTATAAAAGCGTCGCGTTTCTTCGCGTTCACGGAATGATGGTGCCGAGCCTTTTTCCGCAATGTGTGTGGGAATTACCATAATAAAATGAGATAACACATGTCATTCGCAGACTCATGGTACCGAGCCTCCTGTGCACTTTTGTTGCTCACATTACATTTCTCCATGTTTTCTTTCTACCTCCCCCTTTCATTCTCTCTCTCTCTCTCTCTCTTGCTTTCTCTCTCTCTCTCTCTCTCTATCTCTGCCCCCTCTTTCTCTCTGTGGTTGCAAGACACATGTCATCTGATGCCCTTTACCAAATATTCTCTTCTTGATCAATCTTACTTTTTCACACCATATCTTTCCATAGCTCATATAAAATTCACCAACTATTCACCGACTATCTTTTACGACTACCATCCTCAGAGCTGCTTGAAAAACATCTTTTTCGCTCTCGGGCCAACCGTCGTCTAGTTTTTGAATTTGTATGTACAGTACCACATTGGAGTGAGCCCATCCATGCCCGCCGTACCATCACAGATCCCGCACTGTAGTGGATTAAAAAATACCGTCTGGGTGGAATAAACAAATTGCTGGTTAAATCCTCATCGGACCAACCGAATATCATGTTTTTGTAGACAACGGAAACATTGTTGGTGAAGTACATGTGAAGTACCAACATCATCCGATGATCATCCTTTGTTTTCCAATATGTTCCAAGTTTTTTTTGTTTCTTTCATAGAATTGGATGATGGGAAAATTTGCAGGAAAACCCGATCAATTTGATGGTAAAAACCATGGGTTCCTCTAGATTTTCCCAACAAAACCAACCCAATGTTTCTTGGTTCCACCCCCCAGCTGTTCAGCTACCAATCGCCTCCGATGACGTCCCAGCGCCGCGACATCGCCAGGATCCTCCGCGACATCGAAGGCACCGTGGGCATCGATGTCTTCGATGAACAAATTCGTCGCAAGGTGCGGGAGGAGAAGGCGCGAAAGGCGGCGCCGGGGTGGCTGTTGGAGGTGACCCGGGGGTGTTCATTGACTTTATGATTTTTGTTAATTATCTGGTTGGTTAATAATGGTTAATAATGGTTAATAATGGTTCATAGTGGTTGAAAAATGGAGAATCATATGGTCAATACTGGTGATTAATGGTGATTGATAACTGGTTGGTGGTGACTGGAACAGCCATTAATAATGGTGGTTAATACTGGTTAATAATGGTTTTCATGAGATATACTGGTTGGTGGTGACTGGAACATGAATGGATTATATTTTTCCATAATCCCAACTGACGAACTCCATCATTTTTCAGAGGGGTAGGTCAACCACCAGCCAGTTTGGATGTGTTTAAAATTCACTTCCTGAAATGGGGAAAGTTCAACCCGTGGATGTACCCTCTCCTGAGATGTGGAGTGGATGGAGTGGGTTGACCATCATTGAACTTGATACGATGACAACTTGGGGGTTTCCTGAAATGGGGATATCCCAATAGCTGGATGGTTTATTTCATGGAAAATCCTACTAAAATGGATGATGTGGGGGAATATACCTTCTGGTAAACTAACAGTTTGCGAACTGGAAAATCACAATCTTTAAGTTCGGTAAATCAACTATTTCTATGGGCCATTTTGAATAGCTATGTACCAAATTACCAGAGGGTAAATGGTCAATTAACCATTTAATGAATCTCTCATGGTTTAAATAGTTAATTCACCATGAATGGGGCCATTCATCCATCTTAGGGTGGTTTAATTCACTTCACTAGTGGGGTCACCCTCCAGTAAGTTAGTCGCTTGATTAGTCGAATGGTGGGATCACAATGGAGATTTTTCGACCACTTCCTGGTAAGTTGCAATTCATTACCAGCCGCCTGACTAAACAACCCGACCCTGGAGATAACCCATTTCTAGCCCCAAAAAATGGCCGGGTCGTCATGTTAGTTGGGGGGATTGTTATCTAATTGTGTTTCTTTGTGCTTACACACTGCATATGCTTCATATAGAGTTCCCCATATTTGAGTCATGTTTAGGGTAACTGTGCAAGAAACATGGAGCATTTGGGTTTAGCTTGTGGTTACTATGAAATTACCAGGTTTAGACTAATTGTGACTGCGGCTACTATAACTATTTAACTACATAATAATTAATACATATTAATAAATACATGAATTATATGGTGTTACATTTCTAGGACGAAGTCAATGGGTATTTCATCATCAAAATTGCTTTTGTAATATGATGTTACGATCAAACATGGTGATAGTAGACGTCTTATGGATAGTACACAAATTAGGTTTCGGCTGGTTTATAGAAGTATCGTACAATTGTTGGGTACACTTACCCTCTGGTAATTTAACGTAAATATGGACAATCACTATAGGTAAACCAACTATCAATGGGCCGTTTGTACCATAGCTATGTTAGTCTACCAGAGAGTAAGACCTCCTCCCACGCTTTATTGTTGCTGGTTTCAGGCGAAACTGGCCTTCTTCGATGCTTTAGTGCGGCGTGAAGTGGAAAAGGTCCAGCAGCAGCTGGCGCAAAATCCCACGCTGTGCAACGTGCAGCTGTCACTTGGAGGACGACCAAGGGACATGGACGGCATTTTCATTGGATGACTGGTTATCATAAAATAAACCATTTAAAAATAGCTTGGTTGGTGGGTTAATTTGTTCGAACTTATACTACCTAATTTATTGGGGGATTATGATAAATGGAAACCTATCAGCCAACGAGTCTATATATGATATAATGAGATGGGATATGGGTAATGTTTAATGGCTCAAATGGGTCTGTCTGACAATGGATTATACTCCAAAATATCTATTACACTAATGTGGGTAGAACAATAATAAACCATTCCCCAGTCATCACCAGAAATAGCTGGTAGGTGAGTTGAGATACTGGCCAGGAATGGGTGGTACTCAACAATATGACCGTGATATATCAGGGATAGGTAGATGTGGGTAAAACTAACACTGGTTGGTTTCCAGGTAATGATGGTGTCAATATCATGGTCAATGATGCTTAACTGGTTGGTGGTTTGGAACATTTGGATTATTTTCCATCATATATGGGATAATCCACCAACCATTGACGAACTCCATAATTTTTCAAGATGGTTATTGCACCACCAACCAGTTAGGGATATAGATCTGGTTGGTGGTTTCACATATGTGGTTCTTTTCTGTGTCAATTTCAGAACAGGGGGTCTAAACCAACTGGAAGACTTCAACAACCTGGGTTTAACCGAGAAACATCGACAAACATAAACGAACTGTTCCAAGTGTAGATTGATATCATTGCCCCCCATTTTTGTTTTCTTTATATATCCCTCGCCTCACATGGTTATTTTGTTTCTCTTCTCGCGATCCTCATGGTTGGAATCTCCAACTCCCTGGGTGAACATGGGAGACGATATCCATGGCTATTGCAAAAAGATCTCGATTATTGTAGTTGTTTTGCATCGTGTCATCTTTTTCAGAGGGGTTGAAAACACCAACCAGGTTCTTTATTCTTGTCCTATGTCGTTGTTGTTTCCTGTTTGGATGACCCGTGAGAGAAAGAAATTATATCACCGTGCCATGCATCAGCGTGCCCTGTCCTGAGGCGACACTTCGGCCTGAAAAGCCCCTTGCATTTCATGTCGGAGCGCACACGCACGGCCAGTGAATGGGAAGATCTCAGCGGACGCAGCACCATCTTCGAACATCTCTTCAGGTGGCTATGGTGGTGATGTGGATGTGGATATCCTCCAGTAGCCTCTGGTTATGTCAAAATAGCGAACTGGAAAATGGCCCATAGAAATAGTGGATTTTCCCATTAAAAATGGTGATTTTCCATAGTTATGTTAGTTTACCAGAGGGTAACTTGGCAGTTTGCAAACTGGAAAATGGCCCATTCATATATGTATTCATATTCATAGATGTTTTACACATTAGACAGGGTGATTTTCCATTATTAAGTTGAACTACCAAAGGGTATCTCAACTGCTACAACATTTGGGAAAAAGTTGGCAGGATGGTTGGTTGGGCGGATGCAGGCTAGTAAGAGCTGTTTGACGATTGAGCAGCGCTGCAACGCTTATGATTAGAATCGAATCTATGGAACTCATATCCTCCAGTAGTTTGTCCTGGTTTAGCTGGAAAAGTCATTTAGTTTGATGATTATACATGAAATTATCTCAGTAATTTTCCCGCGAAAATTGAGATTTTCTAGCCATTTTAGTCCTTCCCAGAGGAAAGAGCTTCATTTGTTACTCGGCAAATCATCTATAAATGGGTCATGTTCCAAAGCAAACTGTTAGTTCAGATACCCTATGGTAAATCAACATCATCATAAATAACAGGTATATCATTTATAAATGGGTCACTTTCCAGTTCGCAAACTGTTGGTTTACCAGAGGCTAGATCCTATTCATATCTCCATGTTTGTTACTTAAATCCCTATGAAAATCATCACAAAATCCATTCAATTCCCATGAACATCAGCTTTATTCCCATCAAATTCTCATTAAAATCCATTCAATGCCCATTAAATCCTATGAAACTCCCATGAAAATTCCAATAATTCCATATAATTCCATCATTGAACGTATCACCTGTACCCAACTCACCCTGGGCCGCTGCCAGGGCCAGAGCAGATCCTGCCCTGAGAGATGCGAGCGGTAGGACTCCGCTGCATACCATTTGCATGTGGGATGGCGATGTACCTTGGACATCAGCCTCCGGTAAAACTAAGACTTTGCGAAGTGGAAAACCATGAATGCTTCATTTTCCATAGGTATGTCAGTTTACAGTTTACTAAACTTGCTAAACTGAAGGATACAATGGTGATTTAAGCATCCAAAATGGTGATAGAATGTGGATACATTGGGATATAATGGGGATTTATAATGGGTGTAATGTAGCTTGGACTTTTTAGAATTGGCTGGGACATGTGGCACCTGAAACCATTGGTTTCTTTTTGGCTTTTCGGCATCTTGGGGTTGGGCTACAGGTCTGCGGCCTAGAGTTGATTAAGTCTCAAGTTGAATAACATGTAATTACATGAAAAGCACACATGAATAGTTAGTTTTCAGGTCACTAAGCGGAGCTCCGATCCCAACTCTGTGACTTTCAGTTATACTTTAATGATGACCTACCCAGCAAGATACAGAATAGGCACGCACGTACATGATTGTATCGCTTTTGCTTCTTGCGGTAACTCCACCACCCATGGAATAGGTATCGCTTTTCCTTGGGAGAAGGTCTATCCCTATTTCGCATTGAATGTCATCAGTCATCACCATTTGCGTTGCTTCAACCACCACCACCACCAGCATCATCAACATCATCATCATCATCAACATCATCATCAGTATGTTGAGGTTGGCACCCATGTGAATCTCCATGTGTATGTCGCAAGACTGTCTAGGTAAAATGACGGATATTATACGGCCACAATCCAATTTCTTGAGTTTTAATGATACCCACATAAAGATGTTAACGTGCGGTGATTTAGTTGAGCTGGCCAAATTCCAAGTTGGACAGGTTTGATATACTGTGATCACTGGCAAAATCCCAAGTTTCATTGAAGGAATTCACCACTTTGCTGATAGCACCCCTATTTCAACTGATGGTCACGTATTCGTTTGATGAATAACCGCTGTTTTCTGTTCGAATCCACATGTTTCACTTGTATTCACTTGTTAATTCGTCCTTTTGCGGCTGGAAATACTGAACAAACCAGCATGATATGCCATAGCATCATTGGACAAATCCACATCGTCACTGGTTCAATTCGTTTTTAATTCAGGTTGATATCATCATCTGCTACTTACATCTACCTTTTCAGGGTTTGAATTCCCATTTATGTGGGTCAAGAAAGGCACCATGTTCACCGGTTCAGCTAGGCTTTTTCGTCACTAAACCTCCATCTTTGTCCTTGAAGTGTCGATCTCTTTCCATATGTTACCGCTCAACATGATCATTTGTTTCCTATGTTTCTTAACTTTCCATATTATTCCACCGCAAAAAATGGTGATTTTCCCTATGTTTTTCAACTTGTTTCACTCAAATGGCCTTGTGTTTCCCCGTTGTCCCCGGCCGTGGCGCAACGAGCCGCGTTTCGCCCCAGGTGACGTTGGCCAAGCGCCTGGTGCAGTGCCGGGGCGACCCCTCGGCGCGGGCCTGGCGTGGCGCGGTGGCGAAGCTGACGCCACTGGAACTGCTGCAGGGACGCGTGGGGATTAGCGACTTGGCGTTATGGGGGATGGGAGCGGATGATGGCTTGATGGTTTCTGATGGTTTATTTATGTTTATATATATATATGATATATGGTTTATAAGTTTGGCATCTCTGTTTGAACGGTTTATGAAAGATGAGTGGCTAGTGGTCAGTGGTTTATAAATTAGTGGTGTGTATTAGTGATGAAGTTGGGATGGGATGGTAAAACCCTGGGGAATAATGTGGAAAAAACAATAAACAAGCCATTTGGGAATGGTTTATACCACCTATTTATGGTGAAATTGGGGATGGTTTGATGGTTTGATGGTTTCTGATGGTTTCTGATGGTTTCCGATGGTTTGATGATTTGATAAATTTGTAATGGCATCTATAATAATGTTATAATGGTTCAATGGGTTGTATACTTTGTGATTTGTTTTGTTTAATGATTTTATAGATGGTATATAGTTAATTATATGTATATATATCATATATATATGGGATGCTGCACCATTGTTGAATTGATGGTTTGATAATTTGATTGTTTATGGATTGATGATGATGATGGTGATGATGGGATGGGATGGGATGGTAAAAACACTGGGGAAATACTGTGGGCAAAAACATGGAAACACAATAATAAACCACCCATTGGGTAATGGTTTATACCATTTAGGGTGAAATTGGGGATGGTTTATTATTGTTTTAGCGACCTTAAAATTGTTATATCAATGCGTCTATATTAGTGATTTGTATTTATGATTTATATTTATCTTCATGGTTTGATGTGATACACATTTATATACATGTGTATGTTATATATATATATGGATAAATTATAATGACATCACCGTGATGTGACAATAATTTTGCTTAGATATTGGAAGCATCCTTAAATGACCGCAAGTTTCAGATATTTTTCCGTTAGTGATATTATTATTCGGGCCAGATTTAATACACAATATACATGTTATATCCAATGGGATTCGGTGAATCGGCTATGATTGGTTTATTCATGTCATGGTATATCAGTGATATGGTTGATTGTCGGAAATCATCAACATTGGTACGATTTCCAGCATGGTGGTACGTTTCTGGTGTTCCATCGACTTCCTGTGTGATATCCTTTGTGAGTGAAGGTAATTTGGGTTCCAGGTACATACTAAGACATACTGCAAGGTGAGACCCCCCCCAGTTATTTTTGTTGGTTTATAAACACAGTATAGTTATATCTTGTTATATGCCTAAGCCAAACATTCAGCAATTTATATGGAGTTTTCCATAGTCATGGGGCTACCCCTAGTTATCATCCATTATAAACCACAATTTTCCATCACCATGGTTTAATCATCATTTATTAACCAGCGATTTTGGGGTACCCCCCATGACTTGGGAAACCGAACAAACCAAGGCCCTCAGCTCTTTGACCGTGGATACCAAAGTCGTTCCACGCGAAAGACTCAAGAACTACAGGAAGCTCGGCACCGTAACGGAAACGTCATGTTTCTGGAAATGTGTTTGGGAAATGCCCAGTCGCTTGATGGCTGTATTGATGAAGATTTTTATATATATATATAAATAATACCTTGTGTAGGTTGTTCATAGATTTTCATAGCATGCTTGAACCATCAAACATGTGGATTTCATGGGAAAACCCACCTTGAAACAAGAACATAAGAGGGCGACATGTTCCAGCCAAGTTATCTTCACCTGGAAGCCAACCATGGAAGTTTCAGGGAACCCCAGAAGAGGTCAACCGGCAAAGGTCAACCTCCCCACCAATCAAAGCCTTAACAGATAATATTATTTATACGATACCCTCTGGTAAATTAACATAGAGTCATAGAGCCTGAACATCACCCATTTTTAGTGGAAACTCATCTTCCAAATCCTATCTGGCAAGGTCTATGTTAATTTACTGGGGGGTATAGGATGGTTAACATGTGGAAGCTGAGGAATATGTTACCTCATATTTACCAAGAATATGGTGGTAAAATGTATCCTAAAATAGCCTTTACCACCTATAACAAGTCCAATAGAAGCCATACACCAACCATCCCATGTCGAAGCTGAGGAGTATTTGAGAAGCCTCGAGGTTACTCCTCTTCGCCCCTGAAACCTGTGGGCGTTGCCAGGGGTGAGTATTCCTTAAAGGAATGCTGTTGCGCGGGGTCATGATGGTGAGAAGTCCATCATGGGTCGGAAAATAGGCTACCCAGAAATTTCATGGTTAATAAAAGTGATTAATCCCATAGTTATCATGGTTAATAAAAGTGATTAATCATGATTAATAGGCTACCCAGAATCATCACCTGACACATTCTATTTTGGGGTAATTACTTGGATCATCGTACGAATTGGAAGTGATGAAAATCACCATAGTGATTAAACTGATTTATAGATGGGACCTACTTGGAAATCTTACTCACCACGGCGTTTCGACAAACCCATCTTCTTGATTCTTAGATCTTTTTGCCATTAAGATTTCTGCTTGATGGCATCATGACTCCGAATCCTTCGGTGATTTCCAGCCTTGGCTGGAAGAAAAGGTGCGACAGGACTTTGAAATTTGATGAAATTTGATGAGGAGAAGGTACTTTTCGGGATTACCCTCCATAAAACTAGAAATGACCTTGAACATTGCCACCATTAATGGAAACTCATCTTCCAACCACCCATCTGGCAGGGTCTATGTTAATTTCGCGGAGGGTAAGTTCTGCCAAACTTTGGTGCATTTGTTGCTTTTGAATGCAGTTTTCCAAATGTGTGCGCTTTTTTTCTACTGTACCCTAGTTGCATTTAGTTACCCATGTATTGTATGTCTGTCAACATATACCTTCATCTATCCGAAATTGCCCAAACTATAGGTACATAATTGGTACATCATTGGTTCATATATATATATGACATATAAATTTTAAATATGGAACCACCAGACTTAAGGAATCTATAAATTTATAGACTATAATTTTATAGTTCCATTCATCTATTCCATTCATATATATGACAGATAAATGTATACCAGACATTTTTCGCATGTGGCGACCACTGACGTCTGACGAAAATCCGAATCCGAATCCGCGATCCACCACCGGATCCAACGGGATGTCGAGCAACGGGATGTCTACCGCATGGTTTCAGAAGCGTTCGGGTAGCCACTGTTAAATTACCACAAGGTGGTGCCCACCCAGTGATGTAAACGTTGGTTGACAAACCATAGGAATAGTATATAGATATACCTACCATAAACCATAGTGAAATTGGAATTATGTGCACCAACCTAGCAATTCTGAACTGGGGCACCTCTTTGCACAGGGTAATTCCCAGTATCAGTTTTGGTGAAAGATTCCATCTCCAATGAAATCCTATTGATCCCAAATTTATATCCATAGGAGCCCCGAGAATCCTATAAAAGTCCACGAGAATCTGCCAAAATCATCCAAAATCACATTAACATCATTAAATCTCATGACATCCCATGATACATCCACCACACAATATGATTTCCTCGGGGAAAAAAGAACCGCAGGTGCGCCGCTTCGTGGAACACGCGCAGCAGGAACACGAAGTGGCCGTCGAGCAACACGTGACTTGGTGAACGGGGTGAACGGTGAGTGCCGGGACGGGCCATGCTGGTATAATCAACAATCACAATCAACATACCTTAATGCGGTATCGATTGCATTACTTAATCAACATGTCAAGTTCATGTGGATTGAATATGTAAAACTATCTAAAAATTAATGTTGACAAGTTACAGGGTTGCGCCAGTCCATTGTAGGTAAATGATAGCCGCGAGGAGGCGAAATTGGCAATTTTATCTCTATAGTTACCCAATCTACCCCTCTTGTACCTGGGGTATTGGGAGCAACCCTGAGTTCATTGCATAATGATTCATGTTAACAATTACATTCCTCACTCATCAATCTAGGAACCTAGTACCAAAGTACCAGGCTTCCATGTTGGTTAAAAATCCTGAGTTTAACCGAACAACAGGTGTATGCGTTTTGTTTAAATTAGAATGGTATGAATCAACCATAGTAGGAGTTTGTTTGTTTTAGTCGGGTCTGGGGGGTATAGCATTGTGACTAAACATGGGGATTGAACTAGTACAAATGGAGCTATAACCAATTATACGCGTAACGATTCGATATTAATGGATATGTAATTGTATTTTATGGGTATATGATGGGGTATATTGAGCTATCATCAGAGAATATAACATCATTATATAAGTCGTATAGAGTGATTCTACCAAGACTGATTGGTAGCTTGCAACATTCTATTAACGGGGATGTACCCAGAAAGTGAGGTTTTTAGGCATCTACAATAAGGTGTATATAATATATAGAATGGGCTAACGGAGGCGTTGGAGGGATGGCAAACTGCAGCCTATCAAGGGCAGACGCGCTGCCGGGAAGCGTTTGGAGGGTTCGGTGGGCCCAGGGCGGGGTGTGTCCGGCAGTTTCGGAGCGGTACAATAGAGGTGGTACCGCGGAGCGTTTGCACGGATGGCAAGCGGAATGGCAATGGAAGCAATCGGGGCATAGATGGGGAAAAGCCAAGGTCCACACCAAAGGTGGTCCCAGGCGCCGCCCCGGCCATAGCTTATATTATATTATATATATATATATATATTATATATATATTATATATATTATATATATATATTTATATTATATATATACATATTTATTTATATTATATATATATTATATTTTTTTATATATAGTATATAATTATATATATATATTATTTAAATATATATAGTATATAATTATATATTTATGTATTATTTAAATATATATATATATATATATGTTATTTATATATATATATATTATTTATATATATATATATTATTTAAATATATTTATTGAGTGCCACCCAATGCCTGTACCAGCCACTAGCGGGTTTCCTTGCTAACAAAAAGCCTGGAGGACCACAAGCAAATCCTTTTTGTTTGCAGCCAACATTCTCAATACCAGAAAAATAGAAGTTGGAGAACTCTGCTTCCTCACTTTTGGGAATTGCCTCTTATATGTTGAATTTGATCTTGGGTTTGGCAAATTTTGGATCTTCACTTTTGGATTCCATGTTGTGTGTTGAGATCCCTGGATGAACCCTCTTTGGGGTTTTGGACCAAAAAAGACAGGTTTATTTGCAACATGCCAACAGACATGTTCAACAATCCTGGCAAACAGTGCCAGAGACATTGGGTTTCCTTCTACTTCGACACATGTCTCACTTTCATCACTGCTTACCTGACTACCTGTTCTTGTTGTAATGGATTCCTGGCAAAGAATCTGTGGGACATGTGATGGGTATAAAGTGAGAAGCCACGCACGGCAGTTGCTCCCTCTTTTCCAGCTGTCCATACCATTATGTGTATATGCGGTCACAGCATTTAGCAGGCCACCCACAGCGAAAAAGCATTGGAACAAAATCGTTTCCTTCTGTGCAAACTATTGATTTTACATGGTTGGACTCGGCTATTCTATTCTCAGACATTTCTTTGCTGTATTGGCTTTGCGAGCTTTGGAAGGCATTGTCCAGGAGTTCCGTTGTTTGTTAATTAACGAAACCTTGCTTATTTACGCTAACCTTGCTTTTTAATCTTCTTGAATTAACGGCTTTTACCTTAATTAAGAGAAAACCTTTGTTAATCAAGTTAAAACTCTTTAATTAACGACTTTTGTTAAGAGAGGTTTAGTCAATCAAGCAAGGTTTTCTTATTTAAGCAACCCAGCTTGAATTTAAGCAAGGTTCTTTTTTAAAAATCGCTTAAAATTGATGCATCTTGTTTTTTATCAGCACATTATTTTTCGTCAAGCCTCGTTTTGCATGACGTTGTCCCCTAAAGTTAGGGGGCAGGCCTCCAAAAAAAAACGAGCAAATGGCACTAGCAGCTGAACAAAACGGCCATGGTGAGACAGTGAATGTGTCCTCTGATACCCTTCTTTTGCTTAGTTTGAAACTATATTGGTAATGTATTTTTACTTTTTACTTTTTTTTGTTTCTTTTTCCTGCTATGATTTCTGCACGTTTTTTTTAACAAAAGAAATGCATTTTGATTAGAAATGCATTTTGATTTCATTTCCAAACAAAAGAAAATTTTATTTTTACAATTTTCATTGGTTTTCCAACATTTGTTATTTTTTTTAATATGTTTATTTTATTTTTATTACTATTTGTTTTTCATTTTTTTAAAAAAAATATTTTCATTTTTTGTAAATATATATATATATATTTTTTATTTATTTTTAAATAGACATTAAGAAAAATACAAAAAATAAAATTCAAAAAAAAACAAAAAAATCAAAATTGGTTAAATTTCATTAAAAATAAAATTTTCATTTTTTCCCCACCTGCCAGGTGAGGGTTGTTAGATTGTATCAGAGCGCATGCCCGCCCGCAGCCTCCTCCTCCTTTGCCAACTTCCCAGCTCAGTGCGCACTGCTGGACCTCAACCTGGGACCTTCCCAGCTCAGTGCGCACCGCTGGACCTCAACGGCCAGATAGAATGCCAGAAGATATGCCAGATAAAATGCCATAAGAATGCCAGAAGGTATGCCAGATAAAATGCCAGATAGAATGCCAGAATATATGCCAGATAAAGTGCCAGAATGTTTGCCAAATAGAATGCCAGAAGATTTGCCAGATAATATGCCAGAAGATATGCCAGATAGAATGCCAGATGGAATGCCAGAAGATATGCCACATAGAATGCCAGAAAATATGTCAGATAGAATGCCAGAAGATTTGCCAGTAACAAAATGTATAAATGTCATGGTGGGGATCACACGAAGTAAAGTTTGTTTTTTTAACCTGACTTTGTTTGTTTCTTTTTGATGTGCTTGGAGATGTTGCGCTTCTTGTACAACCAGCTGAAGCGAGTCTACCACGGCATGAAGCAGGATCAGGCCGGTTTTAAGCAGCATCTTGTGCGTCATCATATTAGTGTCTTTCGCAGGGTGACGCGCTGTTGCACGGCTGGCTGGACGACATCTTGAAATCGCCAAAACGCGAGCCGGAGCCTTGGGTCCAGGAATTTACGTAGCATGTAAGCATAAAGCAGAAGCGCATCTTGAGGCGAGAGCGACTGCATGATTCTTATCACGAGTCGTCCATGCCCGGGGCAGGCAGGTTTGAGACGTTGTTTTCAATGCGTTCTGCAGTCCCTGGAGCAGGTACTGGTAACTGTCTGCGGGCAGTCAAGCTGCTGGTTCCGAGATTCAACGGAGCCAGCCAGCGCTGCAAGGTCGGCAAAATACTGGAGGCCGATGCTAGGCCGCATCTTAAAACAGTCAGACAGCGTATCTAGGCGCTTCTTCGAAATACAGTGCTCTGCCGAACGAGGCCATCATGCTCGGTGAGGAGAGACAGAATCCCGGAGACGTTGTGGGATTGATGCAGCAGTTCCTCTACGCGCTGAATTTGCTGAATTGCTCCATGGCTGCATTCAATGCTTCATGAACTAGCCCTAGATTGTATCAGAGCGCATGCCCGCCCGCAGCCTCTTCCTCCTCCTCCTCCTCCTCGACTAGCTGTCCTCCTCGCCTCCGCCTCTTCCACCTCCACTTCCGCCTTGCCAACCTTGCCAACTCGTCGCCAAGCTCTTCGCCAACTTCCCAGCTCAGTGCGCACTGCTGGACCTCAACCTGCGAGCTGCCCCGCTCAGTGCTCAGTGTGCACCGCTGGCCCTCAACCGGGGACCTGCCCAGCTCAGTGTGCACCGCTGGACCTCAACCGGGGACCTTCCCAGCTCAGTGTGCACCGCTGGACCTCAACCTGGGACCTGCCCAGCTCAGTGTGCACCGCTAGACCTCAACCTGGGACCTGCCCAGCTCAGTGTGCACCGCTGGACCTCAACGGCCAGATAGAATGCCAGAAGATATGCCAGATGGAATGTCAGATAGAATGCCAGAAGATAGGCCAGGTCTGGAAGTTCACTGGGCGCAGATACATTTCAGCAATGAGCAGGTTGGAGGTCGCCTCGCTTATCTTTCAGGTCACAACGAATTTACAGCTTTACGCTGAAACATTTGGGTACTTCAAATCATCTGCGCTCTTCTTTTTCAAGCGGCTTCGGGGTCATGCTACTAAAACACCTTGACGCCCATATGATCAGAGATATGGCAAATGATGTTACGTGTATATTTTATTCATCATTGAACCAGAACTGGCAAGAAAACCATGTAGCATCGGTTTCATTAATACCTCTGTGCGTCTTCTGAGTTCCATGCGTACTCTTGCTGCTTCGGTTACTTATCCGCTCAACATCGAATTATTCAGCACACATCAGCACACCGGTGGGTCGTGCGCGCAGCTTGGGACCCTTTTGCTTTTCCACGCCTTCCCACCCTCCCGGTCCCATCTCCCCCCTTGCCCAGGAGTGTGTTTGTTCCTTCCCCCTGCTGTCCTGCTTCAGTTGTCTTGCTGCTGGGTGATTTTGCTTTGTTGCCTGTTCTGCTTTGCGCTTTTGCTCTTCTGCCTGCCAGGGTTGGTTTCCGTGCTTTCTCCCTCCCCCCTTTCCTTTGTTCTGCCTGCTTGTTGTGTGCTCCCCTGCCTGTTCTGTGCCTTTGCCCTGTTTTTCTGTTGTTGTTTGTGGCTGGCTGTAAAACCCCACAGCACAGAGCGGTTGAGTTTGATGTATTTTCGTTTACCTGAATTGTTTACTACCAAAATCGACAGGAGATTGCCACCTTTCTGAGACGGTTGATGAAATATCACTCAGTGGTCCATTTGATGCAGTGGTGTCAGCTGTCGGATTTGCCCCTCATCATGAGGGGCCATGTGTGTGTGTGTGTAAGCTGCTAGTCACATGCAGTGTTTACAACTCATCGAACTTACAATTGTAAATACCTAACAATTTCAACAAGTAGGGGGCATACAGGGAAAGCTTTTCTCCTCTTCTGTGTTTCAGCAGCAACTTTTCTGTGAAAATTTCGTTAGATTTGGGACTAGGTGCAATATCTAATCCTTTTTGAAGTGACTTGAAAAAAATCCCATGTTGCATTTGTTTTTTTTGGGGTGTCTTTCGCCCACGAATGGTCAAGGTTAAATGACTGCCTGTTCTGGCCTCTCTCAGGATTGAGCCACCTGAAATGAGAGAAAAGACATTATGGACGTCAATGGGATCTGTCAGTTTTTTCACGTCGTATAAATTTCTAATCTTGGTGCTCATTCCTTTCGTGTTTCACCCCCGCGCCATGTCATACTAGATCTTTTTCATAGCGGGGAATTTTGAACCCAGGGGGGGAAAAGCAGGTCCAGAAGTTCCACCAGAAGGACTTCAAGCCATTACACTACCAGTAGATCATCAAGAAGCAGCATTGCCGATCCGACCAAGACCTTCAGCACCATCTTCAAAACCACGACCGCTGCCAATACCATCAACATCTCTGAGACCTTCGTTACCACGGACACCGCCACGACCACCACCATCACCCAGACCTTCTACGCCATCCTCCCAACCATTCGCTTCTTCACTCACCTTTGTCACGGATCAAGCAGGACAACAAATTCCCAACTGACATCATACAGGTCAAACCTAAATCAGGACCAGCAACATCATGCAGCAGGTCGCCCCTTCCCAGAAGACGAAGACTGCCAGATCACAATGCGCCAGCAGATCCAGGCCCTCAGACCACAGCTACGTTATCCAGACCACCAGCTTTGTGGCATGACAACACACTCAGCGGAGTTTGGCCACGATATACGCAGACTTTCCTGTACCACCAAGAACTGAACGTGCAATCACCACACAAGAAGCAGATCTTCGAGCTTGGCTTCGGCAACGTGAAGATCCGCGCCATCTGATGTCTACAGAGCAGCTGAAGTACGTGGCTCGCACTTAGAGTATAACCAGGCTACACATAGCACATCTCCGCCCTTTACAATAAGTGCCTTAAATTTGATCCGACTTGGACCAATGCACAAAGGTAGGCAATACTTCTATGTTTTGCGAAATCCGGAATTCAAATCAAAGCTGGGTTTTGAAGATGATATTCCTCCACCGCAACAAAGAGCACTGCGACCAGATGGTAGTGATGCTTGTCAACACGTGCAATTATTTTACGCAACCTCACCAGGATGACTCCGAGGGATCTTAGCTGAAGCTAAGCTTCAACCCTTCAGGCTACGTCACGCTGATTCAGGTTAATTTTCCGCATTAGGATACCGAAAATCCTATGACTCTCCGCATGATAGATGAGAAACTGCTAGCGTCGAATTCATGCTGGCAAGCGAGCAAGAATACTGCTCGCATTCTCGTGATGTGTCTGGCCCGCATGGCCAAAGCAGAAAAATTGCTGCTGCTGTTGAAGATTTCCATCCACTTCCCAATGTTTCTCAGACCAATCCAATTGGCCAGGGGTTGATGACCAGGCCATCCTTGGGCATGGAATTTGTGTGCAGAGATGATTTCAGATATTTTTTGCCTCCAGCTCCATGGGTTTTGAGAGGACAGGTGAATCTCAATTTCAAGTCGAGTGTGCGCAATGGTGTGTAAAATCGTATTATGAAAATATGCTAGATATAGTCTAGCCGTATATATTTATTTACCTTGATGAAAACACGTTTCAAAGTCGAAGGTTCGCAGATAGGCCACAGGCCCTGATCTGACCAATGTGGCATGGCGGCCTTTTTTCCGGTGCCGTGGCTCGCGGCCACGGCAAAGGCAGCCACGGCAAAGGCGGCCTTGGCAAAGGCGGCCACGGCAAAGGCCAAGGCGTGAAAGAGTTGTTCTTGTTCCCACTGTAGCATCAGCAGTCGTGGTAGTGGTAGTGGTAGTGTGGTGGTGGTGAGTCGTCGACGTCGTCCTCGTAGTAGTAGTCCTCGTCGTCGTCGTCGTCGTAGTAGTAGTAGTAGTAGTAGCTATAGTGGTAGTAACTAGCTAGTGGAAGTAACTAGTAGTAGTAACTAAGTAGTAGTAACTAGTAGTAGTAACTAGTAGTAGTAACTAGTAACTAGTAGTAGTAACTAGTAGTAGAAGCTAGTAGTAGCAACTAGTAAGGTTTGAAAATTTGTGCGTTAAATCACCGCAGTCAACTTGGAAAGGGAACCATGTTTTTCCACATTTTTCTCGTGCCTTTTCTGGCGCCCTTCTGGTGCCCACTGTTACAGCGAATGGGCGGTACACAATATATATATATATATGCATTTATTTATATATATATATATATTGAATGCTACATTTTTTGATAATAGGTATATAACTATTGATTTGGTTGGTGGTTTCACATATGTTCATATTAGTATCTAAGCTTCAAAACTATTCGAGATAATTTCCATCGATGAGCAAATTGTTCAAATGGGTTGAACCTCCCAAGTACCCTCTGGTAATTTGTTACATAGCTATTGAAAATAACAATAGAAACAGTTGATTTACCCATTAAAAACGGTGATTTTCCATAGTTATGTTAGTTTACTAGGGGGTAATGATATTGATGTTGTTGTCTACCGGCATGTCTTTGGATCAGTACCTTCATTTACCATTGTATTGGGATGAACATCTAGTTACCACCTGTTTGGATGTCTACCAGGGGTACCAAGGGTTTTGACCCATGGCCCATAGCTATATTTAGTTAATCATGATTATGTTTGAACATGAGTCATATTAATATCAAAGAACCCAGTATTAGATCAGACAATGTGTTATTCTAGAGAATAGAGAAATGTCAATGACATTACCATTTTTTTCAGGTGTATATATTTTCTATACATATATTATTTGTGTGTGTAAAGTCTGCATAGTAGGGATGTAAGGAGATATAGATTCTAAAGAAACTGGTGATTAACTCATGGTTTTTTGGGTACCATGTTTTCAGACAATCCATTTGGGGTTGTCTCAAAATGGTGGATTCACCCAAAAAATCTTGGTTTGGGGTCCGACCGGGACTGGCAAGGTGTCGCAGATGCAGGTCAGGTTTTTTTTGGCGTTGGGGTAAACTAACATTTCGATGTGGAACATTTACATACCCTCTGGTAAACGTTTACATAACTATGGAAAATCACCATGTTTAATGGGAAATTCCAATATTTCTATGGTCATTTTCAATAGCTATGTTTGGCATAACCAGAAGGTACATTTACCATGTCTAGATCATTTTCCGAAGGGTTTTAACCATAGGTTTTCCACCATCGTTCGTTTACCCTCGGGCAACTTATCACTACTGGTGGCATCATCCTGTCCACCCCTTAAGGCGTTAGGGCTGATCTGCTCCGAACGTCGGGAACTCTGGCCGGGACCCTCAGCTGTGTCCTGGATGTGATGCTGGAGAACCAACAAATTTTTATTCGATTGAACCCCCAAAAAAGAGGATTGTTATCTGGTGTCATCAAACATGGCAATTGAATAATTGAATGCAAATGAAATTCCTCTATAAGTGGTGTGTTAATAGCAAAATCATCGACTGTACAAATGTGGCATGGTCCATTGCCATGTTTGATTACCAGAGCGTAGGAAAAAAAAAAATGCCACTAAGATAGTGACAATTGACTTAATTTCGATCTTTTTGGGTGGTCCTATACACTGAAAACAACATGTGAATTTGACTCTTTGACCACCAAAATATTGGTTTCGTTCATGAAAAATGTCCATTAAATAGTTTTCCTTTTTCTTACTTAGCGGTTCACCCCAGGCAGCAAGTGGCTTACCCCAGTTGTACCTATATTTACTCTACTTACATCTACTTACCCTACAACTTCTGGAGTGAACTAACCCACAAACACGATTCCTGGGGTGCACCGCCATTAAAATCATTAAACACCCATATCCCAACAATATTAAGATAAGATTTCCATCAAACCACCAAGTATTCATCATCTCAAAAGATGTCTTTCAAAATTTCCTGATTTTTCCATAGATTAGATGCCGCTGATGATGTTTCCATATGTTTCCCGTAGACCACCCATTTCTGATGGTTTTTGTTCCGAAACGCCTCGCCAGGTCGCGGCTCCGGCGGCTGCGGTCGCGGAGCGAGCCCAGGGTGTCCAAAGAGATCCTTTGCCAAGTGCTGTCCGAGGCGCCTCAGTGTTGACCCGAAAAATGACGTGTTTTCACCCGCAAAAAAATGGTGATGGTACCATCAGGTTTTAGAAAATGGCCATAGAAATAGTGATTTTTCCCATTAAACATGGTGATTTAATGTGATTTAATGTGATGTTACCCTCTGGTTATGACGAACATAGCCATGGAACATCCACCATTTTGAAGAACGGTAAACCATCTATTTCTACGTTTGGAATTCAATGGATTGGTTTCAATATTCAAGGAAATGATGCGGGAAACCTTTAGCCCTTGAAATATGTGTATTTCCTCTAAACGTTCCCTTTAAGCAAGTCTGGAACGTATGAACGTAACATGGATCATTTTGTAGATAGAAGTATATAGAATTTCACGTAATCTAAATAGTATCATATATATATATATGTACACCATATACCATCTTACCATCCCGTAGGACTGACACAGATGTGGAAAATCTATCAGATCATTATTCGAAGGGGGGAATCCCGGGGTGGTCCACATTTGTATGTTTACCCCATGATAGCCAAGAGAAGCATGCATGGCTAACATGGGGTAAACATACAAATGTGGACAATCATTTGGTGATGAATTGGGGGGTGATGAAATGGCAACATGGGTATCATGGTCCTATTTTTTTGGGGTGATGAATTTTAATCAACCAACCAATGGCTAACTTATTAATTTTTTGGGGAGGAAGGGACTAGTGAGGGAAATAACAAATAGATGGTTCAGAAGGATTTGACTCATCAATGGTTGATCAATCAATGGTTGATGGTTAGATGAGATATACTATTTCTGGTTGATTGATTGATAGACCATTGATAGACCATTGATTGATAGACCATTGATAGACCATTGATTGATCATCCTATCCAAATTTATGGTTTCTGGTTGATTGATTGGTTAAATACTTCGTTTTGGACAGGATTGCTTGGTGATTTGGGGATTCCTCAATGATCATCCCTGATCATCCCGTTAAAAAACCACTGGGGAATCTTGGGTGCCACAACCACCAGGTCACCATTCGTTGGTATAAAAATGGCAACTGTAACAAGGTTGCTCCCAAGACCCCAGATACGTTGGGGGGGGAACATGGTAAACATGGTAAATATCGAAGTAAGATGGCATTTTTTTTTTGCACAAAAGTGGCGAGCATTTACTTTTAACAGGCTGCAACAACCCTGTGTAATTAACCAAGAACAATGGGTTTTAAAGGGCGTAACTGGATGGGTTCTCACTGCATAAATGGGTTCCTGGGTTGGTCTGAAAATGTTAGGAAAACCGTCCAAAGAAAGTGAACCTTCAAATATGGTCATTTGATGGGAATATTATATTTCATGGGTATGTAAGCCAAGAATTTAATGGGCAAGTTTACCAACAATGATGGATAATAATGGGATATGTCTGGGTAAACCAGCTTTAGGTACAACTTTATGTGCTATGTTGATTGTGATATTCTAAAACCTTCCCCGTGCGCCGGTCTGAGTATATGCTGTCAAAATGGAGGATGCCCTGAAGATAGTGGTTTTCAGCCATGACCATGGGGGACCATGGGGTTTTTGGCCCATCTGGAACATGGGACAGTGATTTTGGGTGAATTATGTGATTTAACTGGTTCACTTATTAAAACATGCTTATAAAACATGCTTAAAATTAAAGCGCTATCATTGCCTGCATCTCGCAAAACACAGCTGCAAGAGTGTGCAACCAGATTGCAACCTTTCATTTTGGTGTGTTTCAAACATGGGGTAGCAATGAACCCACAGAATTAGACATTGTTGTTTTTGCCATGCATTTTTGAGTTTGAATCCTCTTGATCCATTTCATTTGTTCTGACACTTTACCACTAGAAACAAATAGTCAACCAGGGATTTCCCACTGCCAATTACGTATTTTGGCTTGAGGGTAGAGTCAATCAACATCTCTTGTCATCGTATCATGCTCCTTTCAAAGAATCACACCTTGTTGTTCCTGCGATCTGAGTTCACTTCCCTCCGTTCCTGGGTTTCTGCCTTGTTAGCATCTGCAGGGATGGTTTGTTTTAACCACGTTAACCACGTTGGGTGAGGATGATGTGACCCCTGGAAGACCACCACGGTCCTCCGCCTCCAGGTTTGTGGCGAGTTGGATTGGTGTGGTGGCCCAACGCTCCCAACGCTGAAGCGGATATTGCGGGCACGGAGACATTTGGAGATGGGGAGATTTCGTCGTTTTCGTTGGCATATCATGGACTATCATGGGATATGTATATATATATGTATATATATACATGATAATATATATATATAGTTGATAATTTATATATACATATTAATATAATATTATATAATGTGTATATATATATATATATATAATTAAAATAATAGTAATAATAGTAATAGTAATAATAGGGTTTGCTGGTTTCTGGAGCCAAGGGGGCCCGAAGTTATCATCCAAGTGTTTCAATTTTTATCAAAAGAAAGCTCCAATTCAGATGTCGCAATAGCTCAGCTTGATTTGCTGTATTCGTTTTTTGTGCCCAAATTGGGTAGGTTTCTACATGTTTTACTATTCTGAAAGGGTCCAAGTTAGTGGTTTTTCTGAATGTAGCAATCCCGGAATCCAGCCGTTTTGTTTCTTTATTCCACCTAAGTTTCACAAAGGAACTTGCAGAGTATTTTTCTTCAGCTGTAGATTGTATATGATGTTCATATGTCATAGATTTAGATGGCAGTTGCATGACACAAGATCACTTCGAAATCCATAGCCTGTGGAAGATACTTGGAGCATTCCAAAAGATCTACCCACCTTTTGGTTGCTGAATCTCCACACTATTGTTGCTTCAATTCCCATGTGTAAAGGCGCTCAAGATTTTCCTGGATTTCTTTGTGCCTTGGTTGAACCCCCAGTTTTGTACATTATATTGTACATATTAGTTGTAATTTGGAGGTACTTAGTACTCCATATTAGTGCATATATACTAGTATATAGTAATATACTTGGCTTACTTGCATATTAGTTGTAGTTTGGGTTGTACTTTGCAAGCCATGTTAGTTTTATGTCAAGAATATTCATCATTTCAGCATTTGTCTGGTGATCCCCCAACACTACTGCATGCATATTACACCTCGAAATATCTATGGGTATATATATATATATAGTTATATATATACACATATTAACTATATATATGTATATATATATAGGCACATTCTAAAATGTATATACTATAATGTAGATATAATATGTATATATGGATATTATGTACGATTATGTACATATGTGTCTAATTAATATGTGTCAAAATTCATAGAATTGGATGATGGGAAAAATTTAGCCGGAAACCCCGATCAATTTGATGGTAAAAACAATGGTTTCCGGTTAAGATTTTCCCTTAAACCAATCCATTGAAAAATAAATGGTACATATATTGTTTAATATATTATTAACTATATGTATATATATATATCTCCAATAAATACTATAGGTAAACCAATCTTTATATATATGTTTCTATATATGCTATAGATTTATGTCACTATGGCATTTCTCGAGGCCGCGCATCCTTGCCCGCTGCGCTCCGGAGCTCGGGGAAGAGGTGGCCTATGGCACGGTCGCCCAGGTCTTGCGCACGTCGATCGGCACGTGAGGATCGAGATTTTACGGCATATGAAGCTATAGATATTAGGAACGTATGAGATAACTATGGAATATTATGGAATATATGTATATATATATATTTATGTTTTGAATACAGAATATGGAATATGACATGTAATGAATATGATATGAATAGTATTAGGATAAATAGCTATGATGCCATGGGAAACCTATGAGTATCTATTTATCTATGAATACTACGGGATATCAGGAATATATATATATATATATGTTTGGGACATATATAATGTACTACAGTATGGGATAACTATGCTATATATGGAATATTATATGGAACGTCCTTTAACTATGGATATTGGGATAGATACCCATGAAACTATGGGATACTTATGAATAGTTGTTTATCTTTGAATACTATGGGATATGAATATCATAAGGAATGGATGGAATCACACATGGACCCAGTATAGCTACTCATGAAAAGTATATGGCCCGACATTAAATAATCTATGTCTATTTATTCCTTCAATGCACATGTACACAGTGTACACCCCATGGAGATTCTTTCAGTCCCAGCATTGAAAACAGATCAAAAAGGCCCTACATGTACAAGCAGGAAAACCTCGATCTAAGAAAGACGACCAAGCTCATGAACCATATTATATTCCATATATCATATATATGAATCACATAACTATGCTAGATATGGAATATATATATATATATTAAAACAATCTTGAAACTCGATCCTGATTTTATCACAGATGACCGCACCAAGTGTTTGCTCATGAGAGCCATTTTGGGCCATGGCAGGTGCCTCTTGTGCTTTAGGTCGATGGTCCTGTCAAACAAAAGGGTCTGTCTGAAAAAATGAGGAAACCACCAAAATTAGGGGAACCCATGGGAACCCTCGTGTAAATTCATGCGTTTTTTGTGATAAGGGGGAAAACAACCCCTACATGGGCTTTGTATATGGGTTTGTCCGAAGATTTCGGGGAAAGCACCAAAATGCATGCGGGTCAAAACAAAATCATCATGTTCTCTAGTGTTTGATGGCACTTTGGTGTAAACCTTATTTTCAGACACAACTACCTAACATTTTGTTGCCTGTCTATGTATATGTATATATATACACCATTAAGTCCATTTTGTTTGGATTATATCACCATTTTGTTTTGCCAAATCATAGTAAATCATCATATAATCGAGAGTTTTGTGCAGGAGAAAACTCCCACACTTCACTCTAGGTGAATTCTTAGCTGCACCAAACGTCAGGCATGACAAGCTGGGTGGTATGGGATGGTGGTCGGGGAATCTCCTACATGTGGTGTGGGCTGAAGGTGTATATGATTGCTTGTTATTCTGATACCATGCCGCCAATACTAAACTCGGTTAAACATTCCCTTGAAACCATGGTTTGGGACCATGGTTTGGGTGTTTTGAACATTACGGGATGGGATTTTAAGCCTTCATGATTGCAATGTCCGGATGGTTTCTTGACTCAAATTTGCAAACGTCCCAATCCCATGTCGTTGGGACGCCAACGATGCTGGGATGACTCCAGCAAAATTATGAGATTATGGCCATTCAATGGATATGAAACGGGCCATAGCCAATCAAGACTGAACCATGGGTGAAGGCTGGGTAAAGAACCCCCCAGCGGCCGCGCGGATGGGCCTTCCAATGTGTCGATATTGGTGGAAGATCCTGGGATCCAGGAGGTTTCCCGAAATGGGGCTTCCCCCAATAGCTGGATGGTTTATAATGGATGATTTAGGGCTACCCCCATGACTTAGGAAACCTCCTAATATATCTAGACACATACCAAGAATATATGTGTTGCAGTTCTATTCCACCATTTCTGGATATGATCCCAAAGAATATCATGTATAGCAACCGAAAAGTAGATGCCAAAAAGTAACCTGGGAAACTAAGGCTTAGTGGAAATCTCCCATCGGAGCACCATAGGAACATCACCGTTTTGGGTGGGATCAAACAGAACCGTGAATTTTCATCAGGCAAAAAACATAACATTAGATCTAACTGTATACAGTAGATCTAACTGAAAATGCATTTTCACTAACCAACAATGTGGTTTTAAGCAAACAGAACATGGGTTCTATCACCATCCACCAAAAGATTGGATTCAACCACAGCAAATGAAGATCTGTTTTTCTAAACATCATTTAACCACCGAAAAAAAAATGGAGGATCCATCCAATGTGTGTTGAGCGAAGCGAGCACATGGGTCCAGGTGGTTCCACCAGGGAGTGGCTCAGATGGTGACACTGGCGCGCGCCTCTGCGCAGGCGTTTTTTCAAGGTTATCACAATGTGTACCCTCTGGTGAACATTCAAAAAGCTATTGAAAATGGCCATTTATAGTGGATTTTCCCATTAAAAATGGTGATTTTCCATAGCAAACTGGAAAACATACACTTTGCGAACTGGAAAATGGCCCAGTTGAAATCGTGGATTTACCCATTGAACATAGTGATTTTCCAATTCGTTATGTAAACGTTTACCAGAGGGTAATGGATCCCCAAGTCACCATGGCTTTCATTACTCAAATGATCATTCATGACTTGGATGATTTGGGGCTACCCTTCCATTTTTGGAAACTTTCGAAAAGTGCTGGAGTTCTAGCGGATTAATGTGGAATAACCCAATGCCATAAACAACTACCATTTATCATTTGCGGATGGTTTACACAATCCTTAAATAGCAGGTTTCTTCTGATTTCCTTTCGGGTCGGCTCTCAAGCCCACTTCAAAGAGTGCTTAACGTGTTCATTGAGGAAATGGCAGAAAAATTGGGTAGAGAAAGTACACTGGTTTAAACATAGTTTTCTTGCAGGGTATCTAAGGTTAGACAATGAAGTGATAAGGATCTTTTTTTGGGGGAAGTGGATCTTTGAAATTGTTTGAAGGTTTGTGCTCATGCAGCCTTAGAGTGAGGCGAAGTTTCAGCGGGTCTCATGTGCTGTTGACGGATGAAAACCAAGTCAATTTCAATCCTGCGATGTTAGAACCCGCACAATAGTTCTACCATGTTCTACCCACTTAGACATACATGTCACAATGGAAAACAGGGCTCCCTAAGCCTTTGCGGTATGAGTCAAAGTAGGTCGAAAAAATATAGTCAGCAAAACATATGGATGGTTTACCTCTTGAAGAAAAACAATTAATCCATTGAATGATCATATTAAGATGCTTCAGTCCCCAATTTCGTTGGTTAAATTCCAATGTTTGAGGATGAAACCTCCTTGGTTCCGTTCATTTTTTCCCAGTTGTTACCCTTCCGTCACAACATCGGCAGGCGGAACTCCGCTTGTCTGGCCTGGCTGCGCTCTTTGACAGTCACTTGATCGCCGATGTTTCGGGGCTTGGGCAGATGTTTGGCAAGGGAAGCCAAGAGTCGATCCCCAACAGGAGAATAAACTTGGGACCGCTATGGGATTATGTAATATTATGTAGAATGACTCCCAGTCATGGTTGATTCATGGTTGATTCATGGTTGATTCATGGTTGATTCATGGGATGGTTCATGGGTTCACCACATTAGTGGGCATGCAACATCCATCACTCTTGGCTTTCCCATATTCCCATATACTTTTTTTTGGAACCCTGAGGGACCATTGTTTGGAACCAAGTGGATGGATACTTAGTAGAACTCACCATGTGGGATGACCATCCGAGGCGTAGTGTAGCAGTGTAGCCCTTTTTTATTGATCCAAAAAGCGGGACTGAATCAGCAAATCCCTAGGAAAACATTGATGAACTATCCCTAAGAACTATAGTAACTATAGTAACTATAGTAACTATAGTAACTATAGTAACTATAGTTAATGGTATGGTATCCCTTAAAAAAAACATCTCTCATTGTTCCGCGCAGATCCTTGGAGCATTTTTCAGATCAACTCTATGGAGCGATTTCACCGTGACGTAGGGAATGGATGGGTTGCTGGGGGTTTCTGGGGGTTGCTGGGATGATTACCCTCTGGTGAACTAACATAGCAATGGAAAGATCCACCATTTTTAATGGGAAAATCCACTATAAATGGCCATTTTCAATTGCTATGTTAGCTCACCGGAGGGTAAATTACCAGTGATGGATTGGATCATTCCTGAAAATTCCCTACTAAGCACCAGTAAGTTTACCAAGTTTTAGCGTCAAAGAACGGAGAGAATCATCATTAAGAAGCGACTGTTAATGACCAGATTAATATACAACATATCTAATAGGTTAAATTATTAACAGTATATAACCTAATCGTATCTCAATGACCAGAGGGTATAACCATGTATAACCCATATCCAGATTAACAGGTTCATTGTTCATAATTAGCAAGCGGATTTGGGTTATATAAGCTATACCCTCTGGTCATTCAACAGTGAACTGGTAAATCACCATTTATACAATTGGTGAATCATCTACTTTCACGGGTCATTTTCCACAGTATGTTAGTTTAGTGCAGGGTATTATATCAAACAACCACGCAGTCAAAACCTCCGTTCGATATGATGTTTATTACTCTTGGCTTTAAATTGACCATTTTGGAGAAACCGATAAATGATGAGTAACCAACAAGCGTGAGGGATCTTGCCAATAAAGATGGGATTTAGCGACAAAAAAGCAATATGTTTTGAAATTGAGAGATTTCCAAGTGAAGTCTGGCCCCCTCAGTTTTGGGGCTTAAGTCACTTACACACTTACAGATAATTCGTTGATGATTGAAATCCCCGTTCTTCACCGTCCTTTTCGTTGGAAAAGCCACTGAACATCTGATGTTTCCCGATCTCCCAGGTCCCAACGGTCTCGTGACGCCACAACTCGCGCGCGAAGCCATTGGGCAGCTCCTGCCGTCCTTGCTGCTTGGCGACTGGCGCATTGGCAGAGCCATATGGCATTGGAAATCCTCATCAAATAGGAAGAGCTGAGCTATTTTCCATTGCCATAGATTGCCAGGAAATATGGTGGATGGTTGCGAAATCCTGCAGCAACCGGATGGTTGAAGCCCCAACAAAATCATGGGATGTTTACCACCGACCTATCAACTGCAGGATTTCGCAGCCGTCCACCGTATCAGAGGTTTGGTGGAATCATTAGTGCACCTTGCTTTGGCAAGTGCGCAGCCACGACCCTCTGCTCGAAGCATGTATGATTTTGATGATTTGGATGTATGTATTTTGGTACTTCAACAGAAATGCTCCTTATAAACTTTGCAATTTCCGGATTTTGTCCATAAATTAGTTGGTTTATAAAGCCCATCAACTATAATGGCCCACAAATCCTAGTGGAATACTACAGTTGCGGCCCTCAACAGTTTTAAATGGAGTTATAACTCCTGCAATGAAGGTGACAAATGTCACTTAAATGAGTTTTTCTAAACCAGTTTTATTTCATTATATGTACCCATTCTTATATCCCGATTCTTATTGGCTTTTATGTCCCACTGTCTCCAATTTTATACCATGCTATATCCTTACTTTAAGGGCTATAGTTATAATTACCCTTGTCCATAGATTATAGTTGGTTTATAACCCCCATTAACTATTAAATTGCCCATAAATTCCCCAGTGAAATACCATCTCATACTATCCATAGTCTGTTTGTAAAGCCCATGAATCGCGCCGTCGCCAAGGCGCGAGCGCCAGAGACGGCAGCTCTCTGCCAGCCTCTTTGGGGAGGAGCGGCGCCGCGCTGAAGTGTCTCTCAATGGTTGATGAATGGGGGTTGCATGGGACGGAACCATCATTTATAGGCTTTTTATGGGATCAATAAGCATCAATTATAGGGTTTTTTATGAGATTTTAACTCCTTGTATCACATTATAGGCGTGTTCATATGTTTAAAGACTTTAAGTATCAATTGATTTTGGGAAACATCTGAATAAAACTGATAAGTGATGGTTGGTTGATGATTATGACGGTTCAATAAGACTTAACTACTGAGACTTCACCATCAATCACGTTTTATTTGTCTAGATTAAGTTTTAAGATGTTTTAAGTATGGTTATGGTTGATGATTATGTGGGCTTAATGGGATTTGACAATCAATTATATATATATATAGATATATGGTTTCCCCATCGTTTACAAGGCTTCGGGGTGGAAAAACGGCCGAAAATATTGGACATATATTATATGATAGCATCAATTCAGTGATGTTTGATTTATGATTATGGGATTTACGGGGGTTTTAATGGGACGTAACATTCTCAATTCCATTTGTGTTTAACAAGGTTTGAACTCACTATCAAGGGCTGACACTTAACTGTGGATCCTGCTGGAGGATCTCCTTACAGTGGATTTTACCATGATTTTAACCAATCTCACCGATTTTTCAGCATTATTTGTGTCATGTTTAAACATCAACAAGGGTATATAGCATGATACAACCATCTGAGGGCTCGGTTGGAGGCTGAAACAGCAAAACAAAGAGATCGACAAAGACCAACCTCACTTATCAGTTATATTCAGTTATATGTATATATCCCAATATGATAGTTGAGACCTCATAAAAGCCTATAATTCATGGTTAAGTCCCATTCAATCCCCATTCATGTGGTGCATACCTCAAGATTGGACCACTACTTTTACAATATAGCATTCCCGCATTAACAAATCTCATCGCACCTTGAATTCCCAGTTTTGTTGTACGAGGTCCAACGAGAATTTCACTTCTCACACTTCCAGTTCACTAGCATGTGGTTTCCTCATTTTTCCTCCGTGCATTTCTTAGGATCAACGTATCCCTCCCTACCCGTTGTTCCGCCGTTGTTCCGCCGCCGCAACGCGAGGAGACCACAGAGCTGAGTGCCGTGCTTCACCAGTGGCTGAGACCAAATGGACTGATGTATTGTTGGCAAAACAATGCCATAAACCATCCCCAATTTCACCATAAAAATATAGGTGGTATAAAAATCATTCCCAGAAGGGTGGTTTTTTTGGTTGTTTTACCACCTTTCACTACTTATTACGTATTGTGTACGTGCTATATATTGTTGTTTTTTTAATTTATAAACCCGATACACACATATTCAACCCTTATACCATAACATTATGAGTAACCGACAAAATTAGCGGAAGACTCAAGCAGTGGCGAGTGGACTTGGGATGTTCAAATTTGCGTGAAGACCTTTACAACCGATAGGGGACCACTCACTTTGCCCATGTCCATTGCGAGTAGTACGTAATTTTGTCCGCCACTCATATCAACAATATTTAAATGACGTTGATCAATAGCACACCAACCCTGAGTTTAACCCACAATGGTGGAAAACATGTTTTTCCACCCTTACCCCCATCTCTGCAAGGTTGGCTCTCTTTGCAGATCCTCCACAATTTCCAGAGCCATTTGGCTGAACTTGGCGGTGGAAGGGTGGAAAACTCAAAGGCTTCAACCAACAGCTTGGAGCTTGCGAGAATACCCTTTGGTACTTTAACACTGTGCTATGGTACAGATGGCCCATGCATAGATGATGTACATATATCATATACACATTGTGTTTTGTTTTCCTTTTTGCAAACTGTTAAACTACTACAGAAATAGAGAAAATCTTAAGAATCAAGTTATTTTTGGAGGTTTCGAGATGTTGTCAGCTAATGAAATGAACATTTAAGTTCCGTTGAAACCAAAAAGATAATCCTGATGATCCTAAACAGGACCACCCAAAAATGTATTGTCCCATGATGAATTCTCCTTGAACCACTTATATTGACATCTAAAAGTCGTTTGATACTCTCTCATCAAGATGATCCTTAACATCAGTAATCAAATGATCCATATATATATATATATTATATTATACATATTACTATTATGCTATAATAGATTCTAGATACATCCATAAATACTATAATACATATCTCCCTATAATTCCCTATAATATACATATTAATATATATAAATACCTCTACATTCCACATATATATATATATGTATAAATTAGACAATCAACACATCCAAAAACAAAGGAAGCCACAAAGATCACCCCGCAAGACGCGCTGAGAAGCGCCCTCGTTAGGCCTTGGATGAAGCCGGGAATCCCAGGGCGACTGAGTAGATCAGCATGATCTCATCTTATGGTTGATATGGATCTTATTTATTTATTAAACATTGGATTATGCACTAAGGTGATTAGTATTAATATAACAAATTGATGTTTATATATATATACATATGTATATGAAAAAAATCAATGGTTGGATTCTTTAGAGATTAATCACCATTAGTGGGATACCTTATATAAGATAATATTAAGAGATCAAATCTAAACTACTAATATCCACTAAGATATATCGTAGAGTATTATAATATATTATAATTCATATTATACTTAGTTAATTTAATATTAAGAAATCCAATAAATATTCTATAATATGGTTTATCTAATATTCATCTAGATACTTATATCATATAATGTTAAGATCTAATATGGTTGATCTTCTCATGATATAGATTGATAATATGATAATAATATGAATAATACACTCTTGTACTATCAATCATGATATTTTGTGATAATTATAGGATGTTTCCAAAGTCATAGGGGTACCCCAAATCATCCAGTCCACATGAATGATAATATGGTTGACATTCTCAATATCAAGCATGATCGTGATATTAACCAGGATGTTTGGAGAATGAAACATGGAATTTGGGGTTTATATGTTGATATTCTCAAAATGGTTATAGAATTAATTTGTATCCAATATCTTCCAAGATCATGGAGTGCCTGTGAGTTGACGTTCTCAATATCAATCGATTGATATCAGGAGATATTGGATTAACTTAGGAATTGAAGATGTTTTCAGCCGTATCATCGACACATTCTCATTCTTAATACATCATCAACGTCAACTGTATCATTCCCTCATATTCTCAATATCAACCACACGATTAGGATATTAGTATGATCACTGTAATGTTTTGATGTTAGGATATGAAATCCTGGTGGTTTTCCGCAAGTTCCAAGCATGGCTATTTCTGGTCGGAACTGGGGTTCCAGGATGATCTTAACCAATTCGGGATTTTACCCACACCAGCAGGGGGTAGTTGTGCAGGAACCGTAAAAACACTCTAGGTTGAAAGATGCTGAAAGCATGTGACCAGGATTGACTAGGAAGATATTCCCATTTGGTTGGTTTGCTCAATCCGTTCTTTGCAGTCTGTGTATGCATACCTTTGACATTTTCATGCGTAACCCCCCCCCAAACTGTGGTTCTGGAAACCCGTTCTATGATTGCCAAAACTATGGTCTCCGGCAAAGTTTTCCGCAAATCAACCCACAGTGATGTCATCGGTTGCTGGACCATTGGTCTGGAGACACGAATTGAATCGCCATCACATGCCACTCCATTAATAATTGAATAGCTATGGAACATCGGTAAATCATCTACTTCATGGGCCGTTTTCCATAGCTACGTTAGTTGAATTTAGGATAATTTTCTCAGACAAAGCCGTGGGGTGCCTAGGACAGCGCTCAGTCGTATTGGTGAGCTGGTTAGGGGCACTCAGTGGCTAAAGGCAGAAATGAGCAGTGTTCAAATCCCCTGGTTGATGCGTTTTTGATGGGGATGTCACATTATATCACCAAGTATTCACTCATCATTTGTAGAGTTTTAACCCCCGAGAAGATAGGGATAGACAAATCATGGTTGGTTGATGAGGTTGATGATTCGTTCCAGGGTTCTACCATCCAATAAATTGGGGTTATCATCATCCATGAACTTTGGAATCCCAGTAAAAACTATGCAGTTCAATGGCATGACAGAGAGGTTTGAACACTGCTCAAATGGGGGGAGTTCTTAAACCACGGGGAGCCCAATCTTCACACTTAAACTGTTGATTTTTGGTAATGGAAACTACCGGTTTTGACATTTCTGTATCTTAAGAAATGCTCGAATGTTCACCCATCAAAAGTCAGATTTTGACCTGAGGTAAATGGATAGAAGGAACAATCCATGGTTTACAGCAGGAACTTATCTATAGCTGGTTGATTTGGCACAATTCTGTCAGTTTACTGGAGGGTTGAGGAAAGCAAGAATCAGATGCGGCAAACTTCCAAGATTTTGGAGAATGTGTGCATTTCCCCAAGCCACATGGAAGTTTGCCTGTTTGGGTCATATGTGGGAGTGGGTCAAATTTTGTCAAATGTTCAGATTCAGCCACAGATTGATTGATCACACATATAATAATCTATCTAATCTTTGGTTTCCCCTAGCCTTTTTTTTGATCCATACCCATATAAGGTCAATTATCCTGGACATGGCTAGACGGGATGTTGGGACGTTGAGTCCCACTCTGGCTAAATTGAAAGGTCACATCACATCCGCCAGTAGGTGTTGTAGGTATCTAGTTTTGTAATGTTATATTATATATTGTATATATTATATTCTTATTACTATTGTTATTATTACTATTATTATTATTATTTTATTATTATTATGTATATATATATATAACTAACTTACCATAGCATACGTATGCCCTTGAGTGTACCTCTAATTTATTCAGATAGCCTTTAAAGCAAGCCACGTTGTGCCACATGGCCGACTGAGATCTTGAAGAAGCATGGGCCGCCACTGCATTCAGCGCTCATCCAGTGCCAAATCTCAGACTGGGAGGTCGAAACAATCTGCGGCAGGTGACTAATGGGATAATTATACAGTTAACACATGGTCTATGTCAATAATTTGCGATAGCTAACAATGAGCAATTTTGTAGTCGGTGTTATATTTCATTAATTGGGATGAATATGGTCATTAATGGTCATTGTTTCTGAGTACTCGTCGGTCATTATGGATCATGAATGGTCATTAGTGGCCTATGTGGAGGTTTCCTGAAATAGGGGTACCCGTAAATCATGCATTTTAACAGGATTTTCCATATAAACCATTGATTCTTGGGATACCTCCATTTATGGAAACCATCATATGCGTTTGTTGGTGACGTTGTGGTTGAACATTCTTGATTGTTGGTCAGTTTCTACTTGCAGGCTGCCCAGAACTCCAGTGAGCCAACTGATTCATAGGGTTTGGCGTGAAGCCAGCAACAATGGCCATGAATATCCATCAACTAGTGGTTCAAGATTTATCTTGCAATTGTGAAGAATGATGATTGTTCAAAAGGACATCAGAAGACCATGTTCGTGACTGCGGATTTTTCACAGGAACTGGATTGGTTCAATTTGTGGTTCTTCACGGGCTGAAAGTTTGGACTTCTTGGCAACAGGTGTCCCGGTAAATGGCCAAACACGGCCACTATACAACGTATATCACCTTGGGATACCTTGGGTAGTTGTATATATAATGGTTGAGTGGTTCGCGATGGTTCCCTCAACCACAACGTGATCTAAATCTAGAATAGATATCAGATATCAAAAATCCTGGAGAACATTGAGATTGAAACCACTCCAAATGGAAGCACCTGGCCAAAACGAGTATATAAACCAGCGACCATGTTGTCACAGGAACCCATATCCATCCACATAAAGTACTCATTGGCTAAATCCCTACGAGGTCAGGCCCTCCAGTTGCACGGTTGGTTCATAGACCCCAATGGCCAGTTCAGGACCTAAATTGAATACCCCAACATAGAGAGTTGTATGGTTACCTCCAATTTAGCCTGGAATTCCATGGAATTCCCATATCATAGATGTGCATATGTGGGACAACATGTGCATATGGACATAACATATATTAATGGATATATAATGGAGATATCCACCATATATATGTTTTAATGGATTTCCCATATCATTGGTTATATCTCCATGATATCCCCATGATGTCCATAGATTTTGGATGGTTCAACGGTTAAACCCAGATGTTTCTCCAGCTGTTTTTTTTTTCTGCCAGTTGAAGCGTTTTTGAAGGTGAAAATCCACATGAAGTCCATCATAATCATGTGGTTCAGTATCTTCATTTTTAGCTCATACAGTTCTAACTACCATTGATCATCTCCGCTTATCCATATCCATAAAATGTGGATGGTGATTGGCTCAACATCATACTGGAGTTTTTTGTTTGTGAATAGAATCTATGTAGAAAGTTAAACTCACATGAAACCCACATTTTGTCCCCACCTTTTTCTGTGAAAAACCAGGTTCTTCAAGGCCACAGCTCAAGATGGGAGCGACCTCTTGGGCCCCAAGGCCTGTCGAAAAGTGGTGAGATCATGGGGAACTTGTGATATCACCAAGCAATATATGATGTATACTGTGTATATATATATATATATATGATTGGGTTTAAGTCTGAAAATGGGATTTGCTCATATTTGCTCCAATTCATGTCCCTTTTTTAACCGGGAGACAAAGGGAGAACGGGAGTATGATTAAACTCAAGAAACCAACTGGATGCTAGTGAAGTACTCCAAGATTGGCCGACTGAGATGCGATCATCGAAGGACGACATGTTTTTTGTTTTTTTTTCGGACACCTCGCGTACATCTGACTGATTGATTTTGGTTGATCAATGCAGACGCAACTCATTATCAATCAGTCGAATATGTACCGTGGATGCCACAAATCAAGCTTACCTAGTTGGGTCAGCTACATGATGGGGATCCAACTCTCCATGAGGCTGTTGGTTTTAGCAAAGAATGGTGGGTTTAGAGATGGGCTGCCAAGCTGGTGACTGTATGAAAGATATTGAAAGATGGGTACCAAGACTCTATCAACATATGAGGAGATAGCCATGCTGGCACTGGATTGGCTGGTGTCCAATTTTGAGCGAGGATCCGATGCACGATATTACCGACACAGGTCTTCCTATGTTTTTTTTCAGAACTTCAGTGTTTGAGGTAGGGGTGTAGTTGTAGAGCTATGGTCAGGGTCGGGTTGAGGCTTTAAGGTTTAGTAGGGTCTAAGGACAGAGAGCATCACATGGATCTTAAATCATCTTTGTGTGCAGCACTCCATTTGTACCCATACTAGTTACTAGTTGTTCTTGATCAAATATGTTTTTCAAAATCTATTGTTGGCCCATACCCATATGCGGATGTGTCAATAGCCATTGGACCATTTTTTGAGTCCATACATTGTCAACATTGAAAATGGGCCAGTTCTATCGATCTCTCCTTGATCTGTATGAACATATTCATTTCTCTTTGTCATGTTTGATCTCCGTGGGTAATCATCAATCATCAACCATCACGGATATCACTTAGCACGGATAACCAACAAGAACATAGATTTGGAATGATTTGGAGCTGATGTTTAGATTCAAACATAATGGCAAATATCCACATGTTTGGTTGCCAAATACCAATCAGAACTTTGCAGATGGTTTTCCTATCGGTACATTGCCGTTGTTGATGAGTATCCGATAGTTGTCTTGCGGTAAGATCCACAGTCTTGTTGATGAAATCTCCATGAAACAGCGTTAAACAGTTAAACTGTCATCCCATATTTGGATGAAGAGAATATCCATGAAGTTTACCGACCCATCTTGGGATAGTGTAACTCACTTACCATGCCCCAACTAACATTGAGACCGCCATTTTAGGAGGTCAAAGTTGACTATGTTCAGGCTCGAGCTGTTAATCAACTCTACTTTTTTGCCATTTTTGCCCCTTCCATCTTCCATATGTTCACATGTATTCCATGAAACACGGGTGATTTTGCCGCTTCAATCCTCCAGTTTCTCCATCAAAAATCCCATCGGAAAATCTGCAGGACTTCGTGGAGGGCCTACAACAGATGGGCACCTACGACTGCAGTGGGGACGTGGAGGCGAAGTGGTTGGGAAAAGCGCTTGGGGTACGGATAGAAAAAAGGACACCTCCATTCTGACTACTTGGTGGTTCACCCCACTTAGTAAGTAGGTGAAAAATCCCTGGTTATAACATGTTATAACTGGGCTAAGTAGGGTTAGTTCACTTATAACTGGGGTTATAATCCACTTACTAACTGGGATGAGCCACCAAGTAGGATTTTTTGGTGAGGGGGTTTTGTGCTTTGTCGATGATATGGATGATTTTCTTCAGAAATCGAAAAATAGAAATGGGGAATCTATCTATTGGGAATATGTGTCTAGATTTTGGTTGTTCCTGGATCGCAACTCGGTGATTTTACAGCAATTCCCAGGCAGGTCTATAGAAAATTGTGGGAATGCAAAAATATATGATGTGAAGCACTTTTTGGCATCGGAAGTTGCTATCATGTCAATTTATAACCATCACAGGGGAGCTGGGAACCAACACTAGAAGTTACTTAACGATATTTAACGATATTTAGTAAATACTTGTTGGTGTTTATTTTAAACCACTAGAAGTTTTCTAAGTGGGGATTTGACCAACAAACCAACGCCATATGGCTAGCATCAAAATGTGGACAGTTGAAAGGACCGAATGTATTTTGAAGGCCGTGGGTTTGAATCTCACCATCTTTAGACAATCTTGTCCCAAATGAACAAAGTACACTATTTTTTGGTTTGTGCTTTGGGCGGGGGTCGAAAAAAACTGTGGGAAATCCAATAATGGTATACTAAGCCTACCATTTGGGGATGGTTTATAGCAACCGTTTATGGTGATTTAGGGGATAGTCTACTATTGGGTTTTCTTTTATAAACCCTCACTAACTATAGAATACTATAGATATATCTACCATAAACCATGGTTATTGGAGTGATACGCCAACTTTGCTTTCAACTTTCATTAAGTGTTTCTTTTCAACCTTCATTTGCACAGGATTCGAATCAGACTTCCGTGCATCCCGGCAGACAGGTGCCTCTGCTTCACGCAGGCAGACTCTACCAGATCTTCGAGGCCGGAGTGAGTTATAGATCGAATCCAGAAATGATGGCCTACTAAGGTCAGGTTGATGAAGCCCCACTTTTTAGATCCATGAACATATGATGTATAATATATATATATATTTAATTATATATATAATATATATGGATGTGGGTGAAAATGGAAGACCTAGGGGACCACATATGTTAGTCTGGTTTAGTATTAACCATCCAATTGTTGGGGTACCTAATTTTGACCCATACCCATATGTTATATATGAGAGAGAGATATCCATTATTTCTATATTGATGATATCTTGTATTAATGGCTATATGGATGAAAATGTGCTGAAGTCTGACTTCGAAGCACCTTTTTCTCTAGCTGTTGATTTATCAGAGGATAGTTGATGGGCCCAGCTAAGATCCTCGCCCATTGCCCGGGCTGCGCACGTAGATTGTTGCTGAGACTTGCTCCACACTATTTGCTGGTTCAGTTCACATAGCATGCTCAGCGTGTTGCTGAATATGTCATGAAGGTGTGGTGATGTTTGGGGTAGTCGCGTAGGTGAACCTGACAGAACATGCCGCATATTCATTGCCGACCGATCTGCCTCCAAAAGATTGGCGATGTACTTCCATGATATTGTGGGTTTGTCTCAAAAAAGATACCCAAGAATCTTACTGGCAAACATAATTACCCCACAATACCTGAAACTGCAATTTTAGGTACCATCTTCGCTGATTACGTCAATGTTGTTAAGTCATTTTGAATCACGAAAAATGTTGCCGGTGTTTCATCAGTTTCCAACTCCGCTTCCAGCCGGTTCACCAGGAATCAGATAACATCAGATAATCAGTTATCCTCATGATATCAGATAGCATCAGATATCCTTATTATACAATATTGTATGAGTGAAAATACTGGTTCCCTCATGACCCCGTGGATATGGATATTTATGCCCCCGAAATGTTGGCATCTTGTGATCCATCTCCATATCTCACTATATTCCAAACTCTTCCATATAAAGATATATAATCATATATAACCTTACAGTATAACCATATCATTCAAATAATATGTCACCAGCAAGTAAGAGTAACATATAGAATGATATGTTTATATAACCATACATATATATATATATATAACTGTGGTGTTTTTATCATAGGTGAATAGTTGTTATAGGGTTATACATAATATATATATATATATACTATATATGCTATCGGGCCACCCCCACATATTTACATATATATTTTATGTAATTATAGTATATATAATATGTCATCCGGGTCACCCCCATATGTTTACATATGTATATATATATATATGTATACTATCTTATCGGGTCACCCACACATACACACACACATATATATATATATACTTTAAACCCCACAACGCTTCCACTCAGCCATCACAGCAGCAACAGCCGGCTGCTGCTGCTGCTGCTGCTGCTGCTGCTGCTGCTGGCTGCTGCTACACCTTTGAAGAGATGGAGGAGATGCAGGCCTCAGCAAACGTTCCAATTCGTGATATATATATATATATAAATATATATATATCAGGTTTATCATTTAAATAGGATATACAAGATTGGTGGGGAATATAGTCATAATATATTTGAAATGTATATACCAGATTTATCATATTTAGATTGGTGGTCAAATATACATCATATATTTGAGATATATACCAGATTTATCATATTTAGATTGGTGGTAAAATATATTCATTCATATATTTGAGATATATACCAGATTTATCATATGTTCGATATATATGTGTAACCGAAATTGGTGGTAAAATATATTCATCATATACTTGAGATATAAACTAGATTTACTATATTTTTGGGATATATACCAGATTGGTGGTAAAATATATTAATCATATATTTGAGATATAAACTAGATTTATCATATGTTTAAGATATACCGAATATTGTTTGTATCCCTGATTGGTGGTTTGTATCCCTGATACCATTTTAAAGGGATGATCAAGGGCCCTTAGATTGATCACTACTGGCAGTAAATTGGAATTTCAATGGATTTCCTTCAAACATGAAGATAATCATGGTTCCTTTGAGCGCTCACTACCGGTAGTGAATTGGGATGTTCTTCAAGAATTGGGATGATCGGGGTTCCTTACAACATTCACTACCGATAGTGAATGGGGAATTCTTTCAAACATTGGGATGATCGGTGTTCCTTAGAACGCTCGCTACCGGTAGTGAATGGGAAATTCTTTCAAAAATTGGGGCGATTGGGGTTCCTTAGAACGCTCGCTACCGGTAGTGAATGGGTAATTCTGTCAAAAATTGGGATGATTGGGGGGCCCTTAGAACGCTCGCTACCGGTAGTGAATGGGGAATTCTGTCAAGAATTGGGATGATGGGGAGCAATTAGAATGCTCGCTACCGGTAGTGAATTGGGATTTCAATGGGTTTCTTCAAAAATTCGGACGATTGGGGTTCCTTAGAACGCTCGCTACCGGTAGTGAATGGGGAATTCTGTCAAGAATTGGGATGATGGGGAGCCCTTAGAACGCTCGCTACCGGTAGTGAATTGGGATTTCAATGGATTTTTTCAAAAATATTGGGATGATTCGGGTTCCTTAGAACGCTCGCTACCGGTAGTGAATGTGGAATTCTGTCAAAAATTGGAATGATGTGGGGCCCTTAGAATGCTCGCTACCGGTAGTAAATTGGGATTTCAATGGATTTTTTCAAGAATTGGGATGATCGGGGTTCCTTAGAACGCTCGCTACCGGTAGTGAATTGGGATTTGAGTGGATTTTTTCAAAAATTGGGATGATCGGGGTTCCTTAGAACGCTCGCTACCGGTAGTGAATTGGGGTTTGAATTGATTTTTTCTAAAATTGGGATGATCGGGGGCCCTTAGAACGCTCGCTACCGGTAGTGAGTGTTCTAAGAGGGAGCGACGGTCGCTCCCTGTTAGAACGCTCCCTAAGATAGATAGTGTTCTAACAGGGTGCGACGGTCGCTCCCTGTTAGAACGCTCGCTACCGGTAGTGAGTGTTCTAAGGGGGGGTTGGCAAACATCGGACCAGGGATGATCTTGTGTTTTCGCTGGGGTCTTAGTGAGAAGAACGCAAGATTGAGGGTGCTCCAGCGACAGGAAACCTCCCTTAGAACGCTCGCTACCGGTAGTGAGTGTTCTAAGAGGGAGCGACGGTCGCTCCCTGTTAGAACGCTATCTATCTTAAAAGCAGCAATTATACATATGGATGATTGGGGGGCCCTTAGAACGCTCGCTACCGGTAGTGAATGGGGAATTCTTTCAAAAATTGGGACGATTGGGGTTCCTTAGAACGCTCGCTACCGGTAGTGAATGGGGAATTCTTTCAAAAATTGGGACGATTGGGGTTCCTTAGAACGCTCGCTACCGGTAGTGACTTGGGATTTCAATGGGTTTCTTCAAAAATTCGGACGATTGGGGTTCCTTAGAACGCTCGCTACCGGTAGTGAATGGGTAATTCTGTCAAAAATTGGGATGATTGGGGGGCCCTTATAGAACGCTCGCTACCGGTAGTGACTTGGGATTTCAATGGGTTTCTTCAAAAATTGGGACGATTGGGGTTCCTTAGAACGCTCGCTACCGGTAGTGAATGGGGAATTCTTTCAAAAATTGGGACGATTGGGGTTCCTTAGAACGCTCGCTACCGGTAGTGAATGGGGAATTCTGTCAAGAATTGGGATGATGGGGAGCCCTTAGAACGCTCGCTACCGGTAGTGAATTGGGATTTCAATGGATTTCTTCAAAAATTGGGACGATTGGGGTTCCTTAGAACGCTCGCTACCGGTAGTGAATGAGGAATTCTGTCAAGAATTGGGATGAAGGGGGGGCCCTTAGAACGCTCTCTACCGGTAGTGAATTAAGATTTCAATGGATTTTTTCAACAATATTGGGGCCCTTAGAACGCTCGCTACCGGTAGTGAATTGGGATTTGAATGGATTTTTCAAAAATAGGGATGGTGGGGAGCCCTTAGAACGCCCGCTGCCGGTAGTGAATTGGGATTTGAATTGATTTTTTCTACAATTGGGATGATCGGGGTTCCTTAGAACGCTCGCTACCGGTAGTGAGTGTTCTAAGAGGTTGCGACGGTCGCTCCCTGTTAAAACGCTCCCTATATCAGGTAGCGAGCGTTCTAAGGAACACCGATCATCCCAATTTTTGAAAGAATTCCCCATTCACTATTGGTAGTGAATGTTCTAAGGAACCCCGATCATCCCAATTCTTGAAGAACATCCCAATTCACTACCGGTAGTGAGCGCTCAAAGGAACCATGATTATCTTCATGTTTGAAGGAAATCCATTGAAATTCCAATTTACTGCCAGTAGTGATCAATCTAAGGGCCCTTGATCATCCCTTTAAAATGGTATCAGGGATACAAACAATATTCGGTATATCTTAAACATATGATAAATCTAGTTTATATCTCAAATATATGATTAATATATTTTACCACCAATCTGGTATATATCCCAAAAATATAGTAAATCTAGTTTAAGCAGTTTATATCTCAAGTATATGATGAATATATTTTACCACCAATTTCGGTTACACATATATATCGAACATATGATAAATCTGGTATATATCTCAAATATATGAATGAATATATTTTACCACCAATCTAAATATGATAGATCTGGTATATATCTCAAATATATGATGTATATTTTACCACCAATCTAAATATGATAAATCTGATATATATATCTCAAATATATTATGACTATATTTCCCACCAATTTTGTATATCCCATTTAAATGATAAACCTGATATATATATATATATTTATATATATATATATATCACGAATTGGAACGTTTGCTGAGGCCTGCATCTCCTCCATCTCTTCAAAGGCGTAGCAGCAGCCAGCAGCAGCAGCAGCAGCCAGCAGCAGCAGCAGCAGCCGGCTGTTGCTGCTGTGATGGCTGAGTGGAAGCGTTGTGGGGTTTAAAGTATATATATGTGTGTGTGTGTATGTGTGGGTGACCCGATAAGATAGTATATATATATACATATGTAAGCATATGGAGGTGACCCGGATAACATATTATATATACTATAATTACATAAAATATATATGTAAATATGTGGGGGTGACCCGATAGCATAGTATATATATATATATTTTTTTATGTATAACCCTATAGCAACTATTCACCTATGATAAAAACACCACAGATAACCATATATATATAATAACCATATATATATAACCATATATATATAACCATTTATATATATATAAACATATGAAAAATATAGACAACATGTTCATGATGTTTTCAAGTAAGACTCACCACCAGCGCCATGGCTGCACTCTGCAACGCACCCAGGCCATTGACAGCAACTGCTCTGGCACCATCTCGTTTCTGGAGCGGCTCCTGAGGGATGCGGCCTATGCCATAATTGGGCCCCACAGAAATGGAGAAAATGGAGAAATCATATGAAATAAAAAAAAAAAACTTTACGGCGGTACAACGAAAAATTGTTTGCTTTAAATGAATAGATGTTACCATTTTTTGGATGTTCACCATTCATTATCCAGTACTAACCACGATAACAACCATTATTAGCAACCATTAATGGGAATTTCAGGATCCTAAATTGGAGGTACTGTAACATATAAGGCCATATTTTGTGGGTATATCCCCATTGACACCATTAACCACCATGCAATTCATTACGATGTTAACCATTCATGAACCTGACCAGCTCGGAAATTTGCGCGCCAAGTTACAAGCCCTTCATAGATGGCAAGTTACAACCCCAGTGCACCATCCATTTGTTTTACCATGTCAAACCATCATTTGTAACCATTTGCAACCAGTTCAATCCATTTCAAACGATTCAAAACCTCTCGAAAGCAAATTGAAGTCCATGATGGATCCGAATCACACTAATAAGAGTGTGAAAAGGAGAACCTAAGACGCGGGTTGTGCAAGTCCGTACTGCATTTATGTATCTCCTCAACAAAATGGGTGTTTGAACATGGGGTATACTCATGTATACCCTCAATTTATCCCAATTTGATGATGAATAATGATGATTAACCATGATTAAGCAGTGGATCATAGGGGTACCCTGCTTTCAGACAAACCCAAATAAGGAAGAGACATGGCATTCTCTTCAAGACAGCCCCGCGGCCCCAGGGTAACTTGGGGATTCCCCATTTTAAGTAACCCCAAGGTATCCCTATCTATGGTTTGTTATACACACACCATCAAAATCCATTGGCTATGGATATAACATCCATGAAACCCAAAGATATAACCATAGATATAATCATATATGAACCATTTTAAGAAATTCCAGTGTTCTTAGGGATTATAAACCAACTTATAACCAGTGACACCCACCTTGTAAGATATGGCGATCGTAGGAGCTCCTGCTTGCAATGGACGAGCGCTCTGACAGGCGGTGTTTGATGAACAAACGGCTGGGGTTTTGAGGCAAAAAAAAACAGGGGATTCCAATAGGGATCGTTGATTCTATAACTCTACGGAGTCTATAGAGATTCTATAGGGGGCCATTGATGGGATATGGGAGTGGGATTGTATGGGGATATGTGGAGATCTTGGCGAAGGATGTTTGACGGGATGAGATGAAGAAAACATGGGATGCCCCGACCCAAGAAAGGTGGGGTTGGAAGGATATGCCATGAACATGATGCCTTTGCCCGTAGCAATGGCTATTCATCAGGTGAATTGGAACGTGACTGTGCGCCCTCACGGTATATGATGATAGATTGTGGCCGATTTTACATATATATATATAGAGATCATGTTTTACGTATGTACTTATTATTATTATTATTAATATAATTATATATGTATATATTACATGGGAAACACCCATATTATATACACTTCATGTCGGCGAACAAGAATGATATAACCATATGTCTTCAAGACAACTGGTGGTATTTATTATGTCAGACTGCCACAAGCCTATAGCCCACACACACATAATATATATATATATACTGTACCATGTTTAAAGGTTGTTTAAGGACATTATCGGATGAACCAGCAAACTCTCAGGGGACAAATGATCTAAAATGAGGCTTTCTCAACAAGAACAGCGCAACTTGATACAACCAATGAACTGTGTAAATCTCAGGTGACTAAGCTCTAAATGGATGCTATTTACCAACAAAATTCCGCCAGTTCCAGGTGAAACCTAGGCTCAACCTCGCCTCCCACAGCCATGGGAACAGGCCAGAACTGCCAGAGTTCCCAGCGTTGGAAGGGTCGTTATGCGCCACGCTGCTCGTGCACAAGGCGGTCGATATATGGATTCAATAGATCCGATTCTGGATGCTGGAATGTACCCTTTGGTAATCAAACATGGCAATGGAAAATCCCTATTTATATATATACATATATAGATTTTCCCACTAGAGCCTTGATTTATAGGGAATGTTCAATTGCCATGTTTGATTACCAGAGGGTAACCACTCGAAAATTATTTGGAGACTTGGGAACCACCAGAAACGCACTCAAATCATTGCCAGTTGTTAGGTGGTTAATGATGGGTTTATAAACCTCATGAAAGCTATATGCAATGAGAATAAACCCAAGACTTGTACATACGAATCATATATAGTTATACTATGCACAATTATAAGAAACCAACACAACTCTACATACGTAGCTAATTATACATAGTTATACTGATATATATATATATACTGATACTATAGTTATGTGCACCCTACTCTAGTTTATTTGCACCAACTTAGCCATTTCGACCCGATGGGCCCCAGTGAACGCACCTTCCAGGCTGCCTTGCTGCGTGTGTGCCGAGCGTTAGACCCCTTGGTTCGCGGCTCCAGAGATGGCGGGCGGGTTTGAATGCAACATCTTAGTTTGGCAAATGTTGATATAAGTATTGAATTCATAGACTCAATATAATACATCATAATGTATCAAACATCATGGACTCAGAATAATATGATGTAATATAATATGATACAATATAATATGATATAGTATAGTATAATATATTGTAATTTAATATAATGTAATTTAATATAATGTAAATTAATATAATGCAATATAATATGATATGATATGATTTATACTTGTACATAATATGAGAATTGATATATAAGATCTAATATCATGTAGTATATAATATAGTAATTAATTAATATGATATTTAATACATTTTAATACAATACATAGTTACATATGTAATATAACATAATTTAATATAATGTAATGTAATATAATAGAATATAACATAATTTAATATAATATAACATGATATAATGATATAATATAATGTAATCTAATACACTATAATATAATACAATCTAATCTAATACAATCTAATCTAAACCAATATACTAAAATACAATATATTATGATATAGCATAATATTATATGATAAATATATATTTTAATATGATATAATATAATATAAACACATTTTTTTCGTGGATCAATATTCCTTTGCATAGTTTGGAATGTTTGCTGGGACATATTTGTTGCCAAGGTCAAAACATTGCCGTGGTCAACAAACAATGCTAGTTTTCCCAGTTCGGATTTCTGTACATGCACACTGGTAGATTCTCCATTGTTGCGGTTAGTTATGTGATAATTGAGTATGTATAGTCATTTTCTCATATTTTCTCTGTTTGTTCTGTTTCTGCGAGACTGGAATTTTAAACATTTTCCCGTGGTTTCTGTCCCGTGGTGTCTGCTGATTTCCTCCAAAAATTTCGGGGAATCCATAGAGATTTGGTGAATTTTTACGTGGCGTAGATAGCTAAGTTGGTTTCTGACTCCAGTAACCATGGTTTATGAGAGTTTATGATACTTGTGACTATAGTGGATGTTAAATGGGGTTTACAATACAACTTATATATCTGGGGGGCACCACATTGTAGCCATAAATGAAGGAATAAGTACAGTAACAAGATCCTGCGAGCCGTTCCAAGCCGCCACATGATTGTGAGTTGGGATCCTTTTTTTGGGCGATAAAAGTGGGGGGTTTCCCAGGCAGAAATTTGTGGCGATGAAATGACCAAGTTATCAATGGGATTAGAACTAACTCCTGCAACTAAGGTGACATATCGCGGTATAATGCGGTTATAAGATGTTATAAGCCAGTTATAACTGTTAAAGGCTATAACGTGCTACAACTGTTTTTTTGGTACTTATTCGCTGAAAATAATGATTAACCATGATTGACCACTGGACCGGGAGGTAGCCAAACCAAACTGGTCTGTGCTCCGAAGTGATAGCCTCCTCAGCACCACCATTTGTTCATACGGCTTTGTCTGAATAATCTGGTGACAACTCAAAATCACATGATTTAGAGCATCATTTCTTGATGAAACTGGCATCTTTGGAGTGTCCCAAGTTTCAGACACATCCAACCATCATCTTGTTGGTTATCTATTGCCATGTTATATTATTGCAATTACCAATTTTAGACCACTAAATAGCCCCTTCATTGGATGCTGCTTTGCTGGCCAAACAAGTGGCAGCACCTCATGATCCCAGGAATGCATGGTTTGGAAGGAGCATTGATTTTTGGTCCCAGGATCAAGAAACCAGCAGTTTACAGGGATCCTGGTTGGTGGTTTGGAACATGACTTTTATGACATTCCATTCAGTTGGGAATGTCATCATCCCAACTGACGAACTCATATTTTTCAGAGGGGTAGGTATACCACCAACCAGGATCTATTTGGAAATGCCGCCATAGTTTTTGGCCCCAGGACTTTTTCTATTGATGCACTGGTGCTACCAGGCAAGACACTAAATGATAGCGTGGTTGTACGTTTTTTTGGTTCCAAAAAGGCGAACATATGAATGCAAAACGGAAAAGGCGAAAAACAAGTGCAAGGAGTCTCCAGGTATATATATATATATATATGTATGTAGACATGTAGAATCATGTAGATGTTACATGATGTTACATACTCTTGGATACTCTTGGTATATGTATCCGTTGGGGTCTCGAAGAGCAGTCACCTCCACCTCAAGCATCCTGCCTACTATTCATCAAATGGGGGGCTCAAAGTCATCAAATGTTGACAGGGTACCCTAGTTTGGACCCATGTCCAAGCAACATCAGTGAACATCCAGTCCTTTAGTGACATGAAAATGATTTGGAAAAGGTACAAGGATTATGTGCTTTTTCGCACAGAATCAGTCAATAGCTTGCTTGCCTGGTGAAATTCGCACGACGGATCAGGTATTCACTCGCCAATTTTGGGTCTTTATGTGATTCATATGCATTCATATGCTTGAATGAGACTGGGGATACAAGGCCAAAAGCAAATGCCTTTGCTTTGCAATGTCTTTATGGGGCGCCAATAGACTCCCTCTATGAACTGCTTGCCGCTCCCAGACTTCGCATCCGGGTTTCAGCGATTAGCCCAGTGATGAAATGGGGTTGTAATCCAGTCACTAATTGGGGTGAACCACAACCGGTTTGCTGGCTTGATTCTATTGTCTCCCAGGAATCTGCTCCGCTTTTCTCCTGGGCGCCTGGCCATCATGCCTAATCATGCCTCATTGTGTGGGCGGGCAGGGGCAACGCTGACTGCCTGAATTGGTTCGATGACTGTCGATGACGTCTGGGTTTCATCGGACCTGCTTTTTTGTAAAAAAACTGCAAAACCAAAGCATGCAGGGCAAAAAGGGAAACCCCAAACTTTCAAAGACGACCTTCCTTCGCATTAAATGGCTGCGCCTTGAGACCAGGATTCGGGCCGCATTTCCGTCAAAAACTTTGTGGAGTTAGCGTGGGCGCTCAGTAAAAAAGCGGAGTGGGACCCACCAAGAATGCAGGCGAAAAAAGCCTGGCCCAAATAATGGCATGCAACTGCAGCTTTTTCCCCCCAATGGTGCTTGGATGGATCTGTAGTTTTTGGGGTGAGTTGTCATTGGAGTTTGGAACGTGCCCGGGAATGCAAATGGGGTAGAACAAACTCTAGGTGATTTCCGCAGGTGGATGGGCAACGCGATGGGCACGCGCGAACCAAAATGCTGGGGCGCAACTGTTTGCGGGAAACAAAGCGGGTCTTCAAAAACAACGGGTGGAAACATTTTTTGTCACCATCTTTTGGATATATAGAAGAATTGGGCATGACCGAACGTTTCTCATTCTGTTTTTTTCATGTTTTACCATGTTTTATTCGCACTGCAATCTTCTGGCTATACAGATGGACACTGCACGCATTGTTTGCCACGTGTATTGAGATTTGCGGCAGACGACGGCTGTTTGTAAACATGTTCGTTGGTCATTGTTGAAACATGTCATGTTAACATATAATGATGGTTAGACCTTGTCACACGTTGGTAATGTTCCAACTAAGTATTGCGTTGACATTTTCAATCCCATTGTGGTGCCTAGATTCACATGTTTTCGATGTTTATCTTGGTTGGAACCAAATCGTTCTTTTCGTTTCGTTAAACACACATTTCCTTCTGTGGCTCACCTGCCGCCAATTCAGTCATGTGCACCGTGTTTGTTTCACAATGTTTCACATAGCGTGCGTTTGGAGGGTTGAAGACTCAGGATTGGTGAATTTTTTTGACCTCCATGCGATGCAACAATCAACGGTGGTTTTTCTTACGCATTGAAAAAATCTCTTAAAGGTCCCTAAATTTCAGGCTGGTGAGTCATGATGAAATTCAACCAGAAATGGTGGATTGTACAATTATTTCCCATCATTTTTAGACAAACAAATGGTTCAACCGGGCCTGGATCGTTCAAACCACCGGACAGGGGAAACATCCCGAGATGTCGTGGACTTGGACCCCTCCCAAAAAAAGGAAAATTGAAACCTGGAAAATATGGAGGGAACATCTATACCAACATTGTTTTACATGTTTTTGCCAACTGTTATACCTTAAACCCAGGTGAAATGTTAGTTAACCAACTTGGTTGTCGAATTTGGGCACCCTTTCTGCAGCAATTTAAATCATATTGTTTCCGGATTCCGCCCTTTTTTTCATGGGATTGAACCGCAAAATGTGATACCCCGCGTGTTAGCTGATTAAGATTCGCCCTGCTAATCGTGGCTGTGGCCAAGGCGCCCTTCATAAACATTAATATTATTGGGGGCGTCATCTTTGGGCAGCGAGGTGGCTGAATCCCCGCTAGTATCTTAATTTTTGGCGGATAATTTTAAATATTCCAATCTAATACATCTGAAATCATCAAAGTCGGGGGCAATTTCATGTGTGTTATAATTACCCGCAGAATGTACCCCTTGATATCCCATGATATTCCATACTTGTAATCGATATCCTCACTATGGTTGGTTGTATGAAAATTATACCACCATTTCTGCTGCGGGTTAAATCGCACTTTGTGGATATGTATGGTTATTTGTTAATTATCAAATGATATTCCTGTTGTATCACCTTATCCTTTAACAGATATTGATGAACCTTTATTTGTACTATGATTGTTATTGTAATTGTTATTGTTGTTTTTGGGTTGGCCATATGATAACAATCATCAAACCATAACAATCCCATTATATTGGTAAAATTGTCGTGATATTCATGAATTGCTGGTTGTACTTGGAAGATAATCCCACTTAGGAACTGGTTGGTAGCTCTGGTTCGTAAATCCCTGAACTTTCGTTATCCCATTTCTATCCATTTCTTATTGGAATACAACCACACTTGCTAACCACAGTTATGGCCATTTATCAGTTGTAAGTACTAACAAAACCCCATTTATAGAATGTATAATCCCATTTATAACGAGTTATAACTGGTAAATGGCCATAACTGCAGTTATTACTGTGAGTGGGATGGCCCTCTGCTCGTAGCCCTGTGTTGCAGGTCTCACTGCTGTACCAAGTTCTCGAGCGCCCATTAGCCGAAGCACATCGCTTGGTCGGGGTCGCAGCACGGTTAAAACCTCTGTTGGTTGCTGATTCTTGAAGAAAGTCACCATGACATCTATTAAAATGTGTGGTTTTAACCAGCCAACAATGACGACAAACATATTTGATGTTTTGTGAAACATATTGATTGGCTGAAGATCAGTTGGGTAAAAAATAGTGGGTTATACGACGTGGTTTGACAGGGATTGTGCATGTACCACAACCATCCACAACACAGAAATGTGTGGATGGGATGCAAATGGCTATTTTTCAGAGCTCACTTGGATACTAAACTTTACCGCGAAACATGATCCATCATTTGGAGTAACTGTGATGTTTTTTTCACCATTTAAGTGTGGGTAGTTGGTACACGGCAATTTTTGTGGGTCATTTCTTTGGTCAAATTGAGGGTGAATCGCGCACCATTAGCGAAATACCTTGTGATGGCATTTCACCCTTTCCTGTGGTTAATAGTGGTTAATAGTGATTAATAGTGGTTAATGATGGTTAACAGTGGTTATGATTAATGAACCACTATTAAGTCCAATTGGCAACACTGGACCATTTTCCGTCATGTGGTGATTTTTCCGATGGATCCGGGACCGAGTCACTGGAGTTTGTTGAAACTGAGGTTGGACATTGATTTCTCGATTCAACTGTTGGGATCAGATGCGTATGAGTCACAAGTCCAGACTGATTGGAAACAATAACTAATTGACCTTGCAACTTTTTCAGAAGTTATCCAAATGTTGCGGGTTTCCAATGTCCAATTGTGAGTCCATGACTGTTTGATTTTCTCGATATAATAAGTTGATACAATTCAGAACAATTGCAATTTGTTGAACTCCTGATTATTTATCGGGGTAAACGGCTAGATGACTCCCGCGGTTGATAAGGGGTGTGCGTTGTGTGCAAACAATGCTGGAGTAAGAACAGTTGCGATGCCTATGTTGTGTATACATACGTATATACAATATAATATAATATAATATGAAATAATATAACATAATATAATTTTGATAGTATAATTTATCTATATATATATAATATATAATACAATATAATATATACATAAAATAATGATAATACCTACCTCCTATAGGTTGTATTCCATGTCGCACTAATGATGTCCTTTGACTCGAGTAGTTTTTTTTTCTCCTGGATTTCACGCCAGCAGATCCCCTATTGAAATGGGGGACCTCCAAAAATGATGCGCGAAATGGATGGTGTTTGGATGGTTTACATATTTTGGTGGTCCATTTTACACAATAACACTGGACAATCCTATTTTTTTAATGGATGGTTTACAGTTATGGACATTTATCAGTTATAAGTACTAACAAAACCCCATTTATAGAATGTATAATCCCATTTATAACCACTTATAACTGGTAAATGGCCATAACTGTGGTGACTAAGTCTCAGGAGGTTATCCTCTGTATAAGTGGAGTAACTATCCACACTGACAAAACCAGAAACCTTATCGGCATGTTTTTCCATGCAAACATATGATTCATATGATTAAAGAAAAAACTATTTGACTATTTTTTAAGAATAATGATTGGATCTTACTGGTATGGATACAGCATTGTCATCCCCACTGGTTATAGCATTATATAATTGTGTGTATATATCTTAAACACAATCTATTTTGAATACCATTGTAAAACTTGTTTGTTAAACGCACACAGCATATATGGTATATCTACTGGGAAAAAACATTGACTATTCCCAAGTGGTTATTATATCATATGGAATGTTATCAAAGATATCATATCATCTAATTCTAGTATATAATATATGTATTTGATGGGAGATTGCACGATGTGATGTAACCCATTTGTCTTTGAAAAACGGAGATCGGTGACACCTCATAAATTGATCAATATCAGGGGTATTCAACAACTTCCGCCACAGGTGACCAGCACAAATGATGGTTAAGAACTTTTAGTGCTTGTTGGTCGATGTCAACCCAGGATGAAACTAAAACCATGGTTTATTACAAAAGGGTGGTATTCTTCCAATAGTCAGCCTAGGGGTTTATTCATCCAGGGTTGACATTAGTTGTTGGTGGTTAGTAAGCCATCAGCCGAAGCCCCTATTGGTATCATATCATTACTGACGCCGTTTCGACAGTCGACACCTGTTTTTGATTTAGTCCAAGGCCATGCAAGAAGAACTGAGTGGAGAGGCGAGTTTCTTGTGGTTGATTTGACCATCTACCAGGGGAGATTTATGACGCCTTGGTGAAAGCTAGGGATTTTTAAGGAAAGATTGGGTGAAGCAACAAAATACAGGGAAGGCAAGTGGTCGACAAGCAAAACAGTTTCTATGGCCTGCATCAACTGGTGACATGTACTCTGAAAGCCTTAATCATCTTCGATCTGTTGCCACCTTAATATCTTTATGATTCTATATATATATACATAGAATTATTTATATATATATATATAGAATTATATATACAGTCATCGACAGAATTATGGAAATGAAAAAAAGGTTCGGCGCCGCAGTTAGCGAAAAAGGTTGGGGACCGAAACCAAGACAAAAAATTAGCTAGATTACGGACTTTCAAAAAAAATAATTTTGGAAATAGCAATTTTCAGATCCTGATCCTCTAAAAAAGAAAAAACAAGTGAGACAAATGTCTACAAAAGCCTGTAATCCACGATGCAAAATTAATTTTGGAAATCTTACTTATCGGATCCTGGTCCTCCAAACTACCTGCATTACAGCGTATTTGCATGATTTTGGGACTAAATCCAGATTCAGTTTTGGGACCCTTATCCTCCAAACCACCTGGCTTACAGCAAATTTGCATGATTTTGGGACTAAATCCAGATTCAATTTTGGGATCCTGATCCTCCAAACATCTCTAAACCACCTTGTTTACAGTTTATTTGCATGATCTTGGGACTAAATCTAGATTCAGCTTTCGGACCCTGATTCTCCAAACCAGTTGCTTCGCAGCGTATTTGCATGATCTTGGGACTACAGTAAATCTAGATTCAGCTTTCGGATCTTGGTCCTTCAAAAAAAAGGATGAAACAAATGTATACAAATGTCTACAAAAGCCTCTCATCCACGATGCAAAATTAATTTTGGAAATCTTACTTATCGGATCCTGATCCTCCAAACTATTTTGAATGTTTTTGCATGATTTTGGGACAAAATCCAGATTCAGTTTTGGGACCCTTATCCTCCAAACCACCTGGCTTACAGCAAATTTGCATGATTTTGGGACTAAATCAAGATTCAATTTTGGGATCCTGATCCTCCAAACATCTCTAAACCACCTTGTTTACAGTTTATTTGCATGATCTTGGGACTAAATCTAGATTCAGCTTTCGGACCCTGATCCTCCAAACCAGTTGCTTTGCAGCGTATTTGCATGATCTTGGGACTACAGTAAATCTAGATTCAGTTTTCGGATCTTGATCCTTCAAAAAAAAGGATGAAACAAATGTATACAAATGTCTACAAAAGCCTCTAATCCACGATGCAAAATTAATTTTGGAAATCTTACTTATCGGATCCTGATCCTCCAAACTACCTAGTTTTGAATGTTTTTGCATGATTTTGGGACAAAATCCAGATTCAGTTTTGGGACCCTTATCCTCCAAACCACCTGCAAATTTGCATGATTTTGGGACTAAATCCAGATTCAATTTTGGGATCCTGATCCTCCAAACATCTCTAAACCACCTTGTTTACAGTTTATTTGCATGATCTTGGGACTAAATCTAGATTCAGCTTTCGGACCCTGATCCTCCAAACCAGTTGCTTTGCAACGTATTTGCATGATCTTGGGACTACAGTAAATCTAGATTCAGCTTTCGGATCTTGATCCTTCAAAAAAAAGGATGAAACAAATGTATACAAATGTCTACAAAAGCCTCTCATCCACGATGCAAAATTAATTTTGGAAATCTTACTTATCGGATCCTGATCCTCCAAACTACCTAGTTTTGAATGTTTTTGCATGATTTTGGGACAAAATCCAGATTCAGTTTTGGGACCCTTATCCTCCAAACCACCTGGCTTACAGCAAATTTGCATGATTTTGGGACTAAATCCAGATTCAATTTTGGGATCCTGATCCTCCAAACATCTCTAAACCACCTTGTTTACAGTTTATTTGCATGATCTTGGGACTAAATCTAGATTCAGCTTTCGGACCCTGATCCTCCAAACCAGTTGCTTCGCAGCGTATTTGCATGATCTTGGGACTACAGTAAATCTAGATTCAGCTTTCGGATCTTGATCCTTCAAAAAAAAGGATGAAACAAATGTATACAAATGTCTACAAAAGCCTCTAATCCACGATGCAAAATTAATTTTGGAAATCTTACTTATCGGATCCTGATCCTCCAAACTACCTAGTTTTGAATGTTTTTGCATGATTTTGGGACAAAATCCAGATTCAGTTTTGGGACCCTTATCCTCCAAACCACCTGGCTTACAGCAAATTTGCATGATTTTGGGACTAAATCCAGATTCAATTTTGGGATCCTGATCCTCCAAACATCTCTAAACCACCTTGTTTACAGTTTATTTGCATGATCTTGGGACTAAATCTAGATTCAGCTTTCGGACCCTGATCCTCCAAACCAGTTGCTTCGCAGCGTATTTGCATGATCTTGGGACTACAGTAAATCTAGATTCAGCTTTCGGATCTTGATCCTTCAAAAAAAAGGATGAAACAAATGTATACAAATGTCTACAAAAGCCTCTCATCCACGATGCAAAATTAATTTTGGAAATCTTACTTATCGGATCCTGATCCTCCAAACTACCTAGTTTTGAATGTTTTTGCATGATTTTGGGACAAAATCCAGATTCAGTTTTGGGACCCTTATCCTCCAAACCACCTGGCTTACAGCAAATTTGCATGATTTTGGGACTAAATCCAGATTCAATTTTGGGATCCTGATCCTCCAAACATCTCTAAACCACCTTTGTTTACAGTTTATTTGCCATATGATGATCTTTGGGACCTCTAAATCTAGATTTCAGCTTTCGGACCTGATCCTCCAAACCAGTTGCCCTTTGCAGCGTATTGCATGAACTTGAGGACTCTACAGAAATCTAGATTCAGTTTCGGCATCTTGATCCTTCAAAAAAAGGATATGAACAAAAGGGAGAAAAGGGAGACCCAAAAAACCAAAAATCCTAAAACAAACAACAAAAACACAAAGCCTTTAATCCACGATGCAAAATTAATTTTGGAAATCTTACTTATCGGATCCTGGTCCTCCAACCCTTACTCCTCCCTGTCTATGCCTTCCTTCATACACCTTGTGTCGTATCCTATCCCTCCCACAGAACCCCAAACTACCTAGTTTTGAATGTTTTTGCATGATTTTGGGACAAAATCCAGATTCAGTTTGGGACCCTTATCCTCCAAACCACCTGGCTTACAGCAAATTTGCATGATTTTGGGACTAAATCCAGATTCAATTTTGGGATCCTGATCCTCCAAACATCTCTAAACCACCTTGTTTACAGTTTATTTGCATGATCTTGGGACTAAATCTAGATTCAGCTTTCGGACCCTGATCCTCCAAACCAGTTGCTTTGCAGCGTATTTGCATGATCTTGGGACTACAGTAAATCTAGATTCAGCTTTCGGATCTTGGTCCTTCAAAAAAAAGGATGAAACAAATGTATACAAATGTCTACAAAAGCCTCTAATCCACGATGCAAAATTAATTTTGGAAATCTTACTTATCGGATCCTGATCCTCCAAACTACCTAGTTTTGAATGTTTTTGCATGATTTTGTTGCTCGGTTCTGGCCTCACTAGGAGCCCGGGGGCGGCTTTCTTGTTCTTGTGCTCCTGTGTCTCTGCCGCCGGCAGAGCGCTGTCTCCTCGACCTGGTGGGGACCCTGCCTGCTCGCTGTGTGTTGGTTGTTTCTATTTTTTTGAGACAAAATCCAGATTCAGTTTGGGACCTATCCTCCAAACCACCTGGCTTACGCAAATTTGATGATTTTGGGAACTAAAATCCAATTCAATTTTGGGATCGGTCCTGATCCTCCAAAACATTCTAAACCACATTGTTTACCAGTTTATTGCATGATCTTGGGACTAAATCTAGATTCAGCTTTCGGACCCTGATCCTCCAAACCAGTTGCTTCGCAGCGTATTTGCATGATCTTGGGACTACAGTAAATCTAGATTCAGCTTTTGGATCTTGATCCTTCAAAAAAAAGGATGAAACAAATGTATACAAATGTCTACAAAAGCCTCTCATCCACGATGCAAAATTAATTTTGGAAATCTTACTTATCGGATCCTGATCCTCCAAACTATTTTGAATGTTCTTGCATGATTTTGGGACAAAATCCAGATTCAGTTTTGGGACCCTTATCCTCCAAACCACCTGGCTTACAGCAAATTTGCATGATTTTGGGACTAAATCAAGATTCAATTTTGGGATCCTGATCCTCCAAACATCTCTAAACCACCTTGTTTACAGTTTATTTGCATGATCTTGGGACAATCTAGATTCAGCTTTCGGACCCTGATCCTCCAAACCAGTTGCTTTGCAGCGTATTTGCATGATCTTGGGACTACAGTAAATCTAGATTCAGTTTTCGGATCTTGATCCTTCAAAAAAAAGGATGAAACAAATGTATACAAATGTCTACAAAAGCCTCTAATCCACGATGCAAAATTAATTTCGGAAATCTTACTTATCGGATCCTGATCCTCCAAACTACCTAGTTTTGACTGTTTTTGCAGGATTTTGGGACAAAATCCAGATTCAGTTTATTATTTTTGATCTCCCACTGATGCTACTGTAGCCATAATCATGCACTGTAGCCATGGCCAAAAGAATTATGGAAACATGTCAATAGAAAAGTTGTCACCCCTTTCAGGAAACAAATAATTATGGAAATGGTCATATGCCAAGAAACACCCTCACATGGAAAAAAAATATATGGAAATTTAACTGCGGCACGTCACGCCCCTTCCAAAAAGGTTCAGATTACAAGATATTACGTAATTTTGATGTGTGCATTTTTATCAGTAAAAAATAATTATGGAAAAATACGGCACCGGCGCGCCGCAGTTGTTTGCTGGCCCATGCCGAACCTTTTTTCCATTTCCATAATTCTGTCGACGACCATATACAATGTTGATATATATATATATAGTTGCATTTCGATATTCAAACACTGATTCCGAGGTGATGTGAAGAAATTGAAGGATGTGCTGCATCGTCAGCGCTATATGTTCCAGCAACTTCTTCAAATGTGCCAACCCGCTGAGATGAAGACTGACGAATCCGAAGCTGCCATATTGGATGCAGCACGCAAAATTCCAATGGCAAATGAAAGACCTATCACATGGGCAGTTCAGCTTCATGATGATGCAACCACACGGCAGCCGTTGCCTGACTGGCTGTCACGGCCAGTTGAAAAGTCTGTGACATGGTGGTCTTCCGAAAACAGAAAATGGCAAGCCAAGATCGACGCACGTGCTGAGTTAGGCAAAGTGCTGCCTGCAAAGGCAAAGATGAAATACGATGCATTTGTGAATGAGAAGTCTGTACTGCATCTTTTGTTTTCCAAAAAGACTCGGAAGCAAGTGTTGAAATTGCAGTCCATCAAAGACTTGGAAAAAAATGAAAAAAATTGTTCAGCGTGGAGCTCATCATGTCCAGTGATCCATCATTGCTGGCTATCAGAGGAGGCAGTGGTGAAGCAAGGCGCTTAGTACTGGTGAGGAGTGAAGCAATCACAGCTGACGACCTACCTGAACTTCCAGAGTTCATCAGTATGGGTGGTGTCGCCAACTCAGTTGTTGAGTCGTTGAATGCCAATAACGATGCTGATGACGGTGAGTATGGAGATGATGAAGAGGATGCTGCAGATGATTTCAATGGCGAGCATGAGGAGAATGACAATGGAGAAAACATGGAAATTGATGCGGAAGAACAAGAGTTCATGGAGAATGCTGAAGCCATTCAGGATCAGGATGACAGTGACAAGGAGGAAATCCTTTACTACAGTTCTGAGGAAGAGACAGTGAAGGGCATGGCAACATCCAACTTCGGTCGCGTGAAATCATTTGATCACCGCCCAGAGTGGAAAGCATTGTCAGCCCGTGGGGCTACAGAGATTCCACCCAATTGCTTCATCGGGTACCATGCGACCAGCAGAACGTGGCAAGGGTACTTTGGTGAGTCTGGCGGTGGATCAGGTTCGATCTCACGAACTCATGGCGGAAAAACGAACCGCACACCAGGTGAAGCTTTATTGATGGTAATTCAGGGGATGGTGGAGTATTACTGCAGCAAGTTTCCCAGAGATAAGGTCTGGAAGAAACAATTGGAACGGCTAGACACAATTAGCCAAACCATTGCGAAGTTGTGAAGTATGGCTCCACTGTGCATCCAGAGACGATGCGTTCACGTACAGATTGCACGAGATGCTGGCAGCCCACTGTTCCCGGGAAGGTCAAACAATGAGGATACAAGCAATATATATATAGTCAGTCTATATATATATTATATATATTCACATACTTTGTTTCTTGATAGTGGTTTACAACAGTGTATATGTACGCATACATATATATATAAATATAATATATATATATATATATATTCAACATATGACCTTTCTTGGCCAGATTCGTGTCGAAACGCGGAGGATCAACACTTATGTGCGTACCATAGTTGACCATGGGGTATATGGAAGAAAAAAAGAACTGCGCTACACAAAAGGGGTGTTCATGGCTGATGTGCACCATTTTGGGACATGATGATTTACTTTGCGGATGGCTGTTTCAGATTAAACAAGTATTGTATATATAAATATATTTTAAACATAAACATCGCTTTTGATTTAGAATCGTATTAGTATATATGTATTTATATACTTAGTAATTATAGAAAATTATAGTTTTAGATCAAACAACATACATATATATATACTGCCGGACTGAAAGTTATAGTTAATAGATTTGCATGGAGGTTCTCGGGTTATGTTCTCATGTGATTTATGCAATAATATCAACAATGAAGTCTGAGAGTTAGAATGTGATTAGCACACTGGGACCCAAAGTTAGAATGACCCCTGGTACCCGCATTCTAACTTTAAAATTTTGAGCATTCTAACTTCGGAGGTTTTCAACATTTTGGTAACAAGATATAGCATTCTAACTGTCAGTCCGGCAGTATAATATGCCATAAATATATGATGCATACCTACATCTTCCCCGGTGTGCATAATTTCTGCCTTTTGAGGGTGTTCGGCCTTTTGTTGTTAAAAGGCGATTTTGCGCGACCACGGGCGACTTTTGCGATTTCAAGTAATTAGGGCCACCTTTTTGATGGTGGCAGAAATCTCTCCATGTATCTCAATGTTTTCTAGACTATATATATATATACATATCCCAATCCAAAGATAAGGCAATCTTTTCACCAAATTCCCTCAGATCTATGGGTGAAACTGGGTTTACTTGTTTGAAAAACTTCGCCAAACTGCACAACCGTTTGACAACAAAACAGGGCAGTAGCACAGCCCACACTTTCTTGCCTGGAATGTATATATCCTTAGTTTCCCATATGCATGAAAAAGAATCAAGGTAGGAGTCAATTTCAATTGGCTCCTGAGTTAATTGATGCAAGACTGAGAGTCTTTCCACTGTCCCAACAACAATTAACTTCAGTTTTAATTGTTTCCATATGACCTACAGCCTCATTCCTATTAAATCCACATTTGCGTTGGACCAGGGGGTAAGCTGTCTTTTTCTAGTCACCACTGTATCCAATTGAATCTGGTTTTAATTGTTTCGATGATGTTCTCATGCCCTTCACATACCAATTTAATCTGGATTTAATTTTTGCAATGAGCTTCTTGATCCACGTGCTTCCCCAATTAACTCAGGATTTAATTGTTTTTCTCGTGTGATTGACCATTGTCATACAGGATGCCAGGGATCAGCTAGTAGCTCCTTAGTTTAGGAGAGAACCTTGGAGTTTTCAGGGGCTTGGGGACATTGTTTGCTTTGGCAGTGGCTGCGGCTCAATGTCTTAGCGAGGGCGGAAACGAAAGCAGTGGCAGCCATGTGAGGTTGTCGAGTTGCAAGGAACTCTCCGTGAAGCTGCCGGCAAGTGGTTGGAAGTCAAAGGTCGCACTCACTCACCTTTGAGCACATCCAGTTTCCAGGGCAGAAGGACATATTGCCAAGTGCATCGAATGCAAGAGTTGCACCAAGGAATGGATTTTCAGCTATGCTTCTTCTGATAGCCAGATGGAAGTGCAACAGTTGGGTGACCATGTGGAAGAGAAGAACGAGCAGGTCATGCGTAGAAAGCATGCCAAGAAGTTTGCTCAAGAAGCAACTCCAGGCGGTGCCCTTCTTTTGATGGAAAAGCAAGCACAGACCCCCGGCATACTTGATCAGCAACTACAGACCCAAGCAGAAAGATTTGCAAATGAAGGTGATTGCTGATTGCATCGGCTCATTCCAAGACTTTATTGCCAAGCCGCCTGAACAGATTGCAATCTGTCCCGGTGCTGTGTGCACCTCGGAGCAGGTGCGCATTGGTTTCTTCGCAGCGCCCATGAAAAAGTGGCTTGAAGGCAACAAGCACTTGTCTTCCTTTTGCATGGACTTCACGTTCGGCATTGGGCAACATGGTCTAGCTCTTGGAGGCATAGGCCCCCTTGGTTTGGTAGAAGCTCCGAAACACCGTCCTCATGTACGCATGCTGCCACTGTTACTCATGGTTGCCAAATCAGAGGACCGTGAGGCCCATCAAGATCTCTTTAAGCAGTACATGCAGCTCATGAAGGAGCATGAGATTTCTGTGACAGACGGTTTTGCGGATTGCTTTTGCTTTGAGAGTTTGCAGGACCTGGTAGAGGCAGAAGCATTGAAAAGTGGTTACATAATGTTTAGCATGGCAACTGTGTTTGTTCTGAGTATGTACCAATGTAATCTGAAAGTTTCCCCTGTCAGGCGAATGAGGACTGGAAACGTATCCGGCTTCACCGTTGTCTTCAGCACAGCAAAATGAATCTGCGGCAGGCGGCGAGGAAAAGATGTCCCTCTTGTGGTGAAAGACGTCTTCGGAATGATGAGTTCCTGAATGTCCTGGTTGCATTCCTTTTGCAGTCAGCATTTTTGCCGAGCTCTTTGGAATTCAACGTCTTTTGGTCGTCTGTGATCTCTAGACTTCGAGGCACAGAAAAAGAGTCCGATTGGCACGAACCAGACATGGCGCTCTACATTCAGGAAAACCTCCTGCAAGAAGGCCCTGATGGCTTTACGGCGGCTTGGCGGACAGGTTTGGGCATTGTTCCTTTTGGTTTCACTACTTACAGCTCCAACGCCCAAGAACGCGCCTGGCGGACTATCAAAGGTCTTCTCAAGCCAGGGACCGTGGTGGCAAAATGTTTGTTGTGGGGCAATTTTTTCGTTTGTGGTTTTCCCGGGTATTTGATTGATTTTTCTTTTGCAGCGCAGGATGCGCCAAAAAGATCCTGCCTCTGTTATTCTGGATGTGGCTGCTGCCCTTACTTCCAAGTTGCGGAACGGGGACTATGACAAGATGCTGGCCACAGTGGCCCAGCCTTGGCAAAGTCTTCAGGTGTCTGACAAAGCTCAGTTGCAGGATGTGGACAGCCTTGATTCGGACGACGGGCCTCAGTTAGTGCAACGAAAGCGTCTGGGTTTAGAAGCAATTCTGAAGCATTTCAGGCGTCATGGGCCAACCGGGACATTTATTGCCTCTGTGTGCTCCCTGACTCTTCAGAACGGCTGCTCTGCATTGCTCTGCCCGCTTGGTGTACGTCTTGCCGAAATATTCGCTGCAGCACGCAGCCAAGAGAAAGCAGGAAATGGCCAGCGCCTTGCGTTTAGCTCTGGCGACCTCTGAGGAGGAAGTGGTCCGCGCAGCTGCTTCTCTTCAGACAGGTCTGGTGGGCCACTTAGGATTGACCTCTGTTATTGTGATAGGCAACATATCATCTTGTGATTATCCTTCATCCGTTTATTAAAGAATTGTGTCTTTTCCAATACCTTTTGATTTGTGTTGGATACTCATGGCAGGAACGGCTTTATGTGTCATCGCATACGGAGTATCTAATAGCGATGACGTTTGCTCGCCCAATCGGCTTTCCTTCTAATCAGCAGCATTCCCTACTGTACCTGCTCGTTTTTGATAAAGGGAAATATGTCATCCCACTGTCCTATGTCCAGGTGCTTATGATTGCCTGCGCCATCTGCATCTCAGAGAAAGCTATTGCACCGTTTGGGTGTCGACGGAGAACCAGCTGTACGAAGGTCATAAGCATTTGGTTTCGGGTGCAGGATGGAGTGAGCATTGCTTGTTCATCCGGGCTCTCCTTGCGAAGGAAACATCCCAGCCCATACCCCTGGGGACGTTGTCAGCTGCTGCCAAGAAAAGAACAAAGAAGCGGCCGCAGGCCAAGAGATCAGCCAAGATGAAAGCAATGCTGAGAGCTCCTGAGGCATTGTCCTCTGGCGTTGCAGGCGCTGAAGCAGTAGAAGTTGTTCCGATGAATTCCCAAACCCAAGAGCTTCTACCAGGTGGTTTGGTGGAAGGAAAGGAGCTCCCTATTTTGGATTCTGTTGGGCAGGAAAAAGAGTCTATGTGCATGGCCGCAACCAACAGCGGCAAGCGCTGCAGACGAAAGAGATCGCATGGCGCTTTTTGCTTCCACCGCCATCAGATCGCAAGTTCGCCCAAATGGAGTTTGACGCTCTTTGAATCCGTGAAGGAGCCGGCGCAAAGCGCCATGGAATCCTGGGAAAAGGCGCAATTGGACCTTGCCATCCAATTGTCGCAGACAGAGAATGAAGAGTTGTCTGCCCGCATGCAAGAGAGCTGCCGACGGGTCGACGCCAGGTTGCGGCTTTTGGGTCTTCGTCGTGTCCCTGTCCCTGTCGAAGGGAACTGCCAATTTGATGCTTTGGTCTACTCTGCAGATGTTCCAATGAGTGCAATGGAGATGAGGAGCTTTGTGGTTCAATATCTACGGCCACTGGCCCGTTTCTTTCAAGATCGAATCCAGGGGCAATTTGCTGGCAGGTATGATTCATACTGCTCCAACCTGGCCAAGTCAGGAAGCTGAGGGGACGAGCTGTCACTGCTGGGTGCGGCTCACTTGTTGAGACGTCCAATTCATCTGGTCACGGACACCGTCTCTGACAAGCCAGAGGAGTACATCCGAATCATCGAGCCGCCCAGCATTATCCATGAGTCCCTTTGGGGCAGCCAGGTGGTTTTGGCATGTTTCATGGACAGACACTTCGACGCGACCGAGCCAGATTCTAGCTAGTGTAACCTGCCCTTCGCTGAGAAAAATCTTTGTTCATGGCTGATGCAGGACAATTAAATCCAGATTTAATTTTTCGTTGGGAGTTTCATTCAAGGCTATTATACGGCGGCGTCTGCTGCCCTTGAGAGCCCACCATCTGATTCAAAAATTCTTTCGCGCGCATGGTTGACCTATTGAAAGTAATTATTTTCGATTGCTATTATTATGTTTGATTCCTGGCTGGTAGAGTGGAGATGCGAGTGCCTTGTCAGAATTGTGGCGACGGGAAGGCTGGCAGCCAATGGGTTCTGGAGAATTAAATCTGGATTTAATTCTTGGGGCACGCGGACCAGCAGCATTGAGTGAGTGGAATCCATTAAACGAATTCAACTAAATCTTTGTTCAATTGTCGAGGATGTCGTTGAGGGTAACCCATGCAGCTGAAACATGCAACAGAAACCATGCAATTAAACCTCGTTTCAATTGCTGGGGCCATGTGACTTTGCGCAAGCCACCAGACCACAACAATAAACCATTGAGTTTTTTTTTAAAACTCTTACCTTCAGTGCCAACCTCTTTGATTTTGGGCTGTGGCCAATGCAGGGCATTAGGTCATATTAGGTCAGGCATGGTCATTTCGATCTCTCCCGCAAGAATGCGAAAACTAGTTGGAATATGTTGGAATGCCTTTGAATTGGGTTTTGCTGTCTGGAAGTTTGTAACCCTCAAAAGAAAAACCGGGCCGGAGCAGGAGACTTTTCCCGACCCAGCGGCGACTTTTCGCGACTTAAAGGCGACTTTACGCGACCAACGTTTTTTTATGCACTATCTCCCATTGGGGCCGGAGCATGTTCCAGTTGAAGCCCATCCAAGGCCAAATTCAAACATGTTTATGCCAGAGCAAACTCTTGCAATTGCAACAAGCCGGTGTGTGACAGCTGAGGATATAGGCACATGAAATAGTTTGGGTAAAACAAAAACTTTATTGGGATGGCTTGGCAAAACCAAGAAATGCATTGGGATTGTTTGTACAAGCAAAGAAACTTGTTGGGATAATTATTGGTTAAACTTAAACTACTCAAACCAAAAAATGTGGTGGGATAGTTTGGGCAAACCAATGCAGATATGAAAATGTATTTAGGTAATTTGGGTAAATCAAAGCATGTCTAGTGGAGTAATTTGGTTAGGGCAGTTTCGGTTTTATGATTTTCCGACAGGCGATTCTGAAGACAAAAGGCGTTTCTGAAAAAATCGAGCAGAAAATTTCTGCCTTTTAGTAAAGGAGAGAAAAAAATGCATACCTGGAAGATCCAGGTGTATACATATATATATATATGTGTGTGTGTGTGTGTGAGGAACATTTGGGGAATATGGGGTTTCCCCAGTTTTTGGGGTATGTGTGTGATCTTCTCAGGAGTGTGATGGTGTGGCGCGAAACGTTCGCCTTCAGGTGCACGAGAAGCTGGGAGTGAGTGTTTCAGATCGGGAGACAACGTCACGAGGAAATGATGGTGAACCTAAGGAGAACCATCCCCAAATGCCGATTGAGCTATTTATATCATGATAATATCTATCTAATTATATATTATGCTCTTTTTAGTTTGGTGAATCCTCAAAGAATCTGCCAGGAATCCGTTGGAATCGCAAGTGGTCCTTCTTCAACTTAGTTCTGTGATCTCCTGTGGTTCTGCGCAGTTGCTAGGTTTGGCCGTACCATGGGGTGTTACCCCAAGAAATACCACGCAGAAAGATCATGAGTCAGTGAAACATACGTGTAAACTGGGCTGCATACAGCTTGCAGATGCTTGCAGTCTTTCAGTGGAGTTTAAATTTCGATAAAAATCGGCTTTTGCAGTCTTGCGGTGATTTCCCTCCGATGCTGTTGTTGGAGCATGTTCCTTGTTCCGGCGTAGTGTTGATTTTTGGTTGCATGGGTGCTTCCCACCATTGCGATAGGGGTTATCCTCTATGAGACTTGGGAAACAACCATGGTACCCCAAAAAATAGAGACGCGTCCCCACTGGTGGCTTATTGTGTGCGAATTATACACCAACCCCAACTATTTCCAGAACGGCCCCTCATGAGGGAGTGATTCTTGCTCTAAAAATGGTCAAACATATGGGTATTTACATGATTAAAACAGTGCTTTGTGACCAAAATAGGCTCAAAACCGTTGGTTTCCTGATCGGCTGATCGGCGCCTTGGCTCCTTGCAGCAGATTTGGTGCACCAGGCCATGTTCAAAGCCGTGCGAATCAAAGTCCACACTGGACAACTCCTACACTGTCCTGGATAAAGATGTTTAGGTCGCAAGTGAAGCTTCAAACCAAACTCGGCTTGCAAGTGGTTCAATTTGATTCCTTCCAGTTCAATGTTTTTTTGTTGAAAGCAGAGCCTCTACATTCGAATTATTTAAGGCTCCGAAGCAGCACGTTGTTTCAAGATGTTTCGGGTCACATGGAGGTTTCCGAGTTTTTTGGCCGATGTCTTGACATGAATGGGAAACGCTCACGATTGACAACGATGTGGCGTTTCCAGGCCAGACATCTTAGAATGGTTTTGGCTTGAAAGTATTGAAACCCAAAGTGGGCCTACCAATGTGACCAAATTCGAGGCAGGCCTCTCAATTTAGGATGCGCGAAATTAGGATGCCCAAAATGTGCGCATGTTTCATATTTTTTGCAGATGAAAAACCCCGCATCGTGTAGGGCGTGCCCCGATTCTTTGCAGTCTTTTGCAAGCCTTATGTTCAAACTTCTGCTGGTGTGTTCACGTTTGCTGGGATGATGCTTCAACATTTTCACGATGCTTTAAAGAAACTTATTTGGATGTGACATCTGTGACATCTTGTTATTCTTTCAGGCTTTGCTTTTGACCGTTTGCAGTGTTCTCCTGTCACTGATCTCTTTCATTTGCCGTCCATGACTCCATGACCCTGTTGATGCTGTACTCATTGCTCAGTCCTCTCCCATATCATCATTGCACATTTCATTGATCAAATCAATCCCATTTCATTCTCACATCATATCATCCTTCCGCAGTATGTTTCTAACGCCCATGTCTATCCATGCCCATGTCTGCGCCTGCCATGGCAGAGAAGCCGTTGCTGGTCATCAAGGCCTGAGCCCCCGGAGATTTCAGCGCGCAGTCATTTGCTGATTTTGCTGAGCGCACGAATCGTGACGCTTCGTGACGCACTGCCCAGGGCATTCCGGAGACTCTGCACGTGCCGGATTTGCGGGTCTTTTTTGAACCGGCGGTGGAGTGACTTGAAATGACTTGAATTGCAGAAAGGCCATGCCATGAAATGAAGCGAAATGAAACAGAAAGTCAAAGCCATGGCGATTTGTTCTTGCCGAGGCAGGGCCTGTTCTCCTGCTTTCATTTTCGGCGGACCAAGGTGGCTTTCCAAGTTGGTTCTCCCATGTTGTATCCAGTTGTTATCCATTTGTTTTGCATTTGCCATTTGTATCCGATGTTCGCCCCGATGTTCCCGACTTGAAAAACCGCCGTTCCCAGTTCCCCAGCCTCTCTAAGGCTGGATCTTCCAAGCCTGGAGAGCTCACCTGCCGGGTGCGTGCAGAGAACAAGGAGAGACAATTGAGACAATTGAGAGACTGTTGAGATTTTCACTGGGACATTTTGCACTCAAGCATGGGCAAAAAATGCGAGGGAAATATGGTATGAAGAGTAGATATGTGGAATTCCACAGCAAAAAATGGAAACACATTGGTGACACGTCTCAGTTATTGATTCTTATTGCATCATTTGATCATTTGCCTTGACAGTCGTGCCTTTTTACACACTTTTAGAGAGGGAGGATGCGTCAGACATCAAGGGGCAAGTCTCCGCAACGCAGGCAGCTGCCGAGGAGATCATCCGCTGCTTTCACAATGTGCCGTGGCAGGAGGCGAAGTCAGTGGCATCCTTTGGGAATCTAATCTATCTATCGATAGAAAGATAGAAAGATAGAAAGATAGAAAGATAGAAAGATAGAAAGATAGCTAGCTAGATACATAGATAGATAGATAGATAGATATATATCATTGATTTTATACATATTAGAATATTACGAACATATTCGGTCGAATTGATCAACTTGGTTTTCTTAATCATATTTTCTAGGGTTGCTAGGTGGGTCCTGGGTAGGTCCAACGTGTGAAATGCAGTTGGAAAGCAGCCATCTGTCAGGTTTTGATCGATGCCCCTGTTGGATGCTCAGACTGTTTCGAGCAGTGTTACTTGTTCGGACAGCACGCCCTTTCAGTGGATGTTAAACTGCCGTAGCCCAACGTGCAGTTGAACAAGGTCTCCAACAAAGCTCGCTGTGTGGTGGAAGCTGCAGGGAGCGGCGCTCGAACAGCTCCTTGATCTGCACCAATATCTACAGACACCACAGCACTTGAAACATCTGAAAGATGTCCACTAGGATTTTAGATTCAACATCAGAAGTTGAAGAATTTTGACCAACGTGGAATAGCCAAGGCAGATGCATGGGAGCTACATCCACCTCCAGCCTTGCCACAGGACCGAGATAGACCGAGGGTTGTTCACTGCCACCACGCCATGTTCGCTATCGCTGCTGTCGCTGGACCCCAGGGCAATGTGGGCACTTGTAGATCTGCCGTGCTGTGCGCTATCAGATCCTGTAGATTGCCATTCGGCCGCATGCAGTCAGAAGTTCCATGAATTGCCAAACTCTTTGTGTGATATGGTTGCAATGGTAAGCTTGTTGTATGTCTGTTTCCACTTTTGAGGCCAGCATCTGTCATCAAGAGGCCAGCTGAAGATATGCAAGCATTTGCTTGATGGTTCTGCAGCTCACAATGGTCACTCCAATGAGACATGTCAAAGCTTTGGTTTCAGGCAATTTGAGGCAGAGGTCAGGGTATGTTCCATATAGATCCATACAGGAAGAGCTTTGTTCAACTATCTCTCTTATCGGGTCTTGTCGTCTTTCACTGACAAGGCTTGGAATTGTTCCCAGCAAAATCCGCAGCACACGAAGTTCTGCAACTATCCCACCACCTTGGTGTTGGAGAGAACCAGAGTCAGAGCTTGGGGAGGACCGCAGTCAAGTTCCTTGAAATGACGAGAATCGTTGCCCGTCTTTGCGTTTGGGACTGGCCCTGCTGACTCTGCGAGCTGCGGAGGATGGCTCGGGGACCGAGCCGTGCACTGAAGGCCGAAAATCTTGAAATATGGACCATGGCTTAACTGGCAAAACTCAAGCCACAAGCCATCAGAGAGCTTCAAGACACAAGTTTATGCAAAGTCAAGCAAAAAGATCCCGCTCCCTTGGATCTTTAAACTAGTAGCTTCAAATTTGGGCAGGTGCCACTTCTTCACAGCCTTTCAGAGCAAAGGCTTGTTTTCATCGGAGATCATCCATCGTAGAATTCGATACAACAATGGAGGCGTTCCTTTGGTTTTGCCACCATGTCCTGATATGCTCTACACACAGGCGCATGGTGAGCGACCATTGCCCGCGTCTGCCATTTTTTCTTCTTTGAAGAAGAGCCAGGAACCCAGTTGCACCGGAGATAGCCGTTTCTAACTTTATTGTCCCGTGTCATCAATTTATTGTCTATATGTCCGTGGGTTGTTGCAGCTGTTTCATTGTTCATTCCCCACCTGCCAGGTGAGGGTTGTTAGATTTTATCAGAGTTGTTCTCCTCCTCGTCCTCCTCCTCCTCCTCGTCCTCCTCCTCCTCTTCCTCCTCGGCCTCCGCCTTCTCCTCCTCCTCTGCCTCCTTCTCCAGTTTCTCCTCGACCATGTCTGCATCAACTTCCACCTCAACTTCCGCCTTGCCAACTCTTCGCCAAGCTTTTTGTCAACTTCCCAGCTCAGTGTGCACCGCTGGACCTCAACCTGGGACCTTCCCAGCTCAGTGTGCACCGCTGGACCTCAACCTGGGACCTTCCCAGCTCAGTGTGCACCGCTGGACCTCAAACGGGGACCTTCCCAGCTCAGTGTGCACTGCTGGACCTCAACGGCCAGATAGAATACCAGAAGATATGCCAGCCAGTGTTAGAAGATATGTCAGATAGAATGCCAGAAGATATGCCAGATAAAATGCCATGAGATATGCCAGATAGAATGCCAGAAGCTATGCCAGATAGAATGTTAGAAGATGTGCCAGATAGAATGCCAGAAGGTATGCCAGAGAGAATGCCAGACAAAATGTCAGATAGAATGCCAGAAGATATGCCAGATAGAGTGCCAGAAGGTATGCCAGAGAGAATGCCAGATAAATGTCAGATAGAATGCCAGAAGATATGCCAGATAGAATGCCAGAAGATGTGCCAGATAAAATGTCAGAAGATATGCCAGATCGAATGCCAGAAGGTATGCCACATAGATTGGCAGAAAGTGTGCCAGAAGATATGCCAGATAGAAGGCCAGAAGATATGCCAGATAAAATGCCATGAGATATGCCAGATAGAATGCCAGAAGCTATGCCAGATAGAATGCCAGAAGATATGCCAGATAAAATGCCATGAGATATGCCAGATAGAATGCCAGAAGCTATGCCAGATAGAACGTCAGACCGGCTGGTATCAAGTCAGACCGGCTAGCAACGTCACAGACAAAAAGAGTGTTAGAAGGCAGCGCCTGGTATCTATGTAACAACAGATTTGTCAATGACCAGGTGGAATGCCAGAAGATATGCCAGATAGAATGCCAGATCGAATGCCAGAAGATTTGCTATTTTTAAATGTATAAATGTCATGGTGGGGATCACTCGAAGTTAAGTAATTCTTGTTGACCTTGAGATATTTTCAATCCCTCAGTTGGCCAATCTGCTGCATGTGTCTGAGGATCGCGGCCCCAAGCAAAGGCTGGAGCGGAGGCGCTTTGAATAAGACACTTGGGACACACTGAACAGTGGGAATGATGGAAACGCTGGATGCAGGCACCTGAAAAGAAGACCAAGTCCCAGAAGCCGCAAGCTGAGTCGCCTTGGGTTCAGAATTTGAAACGTGTCATGCTCTGTCTCCCTCTCCACTCTCTCCTCTCCAGTTATGGAGTTGCAGCTGAGGCTTGGAGTTGCCAAAGCTGCAACAGTGCTGAAGCCCCACAAAATGTCCGTTGCTTTGGGGCCGGCGTGGTTTCACCACACGGGGTGTCTATCTGAAGACTCTCACAGCCATCATGCCGGGTAGACTCAGGTGTGCTGCCATGAGTGATGATGAGGGCAGTGACGGCAGTCAGGGCATTAAGGGGAGTATCGTGCTCAGTTCAACCATATGCAGCACAATTTTGGATCAATGGGCATCTTTGAGATCTAAGCGCCAGACCTTCACTGAACTCGTGCCCAATTCCATTGCAGGAGATCCAGGCTTAGAAGGTGCAACCTGTGCAGCGCAGAAGGGGTACACTGCAGTGACGTTGGGGTGGTTGGCTGGGTTTAAAAAATATCCCAAGCACCTTTCCAATCCTTTCCATGCCTTCCATCATCTTCCATCCCTTCCACAGATCAGCTTATGAACGCAGCAAGTGACGCTCCAGGCCGCCATGTGCCACGACCATTGGATACAGACCCAGATGACTTTGATGAGCCGCTCGAAAAGGCCCGAACACACGCTCAACAGCCATCCTACTTGCATACCGAGAACAAAGTGAACAGCACATGCAATATCATTGGAAGTGAAGAATGCGACAAATTCATTGGCAAATTCAGCAACAAAAGCCGTTAGCGGAACAGTTGAGGCACCTCACTATGAGCGCAGTGATCGGCTGGACTCGGCTGCTGGGTACCTCTATGAGGCGCCTGAATATCTCAAACTGTGCAGGGACACAGAACAGACTTCCTGGAAGTACAGGACACGGTGGAGCACATTTGGGACAAGCAAGATGCTTCCGGTTTGGTGTGGTGCCTCACCAGCGTTATTTATTATAATTACTCGTTGCCACTGCAATTTCAAGAGAATTGTATTTGTTGAAGTTGGTGATATTTCTATATATTTCTTGTTTCTTTGATGGTTTTTGCCCTTGATTTGGAACCTGATTTCTACACATTTCTACACATTTCTAAACATTTCTACAAAGGTACACGGATGCCGCTTTCTGGGATCGCATGGCTGGAGGGCTGGACGAGCGTTGCGCCGATGCCTGGGATGTGGAGAGCGAGGGCTCCGGCGACGCAGCCAGCAGCGCCGGCAGCTCACCACGGAATCGGCCCACGGCCATGGAGCAGGGCACTGGACTGGCAGCTGCGCGGCAGGGGGTCGCAGGTGTCACATGGGAACAAGATGCAACAAGCAAAGAACAAGCAAACAACACAATGCCATCACGATGCCATCACGATGCCATGTGCTGTAAGGCCATCTAGGGTCATCCGAGGCGAGACCACCCAAGACCCAAAACCGCTAAACTCTTTCATCCTGTGCTAAATCCTTGTTGGCTTTTGTCATGTCTGATGTAGGAATAAACTACTTTCTTCCCCATGACTGCATGGATTTCCAGAAGCCTTGGATGATATCAACACTGGGTGCAGACTGCGCAGGTCGCATCATGCGATCCTGGGGTGGTTGCCCTTCTGCCGCGCCTAGCAGCACGTTTTTTCATGGCAATCGATTGCAAACGGAGATTGACTTGGCACATCTTGGCACATCTTGGAAAAAGCATTGGACCCAAGATGTGAGTCTCAGCTATAGCCATGAGGCTTCTAGCAGTGGTGGAGGGGCTACAACCCAACTTGGCTCGAACCGGCCTGGGTGCATCCCTTAGAGTCTTAGAGATCAACTTCGGCAGTTTTGCCCATACAGTCCAAGTTTTCTGTATTGATGGTCTAAAGGTTGGGTGGGCGACCAGAGATCTCGACCGAAATCATCCCGCACTGAACCCAGTTTCATGTTGGAATGTCCATCCACGTGGCTCTAGCAGCAGTGGCTCAAATCCGTCACAGGACCTCAAACCGAAAGCGATTGGAATCGAATTGGTTCCATCTATGACCCGCCGCAAGAAGAGATGAAGCAAAGACAGGACCTCAGCCGTTAGACACCGTTAGACTATTTGTGGAAAAGACACCAAACGAATTCAACGAAATAAAACACCATCCCGATCCTTACCGAGGAAGCTTCTCAGTGCGGCCATCCATTCCAGCATCCTTCAGTGTACCAGGGCTGAAGCTAAGCAGCTAAGCCAACACCACTCAGTGCAACATAGTGCAACACTTTCTCAATCGTCACTCTCGGAAGAAGTTTCTATACAAACTACTAGTTGTTAACGCCCGTGACAAGTTTATGTCCAGCTCCCATAGCACTTCTTCTCCCTACACTGGTGCGGCTGCCAGGCAGCTTCCCTGTACTTTGCAGAGGATCGCCGGCGCAACATTGCCTTCGTGCCAGCGACGGGAAAGACTTGAGCTCCAAAAGTGCAGATCATTCCAAGGATTGAACATGATCACATGTCCTAGGGCAGGAGTGGATGGAATGTATGTAGACAATTGTTCAAGCATATGCAGTGACACCAGATTGCAAGATTACCTTCTAAATCATTCAGGCTGTCGACGTTACCATGGCAAGTTCACCTTGAGACTGAGGATGTTCCAATGACTTTTGCAGCTTTTGGGTTCTGAGTCTGAGCCCATTCTTTTCCAACATGCCCGGCGTGGGCGACCCTGTGCCAGACTTCAATTTGAAGGATCACACCGGAAGTGAGGCCACAGCTGGATGTTTGCCCAAGGGGAAAAAACAGATGGTGGTGGCGGCATGTGGTGGCTATTGGATATGAGATTTGATGACTGTGAAATACTATGAATGACTATAATGCGTACAATGGAATGCACCGGATCATACTTGATCCATTGGATTCATTTCTTTGCTACAGTGAACAGGTGTCCTTGAAGACCCTCAAGGAGTCGGGCAAGAGAACTCTGATTTGGTTCTACCCCAAGGCTGGGAGCAAAATCACCATTTGGAATCGTGATGTGTGTTTGACATCACTTGAGATTTTGCCAAGCATTTGCACATTGTACACTCTGAAGGCTGATACCCCTGGCTGAACTGCAGAGGGACGAGGCTTCAACTCGTTGTTGGAGAAATTTGCTGAGAAAAATGTCACCATCATGGGAGGCACGGCTTGCAGGGCAGAGACTTGAAGGGATATGAAGGTGAGATTGTACAAGACGGTGCAAAGTATCTTCACAGTCCAGTCCAGTCCATTCTGGCATATCAAAATGTGACATATATAATATAAATATATATAGATATATGATACATATGAGCTATATGATAAATATTCTTGTTCCTGTTCGTTTCTGAATCTGCTTTGTGCTGATGACATCGGGAGTCATTAAATGCCTTGTGCTGTGACAGGCTCTGGAGACTCACAGGCCAGCAACCAGGCCTTTGCCACAAAATTTTCGCTGGGAGCTCTGATTCGGTCGGGCTTTCTATGGGGCCATGGCGGCCATGTCACGTAGCACTTGCAGTGCCTGCGTAGCTATTCTTGCGCTCAGCCGTTCTGTGTTTGACAAAGAAGGAACTGCATAAGCAGGATTCGGGGTTATCACATTTTGACATCTGATGAATATGTCTCTTGTACCGCGCCTGCCACGCGAAATGCATCTTTGATCATCTTTGCAGATCTTCCTCAAATGTTCCACGCTTGCCAACGTTCTTGAAACTGACGCAAAACCTTCACGTTTTGCTCACTTTTGGCAAAGTGCAGAATCCCTGGCACAGGCCACGCAAAACCACATCTGAACCTGTTAGATTTTTACACTTTTGACTTCGAAATGTGCTTCACGCCACAACGGCGTGCACTTTTTCAACACCTCAACTTCCAAAAGTGCTCCGAACCCGTCAGTTTTTTACACTTTTGACTTCGAAATGTGCTTCGCGCCACAACAGCGTGCACTTTTTCAACATCTCAACTTCCAAAAGTGGTCCGAACATATACACTTTGACTTCGAAACGTGCTTCGCGCCACAACGGCGTGCACTTTTTCGACATCTCAACTTCCAAAAGTATCCAAAAGTAGTCCGAACATGAGGTGGTTTAGGCATTTTGAGTTCGAAATGTGCTTCGCGCCACAACGGCGTGCAGTTTTTCATCTCTCATTTGGCCAGATGGCTCCGCACCCTCCGCATTAGCGAGCCTACTTTTCGACGCTCCTGAGCTACAAATTATTGGAAACATGCAGTTTTTAGCAGCTTTTCTACCTTTTCGCGCGCCTGCATCTCTTCTTTCTTCTGATCTTCTTTCTTCTTCTCTTCCCTTCTTCTAGACTTCCTTCGGTAATTTAAAATTGTTATATTTAATTACGTTGTCATTATTTTCGTATCATATTGCCCTGGTTCTGTGGACCCTCCGAAGGCCCGAGTCTTTTTTGAACCGCGAAACCGTTATGTTTTTCAAATCGCTATCCACCAACGGCTTTTCAGAGCATCCATCAACCATGTGTGAATGGAACGCCGTGATCTTGGGGGCCGCTCCATCCTAAATTCCTCGGATCTTGGGGGCTGGTTCTGCAGCTGTTCTTCAGCTGTTGCCGTTTTTTGTCATTTCGTGCAAACGACAGGACACCTTCAAACACAGAGTCGTAGCATGTCGTAGCGGTCACAGCGTCGATATCAAAGGTATATGAAATGTTTGATGTTATATAATTTTTCTAAGTGGCCGTATGCTCAAAACAAAATTTGAAGAACACCCAAGGATGCATGCCCGAGCCATGTTTCTTTGCCGGGTTTGCCGGCTTGTTTGCATTGGCTTATCGTCTCTCCACTTTGCTTGTGCGAGTTTGCCCAGTGCGGAAGTGGAAGCTTTGCGCGAGATCTTTCAAGTAGCCAAGCTCCCTTGGGACGAGGGAAACGATCCATGCGCGCTTCGTCAAGTGAGGTGCCACGACAACCGCACTGTCAACACTTTATTTTTCTCTCAGCTGAATATCACTTCACTCCCCGAGTCCATTGGACAGCTGAGATCTCTGGAGTGGCTGATTTTGAGCCACAACCAGTTGACTGAAATACCTGATGATATCGCGGAGTTGCAATCTTTGATCATGCTGGATTTGAATGTCAATCAGCTAACTTCATTGCCGGATTGTGTGGGTCAACTCCGGTCACTTCAGTACCTTTTGGTCGATGGAAACCGATTGGATGCTCTTCCAGAGTCGATTGGACAGCTGTCATTCTTAATTCAGCTCAGTTTGAATAGAAACTTCTTGGCCAAGCTCCCTGATTCCATCGGGCAGCTAAGATTGTGCCAAAGCATCTACTTAAACTCCAATCATGTAGCTGTCCTGCCAGAGTCCATCGGCCAATTGCGCAACTTGTCCTATCTGGACCTTGGGTCCAATAATTTTGCCGAACTTCCGGAGCAACTCAAAATGTTGCAATCCCTTGTGCACCTCATCATAGAGAACAACCAGCTGAAATCATTGCCTGAGTGGATTGGAGGCTTGAAATCGCTTGAGAGATTGAAGGTAGACTTCAATCAGCTGACTTCATTGCCTGAGTCCTTTTCACAGTTGCAGCGTCTCAACCGCTTGTACATGCACAGCAACCAGCTGACTTCAATTCCTGCCTCAATAGGGAACCTGAAATACTTGTCAGTGTTGAGTTTGGATTCCAACCGTTTGAACTCATTGCCCGAGTCGCTAGGAAGCTCGAACATACAAACTTTGAGCCTCGATTCCAATCGTTTGACCTCGCTGCCACATCTCAGCTTGAAAAATCTGGTTGAACTGAGAATCGCCAACAATCGTCTAACAACTCTGCCAGACTTTGAGGGCATGAGGTCGTTGCGTGTTCTTTCGTTGCACGGTAACTTTTTGGAGCGACTTTCCTATGGGAATTTGACAAGCTTAAAAGTTGCTTTGCTCCATTCCAATCGAATAAGTGATCCTGCAGAGATTTGCAGACTTGGTCTTGGGAATAGCTTGAGAACACTCTACATACACCACAACTCTCTAGGCAAAATACCTCCTTGTTTAAGTGGGCTCACTTCTTTGGAAGTTCTGACCCTGCACCGCAACTCCATAAACGAAGAGGTGCCCAGAACACTTGCGGAACTTCCAAATTTGAATGTCCTTACCCTCCATGGAAACCGACTCTATGGCAGCCTTCCTCGAGAACTTGCAAATGCACCCAAGTTGGCATTCTTTTCGGCACACTCGAATGGCTTGGTGGGACCAATTCCGCCCTTCAAGTTGGAGAAAGATTGCGTTGACGATGATGCTTTTGTGAAGGGCCGTCAGACCTGTAGCTCGATCAGTCCGTGGCCTTGGGCCTCGGATTGCAACCATTCAGACTTCGAATTTCATTGTCCAAAGGCATGCCAGATGTGCAGTACTGCCAGTGCACGGGGTCCTGTGCTGTTGCTGCACGACAATCGGCTTGCGTGCAGCTTACCGGAAGAAGTGACCAAATGGCCGGATGATATGCGTTCGATCACATTGGTTGGCAACATGCTGGGGAATGGAAGCCATGCATTGCCGCAGTGGATACACACTGATGAACATCAACCTTTTCTCTACCTATCGGACAACAAGTCCAATGAAATCTTGAAAAGGACGCTGTTGTTGGCATCAATGTTTGCGCTGTTCTGTGTGCTTCTTTTGGGAAGCAGTGGGCATCGCAGAATTTTCACTTCGAAAGCAGGCTCAGAGCTGACTCATCGAATACACGTGTTTCTCTTTCAGATGGGTGTTCCTCTGTCAATTCTGGCCGTAATTCTGTTTGCCTTTTACTTTGCAGATGCAAGATACTATGCTTGTAGTAGCGGCTTTTCATCCTCTACGCTGAGCAACTTTTCGATCCCTCACCATGGCTATGCATTGGTGGAATGGTCTGTGGCAATGCTATGGACTTGTTGGGTTGTAGTTGGCGCATTCTTTTTGCGACACGCTCCCACTCCCACTGCGTCCGGGGGAGAAGAGACAGCAACATCCTGCTTGGGTTTCGTTCTGAAAGTGATCTACAGTTGCTGTTGGTTGTGCATTGTGGCCCTATTATCTTTCCCCTCCGTGGCATATGCAGTGGTGAGCGCCATCCCTTTCAACAATACCCTGAAGCTGTCGGCTTGGTGGTTGAAGTTTTTTCATTACCAAGCTGCTTTGGTCATGGTCCTGGTGGACATGTTTATCACACCCAAACTGGTGGCATTTTTTTCAGATGCCACTGGCATGCGCAGATCGATGTTGTTGATGGCTGCGCGTTTGGGGACAATGTGGTTGGCTGCGGTGCTGAGCACATTCTATTTGACCACTCACTGCATGAACGGCTGGACCCATTTGTGGAAAGTTGCTGGGCTATGCTGGGCTTTGTGCATGCGGCGGTTGGATCACACCACCCTCAACTTGCCTTGTATAGTCAACATTTTTTGATATCCCTTTGTGTCAGCCACCATTACGACACATGACGGGTCTCTAAATATGAGGTCCGGAGAAACCCTATGCAATATTTTTTTGGCGCGCGCGCTCACGCCCATTCTTGAATCTTTTTGATCTGTAATGATCTGTATACCATCCTTGTCAAATAAAGCAGGCTGTGATTCAACTATTTTGGGGGATGTGCGTTAGCACCCAAGCAGGTTTGCGATGAAAGCACAGAAGACTACAAGCTCTTCAACATCAGTCTGGGTGACAACACGATTCTTGAGCCCAAAGCGGGCCTGTGCTCAGCAAAGGAGTCTTGGTGGAGTGACAGTGCATGTCCACGTGCCGTGATCAATACCATGGCACCTTTGTTGGTGTCGAAGATGGTCACCCGTGCCTTCCTACAGCCCATCATCACCTTGCTTAGGTGCATGTGGTTTTGTTTGAACAGAACCAGGATGAACCAGATGATGATGTTATGTGTTCCTGTTGCTAGGCGTATCATGTTTTGAAACTTGCGGTGTGGAGGTCCTAGGGTCTTAGCATACCTTTGCCCACATCATGCTCCCCAGGTGGCAAATGTCGTATCGGGAAGCAGGACAACTCTACATGTGGCGCCATCTGATTTGTACAAGTCGATCCCTGGAAGATGGCCAGCAAGCAAGTTTGCTGGTGACTTGGGCTGAAGTAGCTTTGCTTTGGGGAGCCTTGGTGCCTGTTCTGCTGCCAGCGGTGCTCATTGCAACAGGCACAAACATGTTGATGTGCAAAGTAGGACACAGCCACTTTGGCGTGGAACACTTGATGTTGGACAAGACATCAGCTGGAGTGTCACGCAGGTATTTGCACGGCAGTTTGAGTGTTTTGATCTTCTTTCAGAACTGGTTCGCATGGTCCAGTGGCATGCATGGCCGGTGGTTGCTCCTACTTGCTGCTCTGATCTACGCCCTTGAGCTGGTCGGCTTTGTCGGATTACCTCTTCAAAAACGCACTAGGGTAGCCATTCTAGATGACCCTCCAGATCCTCCGACCGAGATATGATGTGCCATGGGCTGGAAAAAGGGGAGCTGTGCGGGCCAATTCCGGCAGGTTGTAGCCATTGCATGAAGAAAAAATGGAGGAAAAGTGTTGAGAGATGGACATAGCAGGGTGCAATTCCAGAAATGCTTCAAACTTTCTTTCTGTGTTCTTCAGCTGCATAGTCCTCCCTAGGTTGCATGCCTTTCCACCATGCCTGACCCAGATACAATTCCGATCAATTTGGCAACAAAGAAGTCCAGCAAGATTAGCGTTTAGAGTAGCATGACATTGAGTGGCCGGCCATGGTTGACATACCAACATGACATATGCCAGCACTAGCTGGTACGGGAATGCTGTTTCAGAAGTTGGGGAAGGTAGCCTGCTTTGACTGACTGACTGTTGCCTGGCATTGCCTTTAGTTGTTTGTGTCCAATTTCTTCGGCAGGTTTATGC